AATGATTGCGAGAAAAAAATTTCAGGCTCTCTGCTCTGGTATCGTAATAATGATTTTTTTTCATTGGCGCAAAATAATTCTCAATAAACAGTAGCCGAATGGCGAAAATTTTTTGTTACAAAATTCATGTTGAAAATTCAATCGACGTCACCAAATTATTTATTGCAGTCAAAGAGCTTCTTTTTAAAGGCAATAGCTTTGAGCCAGATTCCGGTTGGTGAAAAAAAAAACTTGATCAATGAGCTTTGATCACAAGAACGACGAGAAACTTGTCTTTGAGACTTCGGAAAATGTAAGACTGGAACAATTGATCAATAGACCTCTGCATTCTATATATGACTGACGACTTTGTTTTCGCAGGTCAAAGTTGCTCCAACTTTCGACTCGATCGGTTTGAAGGAAGATCTGTTACGTGGTATCTACGCTTACAACTTTGAAAAGCCTTCAGCCATTCAACAAAGAGGTATGATGGAAGACCACGAATGTTACATTTACACGGATTAAGTCTTCTTCCGGTCATACTCACGATTTGACACTTTTTATTCAGCTATCACACCCATTGTCAAAGGCCGGGATGTCATTGCACAAGCACAATCTGGTACCGGTAAAACGGCCACTTTCTCTATTTCGATTCTTCAAAGCATCGACACTACTCTCCGAGAGACGCAAGCCCTTGTCCTTTCACCCACTCGCGAACTTGCTACTCAGATCCAGAGCGTCGTTCTCGCTCTTGGTGACTACATGAACGTCCAGTGCCACGCCTGTATTGGAGGTACCAGCATTGGTGAAGATATCAGAAAGCTCGACAACGGTGTACATGTAGTTTCAGGAACTCCAGGTCGTGTCTACGATATGATTAGACGACGCAATCTTCGTACCAGAAATATCAAGATGTTGGTTCTCGACGAAGCAGATGAACTGTTGAACCGTGGTTTCAAGGATCAAATATACGACGTGTATAGATATTTGCCACCAGCGACACAAGTTGTACTTCTTTCCGCTACACTTCCTCATGATGTTTTGGAATTGACCACCAAGTTCATGACAGACCCTATCCGTATTTTGGTCAAGCGTGATGAATTGACATTAGAAGGAATCAAGCAGTTCTTCGTTGCTGTCGAGCGAGAAGAGTGGAAGTTTGATACACTTTGCGATTTATACGACACATTGACCATCACACAAGCCGTTATATTCTGTAACACTCGACGCAAGGTTGATTGGTTGACGGAGAAGATGCGAGAGGCTAACTTCACCGTTTCATCTATGCACGGTGAAATGCCTCAGAAGGAACGAGATGCTATCATGCAGGAGTTCCGCCAGGGTGCAAGGTACAGTACTTTTTGTTCGGTTTTCTTGGCATCTCTCAGTGACAGGTACAGTGATATTAACGTGTTCTACATTATCGCAGTCGAGTGTTGATCACTACCGATGTTTGGGCTCGTGGTATCGATGTTCAGCAGGTTTCCTTGGTTATCAAGTAAGTTGGATTGCATTGATTACTGAAAATGACAAGCCTAGGACATGGCACTGATGATCATGGTTATTGCTTTTAGCTATGATCTCCCAGCAAATCGAGAATTGTACATCCATCGTATTGGTAGATCTGGTCGTTTTGGTCGCAAGGGTGTTGCTATCAACTTTGTCAAGCAAGATGACTTGCAGATTCTTCGAGATATTGAACAATATTACAGGTAAGATATGTCGTAGTGATGCTCAATATCGGAGTGAGATATCTTGCTAATTGTTAATTTCGAACCATAGTACGCAAATCGACGAAATGCCAATGAATGGTATGTATTGCAACCTATTTTGGATTTTACATCTCCTACTTTTATCACTTACGCAATCTCTTTTATACAGTTACCGATTTGATTTAAGATGTCTTGTCTGAAAGTCAGAGTAGAAAAAGCGCTTTTACAGTTGTTCGATTCACGTTCCCTCCCTTCATTCAGGGTTTTTTTTATTACCATCACGATTAAAATGCAAAAAAATAAGAAAGTCAAAAAGACAAAACCCTAAAAAGAGGTGTGATGTCAAGCCATGTGACCACCATTTTCCCCCAATCCCGCATATCATGCTTTTTGACGGCAGCTTGACTTTCTTCCTCATTTCATTATACCCTCATGACCAACTACAACTATATAATTAAGGTATGATTCTATTCGATCTGTGCGAAGCCCTACAGACAATTTCCTTTTCTCATTCGCACCGCTTCGCTTTTTACTCTCAATAGTACATAATTGTCGGGGACACAGGTATGTCTTGCAATGTTCATGTCCTGACCCTGCGTTCCTTCCGGAAAGGTTCTAACCTATCCATTCAACTTCTATTATCTGCTGCTATTGTATAGGTGTTGGAAAGGTAAGACGGGGGTCACTGGAAGTCTATAGCTCAACTGTTGTGTCAGTCAAAGTCTTTCTGCCATACAGGTGACCTAATTTTTTTTTTTTTTTTTTTGTTCCAACTGACAATTTTGTGTCCGTCATTTAGTCATGTTTACTTTTGCAATTCACTGATCACCGCTTTCATGCTCAACATGAATTGACTATCGGCGTTGAATTCGGTACACGATTCGTCAACGTGGACGGAAAACAGATCAAGCTACAGATATGGGATACAGCTGGACAAGAGAACTTTCGCAGTATCACGCGGAGTTACTATCGAGGAGCTGCTGGTGCACTGATTGTGTACGACATCACACGAAGAGATTCGTTCAATAATATTCCAACTTGGCTTGAAGATGTTCGCAAAAATGCAAATCCAAATACTACAATTATGCTCATCGGCAACAAGTGTGATCTGGGTGGAAAGCAGCGACAGGTTTCCAAGGAAGAAGGCGAGAAATTTGCTAGAGACAATGGCATCAGCTTTTTTTTGGAAGCGTCAGCAAAGTCGGCCGAGAATGTCGAAGAAGCCTTTGTACAAACTGCTAGAGATGTACACGACAAGATCAATAATGGTGTGTTTGATGTTGCAAACGATACTGGTATCAAGCTGGCTGCCAAATCGAGCCAGATGCCCGATGATGCTCAAGGTGGTGCGTGCTGCTGATATGCTATTTTTTGTTCCTTCACTTGTAAATTTGTATTGCTCTTTCCTTACTTGACCATTGCTTCAATTGCGTTATATTCGAGATTATTTTTCTCTTAGCTTTTTCTGGAAGACATCTTTTTCCCAAGGGGGACTGTGGGCACTGATATATTGCTAGTAAATGACCATTTTATGCTACCTTAAACGGTTGGAAATTGAGGGGAGTAGTAATAGGAGTTTTGTGTCGGGAAGAAATTGGAGTTCTGCAGTGAGTATGCTTAAATAGGAGGTAACTAAAGCTAGGGTCCTGCTAAAATTTTAATATAGATGGACGGATGTATATGAAGCGACGGTTTGATTAGGAGGACTTCAGTATGACTCTTGATAATGGTTAAGTACTTCAATCCTCGGTGATGGAGTGGTGAGAGAGAATCTAACAATGTCATCGGCCGTAAAAATGTGTTGGTGCCTGCACCTGTCCGCTCGCCTGGTTTTAGAGATATCGTTGAGAAGATCATCACCATTATAATGGGAATGACCGTGCGTACACATATGATTTGTACAGTTTCGTTTGGGGTGTGGCTATGACCTGATGCGAGCACCAACACTTTGCAATAAATAAGTTAAGCTATCTTGTCGTTCTAGACGCTTGGCAATGTCTACAATATCTTGGACCTCGACTTCCTGGTCAATAGACTAGTATGCATATATTAAGACCAACTTCTCTGACAAAGTGCTCCCTTGCTTGCACTTACCTCTGCATCTTCCACAGATCCAGAAACAGGATTCAAGAGTACATTTAAATGGAATATCTTATTGTCATCCGGAAAAGCTGGATGCCTGACATTGAATATGGCAAGAATCTCCGTTTTTGATATTATTTGAATATCTTGTAGTCCGTATAAATTGTTGCATACGGCGACAATCGAAAGGTACCTGTTTGATATCACACTTGTTACAAAGCGCTGTTGTCTTCTCACTAACGTTTTCAGCTTTCCCTTACCATTTCGTCAAATCCTCAACGGTAGGGTCACGCTTATTTGCCATTCTAACTGCATCGGCAGCATATGCTTCCGCTGTAAACTTTTGCGCCTCCAATTGTTCTATTTCGGTTTCCAAACTTTCAATTTTCCATGATAGCTCTGATATGGTGTCTCGTCGTTTCTCCATCTCATTGCTGATATTTTGGAAATCGTCACTCTAGGGATGATAAAGGTGTTACCCCAAGATTATGGATCCGATGTTTGTTTGCCTTCCCGTTGTTTTGGCATTTTATCATACCTGCTGGTCGATAATAGATTTGGCTTCTTCTACAGTGAGTTTCTATGTAAAGGTCGGGTTAGATACACGTTACTCTGGAGAAACTAGAAAGTTCGTAGTTGTCTTACACTATGTTTATCAGCTTCCTGGCTCATTTTCGTCAGCTCTGCTTCCTAAAAAATAACTTCAGTGGGTCTGGACGATTCGAGGCATGATATAGGCTGGCATTAACGAACCATCTCGTTGATTTCTGCGAATACTGATTCAGTCTTATCAACCTTATGCTTTAGATCCGTGATTGCTGGATGTGTTTCGTTTGATTAGCCATCAAACAACATCATATATTTCGACCGTGGGGTACCGCTTACCATCGTGCAGTGTTTTTCCTACGGTTGCAATCTCTCTCTGTAGTGTACTGGTTTCCAATTTACCGTCCTTGAGCTTTTGCTTTTCTTCACGATTCTGTCGGTCTAAATATGAAGGGATCAGGATCGTGTCATCCTCCATGTCCTCCTGGGTCTATTCATGCGTCCCTACCTAATTCCCAGTTATCCGGTTGTTCAATCACAAGCGATGGGTCCTTCATCAAGCTCTTCAAAAAACGGTCTTTCGTCTCTTGCTCTAGATAATTGAATTTCAATTTCGCAAAGTGTTCCTGCATTCGAAAGACAAAATGAGGATAAAATACACTATACAACAATCAACTATACGAGTACTACCTTGTAGAAGTCCAGCACCATACTAAAGCTCTTTGGGTGGTCATCAATGACATCGTTACTGCCGTCCAGGGCATTCAAGCCCTTCGATATTGAGGAAGCCTTTTGCGCGCATTCATCCCTCAGCTTATCAGTGAATTGTTCTTCAGAGTCGAATTCGCGTATAAAGCTAACATAGTAAAATCTCGTTTGAGTGAAGAAGATTACGTACTATGCAATTGTATGGCTCATTCTTACGTTCTGAAGTCTTCGAATTGTTCACTGGAGTGTACTTGTTCGGCAGGCATTATGTGATCCTGTTGAAGCTCCTGCCAGTCGCGACTTCTTGAGTGGGTACAGCGAAAAGCGTGTTTTCATGGGCGAGTCACAATTTCACCAATTTGACGACCTGCCCAATTTTTGTCTACCCATCAGTCCCGCTTTAACGCTGTAAAATGCATTTTAACCACATACTATACGATTCTTTTTGAGTATACCATACGGTAGATATGAAATAATGAGTAGCTGAATAACATCTTGCCGCTATGGCTGTGAAACGGCTTATTGGTGTTGTGTGGGATAGATGAAAATCTCATAGGCGCTAAACCTTTTTTTTGGTATCCAATTGTATCCAATTATCATTTCGTGTTGGCTTATTTGCCAAGTTTTTGGAGCTCCAAAATGGTGCCTGTCATAATTCTTCGATCTAGGTTTTGAAACGATTTTCCGAATTTTCCCTTTTTTGTGTAAAATGTTGGAGATGTCAATGATACTGAATCTCACTCTATTGTAGTTAAGACGTAGAGCAGAATATCAGCAATGGCTAATTTTCCTGCCTGCCTGCGTTATTAGCAACTATGATCATCAATTGATATGCCCTGATGTTATACTCATGTTACAGATTATATTTCACTACAGGGACAAACGGATCAGATATCCATGGCTATAAAGTGAGATATCGTGCAGTTGGCGCATTTCATTTCATATATTTTTTTTTAAAAGCAATTCATAGCCGAACTTAGTTCACTTACTTACAACAGTGCGATACTGAATTTTCAGATTTTAAATAATTAGATCTTCTTACCGATCTACTCTTGTTACACCGCTGGATGCCTAATGCTATTAAAAAGTGATTCCCACACTCTAAGCGTTTGATTTTCAACGAGCCAGAAACAGAGATGTTTCCTTACACATATGCAGGATTTTGATTGGTTCAGAGATCCCGACCAGTGCTCGATTTTTTCAGCAAAATAAAAATGATTGCGACTGCGTTGAGTCATTGTTTGCCGCTATCTTTTCTCAGTCTATCCATCATGGTCGTCAATCAGCCTGTCACTCATGTTAAAGTCGGTGTCCTTGGTAAGTCTATTCTCTCTAGAACCTTGGAAAGCCTTTGTATATATACTAATATGCCGCTCATTGTCGCTATCAGCTTTGCAAGGTGCCTTCATTGAGCACATTCACACCCTGAACAACATTGCTGAAGTCACAGAGGCGATCCCTGTCAGAACCGAAGAGCAACTGAATTCCGTCGATGCTCTTATCATCCCTGGTGGAGAATCAACCGCTATGGCTTTGATTGCTGAACGCTGTAATATGTTGGAACCCCTTCGTGCGTTTGTCCGATCGAAGCCAACCTGGGGTACTTGTGCCGGTATGATTTTGCTTGCCGACGAAGCTAGCAAAACCAAGAGAGGCGGTCAACAATTGTTGGGAGGACTTCACATTTCTGTCAACCGCAACCAATTCGGTTCGCAAAAGGAATCTTTCGAGACCGATTTGTATATGCCAGAAGTGCTTGGAGGTGATACTCCTTTCCACGCTGTGTTCATTCGGGCACCCATCATCACCGAAATCAAGTCAGACAAGGTCAAAGTGTTGTGTAAACTTGGCAACCAAGTTGGTAGCACTGATGCCGAGACCATTGTTGCTGTTCAACAGAATCATTTGATGGCAACAGCTTTCCACCCTGAACTTACTAGTGACGATCGATTGCATCGATACTTCGTTGGCATTGCCTTGCAGCACAAGGCTTGATTGTATTCTTCCTTTTGTAACATCTACCCTTCTTGCTTTCCTTTAATTGTCAAAGAAAAAACTTTCATTCGTTGTGTAATTTAGGGTATTCCCTCTATATAGATTCCTGATAAAAACATACCAAGTACAATACAGATACATTTACAATCGTAAATCGTTATATCTACGTCGTTTAACCAATTATTGCATGCACGGTAATGTTTACCTCAATGCCACCTCACCATCCCGAAACATAAAATTACAAATGCTAACTTTTTTATTATTTTGTAATGCTTGAGCAGTTGCAATCCGAAATGCATATCTAGGATGATATCACAATGATCTGTTCACATAGCCCTAGCAGCGCAAAACTTGGAATGTAGACGCACCAAGTTCTAAGCATTTAGAATCGGAGCTTGGAGAAGAACCACTTGTTCTTGCCGGTGTTGTGTCTCTCCTCGAACAACTTCTTGATGGTCTAAAGGGAGTAGCATGTTAGTCCAGCCACTTGCTTAAATTTTGTTTCACTGCGAAACCAAAAACATTACCTTCTTAGCATCCTCGCGCTGGGAAGGCTCCTTGAAGGTCTCGGAAGAGATGGTACCCTTGATCTGTTCGAGCTCGAGAGCATAACGGGTGGGCATCATGTGGTTGTAGTTGATAACCTTGATGAAAGGCTTAACCTTGGAGCGCTTGGCGACCTTCTTCTTACCCATGGAGCGGGTAACCTTGAGAGGGTAACGCTCGACACCGGCGACGACAGCGTAACCGTAGGGTCTGTCCTTGGTACCTTCGTCGTGGTCTATAGAGTACAACGTAATTAGTATATGAGGATACGCAATGAAGTAGGTCGATAGTAGCCGATCTTGATTTGGCGGTGAGTTGTTAAACGAGGACTAGGGATGTCGAGCATCGAGTTTGCGTTGCGAATTTGTCGATTGTATCACAATTCCCAATTTCCAAAATAAAAAAGTTGAATTGTTGAATCGTCGAAAAAAATTCAATGTGCTGGTCAAATTCTCTCCATTCGTTCACATCGTCGTTCCATTTCTTTCTATGTTACTGACAGAAAGGACCTAATACATACTACGGACGATAACAGCCTTTTTACCGGCATAACGGCCTTGGAGAATGACAACGACCTAGTCAAGACATAGACGTTAGAAAAGCTGTGTCGTTCGAAAAAAAAAATCCATCCATCGTCCAGATGATCAATCATCCGTCAATTTCTGCATCAAATCATGAAGATACACACCTTGCCTGCTTTCAAGAACTTGACCATGGCGATGAAAGTGAGCGGTGAGAAAGAGAAGGATTATTACCATCCATGAAGGGATGAGTATAACCCGCAGGTTCCATTATTGTGACGTCACGCTCCGCACTAGCAACTGCAATCCAGATTTTAATTTAATCACTTAAATAGTAACCTTCCAAACAACGATCGATGGTTTATTTCGAAGCAGGGATGTGTTATTAAAAGGCCATTTAATATTTCTGTATATTTTCAGTATTGAGAAATTTACTGATGTATGAATGCCGTTAACGAGAAAGAAATCTTCGGTTATGCTGATATGACCCCCAGCTACAATTAGATATCTTTTGAATATAGAAGTATGGTTGGTCAAACATGGTTGGCAGTATTTTAACTGACAATAACTACTGGTGCTGTGTATTTGATCAGAGTAGTTCAAGTGACAATCTCTATTGATGATATATCTTGGACTAAAGGCAATTGTTTCTTTCACCAATACCGTTACGAGTGTGATCATTTCTATCGTAACGACACTAGGATCTGGATCAGGGTTGTTCTATTGATCGAATTTGGCACTTGATATAAGCTGACGAGCGTTTTATGGTGGAGAAATTCAAAGAGTTGGCTTAGCCGCTGCTTAATATATGTTTATTTATGATTGTTTTCGAACAGACGGCTGGCTATCAACTGTAAGGATTTTGTTGAATGATCGATCTAGTTTCCTTTAAATGTCATATACGAATGCCCCTTTAAATAGGGGTGTTTGTGAGTCCTTTTACCAGCTATGGTAATATAGTCAAAATGGCTAGCAAACATTGTTTTAAAAGCAGAGACTACCATTTTAAAGCTGAAAGTCATCATAGAACCACCATCATCAATTTCTTTGACTGAATGCAAATTAGAGAGCACTTCAAAAATCACAAAGGCTTAATTACTATCAGCAAAATGACGTCAACTTTTTCAAACAGTTTCCCGCCCGATCACTCATCTCTAAAGTTTGACAAATTTGGCATCCATAGTTCGACCTCTTTTTTCCGTTGCGCGTACGTATAGAATGGAGTGAAAGCATATCGAACCTTACGAACCGAGCATCATTACGAAATTAGACATGATGGATGATTCGATTACTCGGAAGGATTCATCGAGCGAAGAATTTTTTTTTGCTAACACCTACATTCGCATCTTCTAAATTTTAGAGCAATCCGACTTTCTGAAAATGTCCAACGTCCCTGCCAGTAAGTTTTTCGCATGCATTCCACTGCTTTGCTCGGCTAGCAGCATCATGCTTACATTCTCTTCTTTTCAGTCCTTAACGCCACTGAGGAAGACCTCCAGCTCCTCCTTAGCGCTCAGTGCCACCTTGGTGCTAAGAATGCCACCTCTGTCATGTCTCCTTACGTCTACAAGCGCCGTAACGATGGTACGAAAACCATTCTTTCTTTTGTAAATGAGTGTGAACCAGTGTTAACGACTAGTGCCCTGAATGATTAATAGGTATCCATATCATCAACCTCGGTAAGACTTGGGAGAAGCTTGTCTTGGCTGCCCGTATCATCGCTGCCATTGAGAACGTAAGTGGAATCAATCTATACAGGCGAAGTATCGTGGTTGGGATTGGTTTGATCTAAACAATTATGTGTTTGAATATATTATAGCCCCAGGACATCGTTGTCATCTCTGCCCGTCCCTACGGTCACCGTGCTGCCTTGAAGTTCGCCAAGTACATTGGTGCCGAAGCTATTGTCGGTCGTTTCACCCCCGGTACCTTCACCAATTACATCACCCGTTCCTTCAAGGAGCCCCGTCTCATCATCTCCACCGATCCCCGCTCTGACTTCCAGGCCATCAAGGAGGCTTCCTATGTCAACATCCCCGTCATCTCTCTTGCTGACACTGACTCCCTTCTCCAGTTCGTTGATGTTGCCATCCCCACCAACAACAAGGGTAAGCACGCTCTCGGTCTTATCTACTACCTCTTGACCCGTACCGTCCTCCGTCTCCGTGGTACTCTCGAGTACAACCAAGCCTGGGACGTTATGGTTGATATGTTCTTCTACCGTGATCCCGAGGAAGCTGAGAAGGAAGCTGCCGCTGCCGCTGCTGCTGCCGCTGAAGGCGAGACTGAGTTCGCTGCTGCTCAAGAGTCTGAGTGGGCTGCTGACATCGCCGCTGAAGGCCCCGCTGCCATCGCTGGTGCCGCCGACTGGACCGCTGAGACCACCGCTGCTGACTGGGCTGAGGATGCCAACGCCCAGGCTTCCTCCAGCTGGGACGCATAAATTGTTGATCATCTAGAATCAACACTTTTTCATTAGATCCACACTGGCGCACTAAACGTTGCGCCTTTTTAGATTGCTTGCGAAAATAAAAAAATCTATTATTGTATTTTGTTGCATTGGGTTTTGGAACGGTACACGTGACACTTCCTCATTTTGAATCTTTTAGCCATAGCTTAAAGCAGTTGTGTGCTGTTATTTTTCAGGACATCCCTTCATCTTTAATGTCAGATTCCAGCCCTCTACGAAAGTTTAAGCTTGTATTTTTGGGAGAGCAGTCGGGTAAGTTGCAGTTTACCAAACTGTCAGGTTCCGGCATCACCAACTTGGCCGTTGATTTCATCCTTGCCCTGACTAACCTTCATCTAGTGGGCAAAACGTCACTCATCACTCGATTTATGTACGACACATTTGACAATACCTATCAGGTTGGTTATATCAAAATTAGAGCGTCTAAATGATGGAATGATGGCATTAACGAGTCCTTTTGTTTGAAGGCAACGATAGGTATCGACTTCTTGAGCAAAACCATGTATTTAGAGGATCGAACTGTTCGCCTTCAATTATGGGATACTGCTGGTCAGGTACTGGAGACATTCACGCAGATTAAGCAATCCATATTGATGAATGGGCTTTTTAATCCAACTGACGGTTGTTTAGGAGCGTTTCCGAAGTTTGATACCAAGTTATATTCGTGATTCTTCGGTTTGCATAATTGTGTACGACATAACGAGTAAGTGACAAAAAGTCTAAATACTTTTCAAAAAAAGGTATGCTGCAGAACAATTCAACTTATGCAAATATTGCATAGATCGAAATTCTTTTATGAACACAAGCAAATGGATTGATGATGTGCGTGCAGAAAGAGGGAACGACGTTATCATAGTCTTGGTAGGCAACAAGACGGATTTGAACGACAGGAGGTAATCATCCCCCGTCTTGAGTTGTTGTTGACAGGACGTGGAACTTATTTCTTTTCTTTGGCTTTGAATAGACAAGTATCAGTAGAGGAAGGCGAGAAAAAATCTCGTGAGAATAATGTCATGTTTATTGAGACGAGCGCCAAGGCTGGGCACAATGTAAGTTACTCTAGAAATTTTTTGACGCAGAAAACATGTCTATTGAGCCGAGTCTCTGTAAATTTCCTTTGTTCAGGTCAAGGCACTCTTCCGTAAGGTAGGACATGCATTACCTGGCATGGATAGTGCAATGGCAGATGGAGGCAGGGAGCAAAGTAAGTTTTTGGTTGAATTTACAAGTTTCGACTGATGTGTAGGTAACAAACTTTGTGTATTATATCAGTGACTAGAGTGGATCTGAACGAAAACAACACAGCCAAGGAAGAAGCAAGTTCTTGCGCGTGCTGATTCATGCCATAGTTTTGTATTTTCCTACAAGTGATATAATAATAATAAAGAAACGCGGTATTAGATTGATCTTCATCCCACCGTTTTATAACAAGATAGACATTGCCTCCTCTTCCTTTCATTATTAAAACAAAAAAGATTTATTGTGATTGTGCTGTACAATATAATGAACTAGGATTCTATATGTTCAGCAGACATGCTACATGAAACAAAATGAACCAGCGGATTTTTTTTTTCAAGTAAATTCTATGGTTGAAGTGAAAAATATGGAAGTTGGATGTCAAATGCTTATTTCATAGTCAAAAGCTTGACGTCGAAAATGAGAGTGGAGTTCTTGGGGATACCAGGCAAGCTCTGGGAACCGTAGGCAAGAGAAGCAGGGATGGTAAGTCTGCGTTCGCCACCAATTGCCATGCCAACAATACCCTGATCCCAACCCTTGATGACTTCACCGCGGCCAAGGCCGAAGTTGAAAGGTTTGCCAGAGACGTTCTTGTCAAAGACCTTGCCACTTTGGAGCTTTCCGATGTAGCGCATTCCAATCTGATAGAGAGATGAATTAGCAAGGTTGGCATTAATTCATAGTGCTTTATAAAGTAACTTACTCTTTGTCCGGCCTTGGCCTTGGGACCGGTTCCAACCTTCATGTCTTCAATGACGAGACCATTAGCAAGCTTGGTAGCCTTGGGCTTTTCCTTCTTTGCCTCTTCCTTCTTGGGTTGCTCCTTCTTTGGCTCCTCCTTCTTGGCCTGTTCCTTCTTGGCCTCAGGCTTCTTGGGCTCGGGCTTCTTGGATTCTTGCTTCTTGGCTTGCTCTTGGGCCTTTTGCTTCTTGGTAGCAGGAGCAGCAGCTTGTTCAGCAGCTCTCTTCTTACCATTCTTAGCGACAGGTACTTCCTCCTCCTCTTCCTCCTCCTCCTCGTCACTTTCTTCAACAGCAGCTGAACATGGTATCAGTAAACAGTATTCTATGAGCATCAAGCGACTAATATGATCTACTCACCAAGACGCTTAGCTCCATTGGTAACAATACCATTGGCAAGGCTGAAGTCAATGCAAAGGTCAGTACATTATTCCATCACCCAGGACGGCAACAATTTTCAAGATCTTTACATATCGTCATCTTCCTCATCATCTTCGCTGGCCTCTTCCAAATCATCCTCTTCATCACTGCTTCCCATCATGAGATCGGAATCATAGGGATCCTGGTCCATATCGTCATCGGGAATGTAGTTACCAGTGAGATGGACAGCACTGTAGGAGCAAAGTTTGAGCTGGTTAGTACCACGTAATATTTTCGGTTGCTGATCCATGGTGCATGCTCCAAAAAAAAAAGCTTACTTTTTACCAGAGACAGAGAAAGTGACTTCTTCACCTTCAACAAAGTTATGGTCAAGAAGCTGTTGCTCAATATGCTTAGGAGTCAAAGCGCAGAGGACAAATTCCTTGTCGTCAACATTGACTTTGACACAAGTGCGCTCTTGCGACTTGATCTCCTCGCCAAAAGAGGCCTAGGGTACAATGATTCATCATTTAGTAAAACATGTCAACTGTAGTGGGCTCTATAGGATAGTGTACACACCATGGAGACGCGGAAGCTAGCGTCAACAACTTGAGTATAGGTCTTGCCGGGCAAGACGTGGAGACCTGGTTGCGAATGAGAAGGCGGATCAGAAAACCTTCCATGATCAATAAAGTGCTATTGGTTCGCTGTAGATTCTTACCCCAAAAACCGAGAATGGACATTGTTACTTTGAGAGTATATGGATTACAGTAGCAGGAAAAAAAAAAAAAAGCTTGTTGAAAAAGAAACTGGACTGTTGTGACCGTCAAAACTTTCATGTCAATTTGAAACTCAGTCCCTGCTTTCCTCTCCAGTGAGACACGCTTTGAAAGACAGCTATCAATGCCGGGCAAAAGAGCTTTTAACATAGCCGTTTGTTTATCTGTTCGGAAAACATCTCGAAGGCTATTCAAATGAAAAAAAAAAAAATGCAAATTCAAAACAAGCTACTTCGATCCTTTCTAATATAAATTCCAGCTTTTGCGCCATTTTCGGCTGCTGTAGTTGGCGGCAGGGCCAACCATTCCGTATGCCATGGGAGCAAAGTGAAGGAAGACGCCAATGACCAAGATATAGATCGCCGACCAAATAAACAGCTGGGTTCTCTTGTTAAGTTTAGCAGTGAAGTGGTCGACCAAAAATGGTACCAGTAGCATACCAAAGTAAACGGCGGGGAAGTAGTGATGGAGATAGGTAACACGTCCCATAATGAAGAATGGCATATAGTGGAAGCCCCAGCCAAGCACAAGGGTTTTGGTAACATAGTAGAATCGGCTCCATTCAGCTAAACACAGAAGCAACAGTTAATGGAAAAATTACATTCATGTGAATCTTGTTGCTTGAATACTTACCAGGTGCAAGATCTCTGATCTGGCGATGCATGCGAATAACGTAAACAGCAAAAGCAGCCAGTGATCCTAAGATAGCAAAGATTGAAGACCACCAAACAATCGGGTTACCAATAAGATAGAACTTCACGGCATCATCGTTCCAACCACACATGCGAAGACCAACAGTGGTGAATGGCCATTCGGTTGGCTGTGAAGAAAGTACATCCTCCTTATCGGGATCGGGAACAAGAGCATTGTTGGAAGTCCACATAGCAACGTTGAGATGCTTGAAGTCATGCAAGAAGCTGCTCTTGTACGTGTTTGGTTCAGGAGCAGGGAGTCTCGCATTTTCGTGGTTTTCAATATTCCACCATGTGTGAGGATTATCAGTCTCATTTCGCTTGTCGCAAACAACTTCAATTTGTCTGAAACCCCACTGTGGTAGATTTACGTTATTGGCAGTCAAAAGACAACCAAGTTGAGAGTGTCGCAAGCGAATAAGTGTCGTGAGGGCTCTAACGTGGGTGGGATCATTATGTTGAAGGTCCTTGACAATTTCTACTTTCCAGTGATCATTGTCGTCACCAACTTCGTCGTCACCGTAACCACTGACTTCCCATTGCGAGGTTGTGACAGGTGCTTTGATAGGATGACTGTGAAGCTGTCTCTTTGTCATAGTGTGAACTAAACGAACAACATCACCATCCTTAACAGTCTCCAAAGGTGCATCTTCATAGGGTGGCACGACGCCATCTACTCTCTTTTTAGTGATTGTCCAGTCGTTATTTCCATCCTTATGATGGTAGCAAGTGATCTGCTGTTGTTCGGACCCGCTAGGGTATCGTTGGACGTGGGAGTGCAATAGACCACCACCATAGCCATAACTTTTCAATGTGAATTTTGAACCATACACGAGGTCTGCATGGTGAAATACATTCCCATTAACCATCTTTGCACCAACCACCATGGAGGTATGTGAAATAACTCACCGACAGGATTGTTGCCAAGAGTGTTGCCTCGTAAACCAGCTTGGAACAGGGAGCTCATTTGAGCATCTCCAGGACCGGAACCGCTCAAAAGAAGAAAATGAAGTTTAAACGATAGCATGTAAATGCACATTGGGAGAACAATTAGACAGGCGGCGCGGGCCATAAAATGCTTGATGTAAGTCAATTTAGGCATTTGTAGATCACCGAGCATTTCCCATAGATCTTCGATAGTATAAACACCCACAAGAGCAACAGCAAACAGACCAACCCATTTGACACTGGACACAAGTCCCAATGAGGAACCTGTCATTGCCAACCACAACCACCAATCAGGAGAGAAAGGACTGGGGTCGGCACGATGAGTATATAGCTCAGATATAGGCAAACAATGCATTGGTGCCACTTACCGATTTCTTTGGTTATGGAAGCCAGTGAGTGTAAACAGACTGGTGGCGGTAAAGAACAAAAGCATGGAATCCAACAGGATGAAGCGGCTGATACAGAGGTATGCGGTGTCTGAATTATATAATTAGTTTTGCTACAGCGACTTTATACGTTCCAGTGCAGAAAAATAGAAGGCGGGCTTACCACAAAGGACCATAACGGCAGCCAAAATGCTAGCTTTCTCAGAGTAACCAAATTGTTTGCCAGTGAAATAAGCAATAGGTACGATGGCAGCACCCCAAGCAGCATTAAAGATTCTCATAAAGGTGTAGTTGAAGTCTTCGGGGTATGTTGAACCCGACTCAAACTTGAAAGATCCATCATAACCTGCCAAGAAACCAGAGAGGCCGACGAGGATTTTACCCAATGGCGGATGAACATCGAAATAAAATTCTTGTTTCAAGTAATGTGAGCCAAACTAATATTAAAGAGAATAATGATTAGGTCGATTTGTTTCTTCAGGAACGATATGGCCAATGACGAGCACACACACCTTGCCAAAATGAGCCTGTGTAAGGGTAGGGGTTTAGATGTATTGTTAGGAAAGGTTGGGGATTGACTGACAGCGTAAAACACCAAGAGCTTACCTCGTCCCAGACAACAAAATTAGCAAAACCAATGACTCTGAAACGCGTATAAAGCGCCAGTATAGTCAAAACGGCAGGTATGATGACAGCCTTATTTCTCTGATACATCGCGATATACTAGATAATAACGTGTTTTAGATCAAAGTAACCGACATATTATGGATGTAACAGACTAAGGGATCCATGATACGTAATATAGAAAGCAGTAGGAAAAATTTACCTTGTTTGATGAGTAGATAACAGGTGGTTGAGTTGGAATGGGTCTTTGCATCTTCTTCTCATTGCCGTAGGTTGAATCGTACGTTTCATAAGGATCCTCCGTGAATTCCGCCAGATTATCCTGCTGACCAGGTATATGTCTCCTCTTGAGGTTATCCATACTTTAGATCCTAAGCAGTGAACTGACTGAAAGGTACAGGATTGGCTTAGTGGAGATGAAGCAAGTCGGTCTGAAGAAACAACGTATTGGCAGAAAATCCAGAAAGCAAAATTTAGTGTGACTTGGGGTGGGCAATATGAAGCAGGGGCAACTGAGGGGCGAGCAAATGAAAGCCGCCGACGAGTTAAAAAAACCCTGTTGGACGCTTCTCAGTGGTTTTCCCTGCTTTTCTCCATTACCATTCGCAAGTTTAGTTTGATTGTGCATTTGCTAACGTGCATTTTATTTTATCCAATATCTTTTCTGTACCCTTTGATTAACAAATAAAATTGGAATACATTACATCGTCGCCTTCTCACAGATGGTAGATGTAGGTAGATAGGAAGCCAAAACGCATTTTTTTCTTATGGTTTGAACAATAGGGATCAAAGCTTGCTTGTCAGTGAAGAGCATAATGATGGGTGGCGAAAAAACATTGGGCCAGCCAAGCAATACCTCATGGCACAGTGCGGAGTAGCAAACGAAAACGTCAAAGCACGTGCCGTGACCTGTGCCTTAAGGCAGCACAGGTGCAACCCCATTGCCAACACGTTAATGACCACTTCTAACCGTTCCTCCATGCCTATTCCATGATTTCCTTCATCTTAATTGTGAATAAGCAGAGCCAAACCAGGTTTTCAAAGTATAGCCACCCATGCACCATTCAACATCAACAACGGAGTGATTTTGAATTAGGCTTATCACGCGAATGCATACAGCGAGAGGGCCACCAGGTAAGTTGGTTCAAACCAGCGATAGCAAAAGAAAAGCAAAGAATCTCACCGATGCATGCATGCATTGTAACTGCTCCCAGTAGAATTATATTTTCAATTACCACGGTGTCGGAATAGGTGAGAATCTGGGGAGTGAGGAGAGAAGAATACACACGCCCATGGATCGTGCGAAACTGATGATGTATCGTTATCGCAGCCCATCGACGATATGCTTCGCTGTATTTTATTTTAGGCTTTGCGGATGAGGTAAGTATAGTAGGAAGCTTGGCCAAAAAGAGCCAGTTTTTGACAGATTTTTCTCACGGAGTATAGAATCCATTTGCTATGCTGGAGCTGATACAGTTTTGTGTGGGTAAGTAATTTCCCACCAGCGGCTACTGAATTTACACGCATTGAGATCTTTTGGTACGAGCAGAATGCTTGGAAGAACAAGTGGACAGGGTGGTAAGACCCTATTTTAAATTAGTGAGTGATCGCGGACCAAATTTGTAGCTAACTGATCGGTATCGCGTTCGCAGTCAGAACTGGACATTCTGTTCAATTTGGACAAGGTGCATGTGATCATGGATGAGATAATCCTGAACGGTATGCTTGTGGAAAGCAATCGGAAAAGGGCGGCTCCTCAAATGACTTGAATGGCTGGCGACAAGGACCTGTTTGGTTGCCGCGGAGATTGAGGGAAACCTAACGTGATAACGCTTTGGGTAGAGACACCCGCTTATCTGAGGGATAACGAAAACCTCAAATCCACCAAATCAAGGAATTTCCGTTTTTTTTTTAAAACCACGCATGAGGCCTAGTAGCTTGTAGACTGCTTTTGCAATATAATATCACTTTTATTCTTTCTTATCTCGCCGCCATAGAGAACTCTGTAAGCTAAATTGGTAGATTCGCCCGAGCCAGGCGAAAGCAAAGATAGTTAGAAGTGAGACCGAAAAGAGATATGGGTTCATGTGACTCAATCCGAAGTTTTAGTCCACCGATATTACGGTGGCGCGCTTTGGAAAATGGACCAATCAGGCTGTTTTCATCATTTTAGAAACATATAATTTTTTTTTTACAAGTTGTCACGGAAAACATTATCTTTTCTTTTTACATCTTTGTTCCCTTTACCTCTTCCTTCATTTCATCTACTTGTTCTTTATAACAAAGGGGAATTATGCAGGAGAAGACTGAGATCGAGTCCTACAATCATCCTCAGGATATTGGCTCGCCCAGAGGAACCACTCCTCAATATGAAAACTATTCAGACTATGATGCCAACGAAAAGAACGTTGACGTTTCTGATGTCGGTGCCATGGAAGAACAAGTTGGCACCAAGCGTGGCTTGAGCGCTCGTCATATTCAAATGATTTCGCTTGGTGGAGCTATTGGGTAAGTGCAAGTCATTTTGTTCCTGTACACTTCTCACGGTCATAATGATCTAACCTACCTGACAGTACTGGTTTGTTCTTGAACTCTGGCGGTAATATCGCATCGGTATGTTTGACGTTAGCCATGATTCTTTTTTGATCCCACCGAGAAAGGGTTGTTACTGATAACGGAGTGAATTTTTTTTTGAAACGTATAGGCTGGTCCCGCAGGTGCTCTTATAGCATACATCGTTAGTAAGTATTTCAGCTATGTAGCACAATGCTTGTGTAAACGAGGCATTTACAATGATTATACCGGTATTAACCCACTTCTTCCCAATAGTTGGCTTCATGGTGTTCTGTATCATGACCTGTCTTGGTGAAATGGCTACATACATGCCAAGTAAGTTAGAGAATGGATTGACTATCATAAGGACCGGGAGGCTTGACTCCGCTCCAAAATACACCCACAATGTCCTTTTTGCTGATTGATGTTCCACAACTTTCCTTCTCATAGTCTCTGGATCGTTCAACTTGTACGCCTCAAAGTTCGTGGATCCTGCTCTTGGTTTCGCCCTTGGTTGGAACGTATGTTTTTAATTTTCGCATATTTTAAACATTGGTTTGGGAATGAATTCCCACTGCACATAACAGTCATGCTCATACTTGTTGTTGCTTCAACCTTTTTAGTACTGGTTCTCATGGGCAGTCACTATTGCTACTGAATTGTCAGCCGCAGCTACTATCATTGACTACTGGTTCCAGGATAACCAAGTTGTCCCTGATGCTGCTTGGTCAGCCATCTTCTTGGTTCTCATCTTGGGTATTAACACCTTTGGTGTCCGTGTCTATGGTGAATTGGAATACTGGTTCGCTATGATCAAGATTCTCTTGGTCATTGTTTTCTTGATTGTTGCTCTTCTTGTCACCACTGGTGCCGTTGGTGGTCATACCATTGGTTTCTCCTACTGGAAGGACCCTGGTGCGTTCAACAATGGTGTCTTGGGTACTGTCGGCGTCCTTTTGTCCGCTGGTTTCTCTTTCCAGGGTACCGAAATTGTCGGTGTCACTGCCGGTGAGGCCAAGAACCCCCACAAGAGTGTTCCTCGTGCTATCCGCAACGTTTTCTGGCGTATCCTTATTTTCTTTGTTTTGACCATGCTCTTCATTGGTATGTGCGTCCCCTACGACTTGCCCGAACTTTCCACCTCCAGTGATGCCGCTACCGCTTCGTTCACCATCATTTTCAACATTGCTGGTATCGGAGTCGGTGCTCACATTGTCAACGCTGTCGTTTTGAGTTCTGTTCTTTCCGCCGCCAACTCTTCCTTGTACACTTGCTCTCGTACCATGATGGCACTTGCTAGAGATGGTAAGGCCCCCGCTATCTTCTCTCGTACCACTCGTTGGGGTGCTCCCGTCTTTGCCACTCTTGCCTCCTCCATCATTGGCTTCGCTTGCGTTTTCGTCAGTCTTTACCGCCCAGATGATGCTTTCATTTGGTTCTTGAGTATCACTGCCGTTACTGGTTTCATCAGCTGGACTGGTATTGCTGCTGCCCATCTTCGCTTCCGCAAGGCTTACGTTTATCAAGGCCGTGATCTCAACGAATTGCCCTACCGTGCTTTGTGGTTCCCCTTCTCTCCCATTTTTGCTATTGTCTTGACGGTCTTGATTGTTCTTGCTCAAGGTTATGGCGCCTTCTACCCTCAATGGGATGTGACCACTTTCTTCATTGACTACATCGGTATTGCTCCCTTCATCTTGACTTATGGAGGTTACAAGATTTTCCGTCGCTCCAAGGTCATTCCTTTGGGTGAAGTCGATCTTGATACCGGCAGATATTTCCCCACTGCTGAAGATGAGATCGATAATGAGAATGATCTCCATAGACCTTGGTACAAGAAGATGTTCTCCGCCATTGTTTAAAGTAGACCGCGCCAACCTACCTTCCTCCATCTTTTAACTCATCTAAAACCCCCCATTTTTATGCCTATGTTGGGCTTTCTCCTCGACTTTTCAATGCCACATCTTCAACTCTCTGGAGAGAACAAATGACCAAAATTATTTATTACCTCGATCGTATAAGCACTTTCTACCACCCTGCTGTCTTCTACGCCCCTCTTATTGCTGGTACGCTTTGCCCATCCCTACCCTATTTTTTCGTTTTGTATATCCTAAGATGTATAATGTGACCCTATAAATTTTGATATAATGTATCATTATCCACCATCAAGTTGCTGATCTGAAGTAAAGAGCGGCGGAAGTAGCCATTTTGGTGCGCAGTAGGGCGGGATTAATAATACTGGTAGAGCGCAGCACCAGCTTGACATATAAACGTGGGCAAGCGGCGCTTTGATCCGCACCTTCTTTTTATACAAAATGTTCACTTTGGTTTTCATCGTGTCGGTGCTGGCTGGGTTTCTATTCACCCCATCAGGTCGATCAAAAGGTATTTGGTCCGTTCGCGTATCGGCCACGGCTTGTAGATGAAAGTCCTCTGACGGTGCTTCGTGTTTGTAGGCGCTTGTTATCTGCGTGCAACGACCGATTTCCTGATATTCCTATTGCCCTATCATCGCGTCATAACAGCTCATCGCACTCTCCCCTCACGACTACCATGGTTGTATCCTTATCTCTTCCGGGTTTTAACATTTCCACTTCCAACCCACCTCAAATGGACACAGAAAGCCATAGGTGAGGGCTGGCAGGGCTATTGGATTGGACGTAACGCTGCTGCCGTTGACGACATGGAAACCTTGGCGGCATCAGCTGATTTTGTTATTCTGGATATGCATGGTAGGCGTCCCCACAACCTCGTGTTGTTCCCAACCCCAAGTGTATTCTAACTGTTATCTTTTATCAGGCGGAGGCTTCACTGATGGCAACGCACTGATGTATCTCCGTACCTTGGTACAGTGGCTTACAGACATAGACAATGGATACGGTCTGAAAGGCATTATCTTATCTATGGAGTATGGTGGGTTTGTTTTCAGCGCAGTAAGGGTATGCAGCGTACTGTAAAATTACTGAACATGGAAAATTTTCCCATTTCAAGAACTCGCACCTACTGCTAAATGGCCGAGGCAAGTAAACGAATGTATGGCAGCGTATAAACATATCAAATCTCTGCTTCCACCCGAAAAAATCATTCTAGGTACGTTTTCACTATAGCTGGCTGGCGATTGAAACGTCTCCCGACAATGTTTCTTTACCATGCGCTTCTCATACTTTCTTTCCATGACATATATAAGCTGGTGATAGTGCAGGAGGTTGCCTTGTACTGAATCTACTCGCAAAAGGGTGTGAGTGTGCTGCAGCCGTTACTATTTCCCCTTGGACAAAACTTCGGTCTGATGCCTCCACAATTTATACTCTGAAGGATAAGGACTGGATATCGGCAAAGGGCCTCAAATTCTGTGAAGATGCATACGTGCCTGAGGCGGTGGATGCGCATACACCTGATATCTCCCCATACTACCAAACCTCCTTCAAAAACTATCCACCATTGCTTGTGACTTTCGGCACGGGTGAACTCTTTCTAGAAGACATCCGAGCATTTGTTAACAAAGCACGGAAGGATCAAGCGACAGTAGATGTATTGGTACGGGAAGATATGGCTCATAAATGGTCAATGCAACCACTCTATTGTCCAAGCCTACAGGCATGGAAAAGTGATAATGCTGCCATTGCGCGATGGATGGCACTACACCTACGAGCAAAAGAATAACAAGATTATATCATACTGCTTTAGCATACCAATATGAGTAAATGTAAAAGGACAAGAGAAAACATGGTTGGAAATTATGATAGTTGGAAATTACGCAATCAAAAGATATTGAATGTACATTATTGCATTTTCAAACTGAAAGAGTGTGTCAAAGCAACGAACGCAAGGCCAGCATTGCAGCAGCTCTGTGCATGTAAATAAATCACTTCCTACTTGAAATAATTGTCTCTTGCAGATGTGACATTAAATCAGTTGGGAACGCCTAGACGGTATCATCACTGCCGTGCGCAATTAAAAAAATAAATAAACCAGATTGCTTGGAACCGAATGATTTACATAGCACACCATCACTTACTGAAATGCCCATGATGTTTTCTTCGGCGAGCTCTTCGCATTTCTAACGTACAAGTCATTGTCCGGTGGTAACTCCTAAAAAATTACAAGGATCTTATTAGAAACTATTACAGAAATGAGCATGGACACTTCACATGCCTTTAACTACTTGCCTTTTTTGTGCAACTTGAGAGCATGGATTGTATAGAGAGGCAGACCTGAGCTACCGTTTGCACAGGTGACCAATCTCGGTACAAGATATTCAAACATATGTGTCCATTAGAATAAATCTGTTGAAAATGTAGGCAAAATGACTTTTAGCGATTCCACGCATGACATGTAAAAAGTATGACATTTCCTGCTTAAATCAGCCTTACACTGATGAAAAGAAGGATACAAAGGGTCAATTCTACCATTCAAAGTTTTGCTTGCCATCTCATTATGACTTACTGTGGATGTATTGGGATGTATGGCTTTATGAACAACACTTCTGGTGATTCGAGTGGGTATGATGGCGTAAAGTGAAACTGTGAAAATCGGAGCGAACCAATGGATGAGACAAAATGATGGGTTTTGAAAACGATATCAAGCATGGGTATGGCATAATGGATCTACAAACCTCTAATTTGAAGTGTTCGCCCTGTAGTAGAAAATGTGGGACATGAATAAACGGTATTTTTGGCCCGGTGGTGATGCCCAGGGTGGGAAATAATCAAGAACCCACACACTCACCTCGTACAGTGTCCCGGGAGCACCGACTATTAAGATGACCCAACTAGACACGCCGTTAGATGCCGATTCTCAGTAGCTTAAAGCATCCAACATGTCTCCTACCTCTTGAACGTACTAGCATCCTCTACCGTTACGCCTTCAGGAGGATTCAAGCTCAGGTCTAAGAGGAGACAAAGTCAGACAAATTCTATTAGCCGTATCTCGAAGTGCCGGCCACTCTCGACATGATGCTTTTCCAAAATCCCTTGTAGCATTTCTCATGGATAAACGATGACACTGCCGTTCATCGGCTGCATCACTGTTCATCTCGGTGATGCAAGGTGTAGCATTCAAGCTCAGCTTCGGTCTGGCAGAAAAAGACGAAGCGACTCCGTCTCTCACATGGAGCTCACATACCTTTCAACTCTTTCGTTAACCTTCGCGTAAATAACGGTTTCGCCATGAGGGGTGTCTTGAGCTGAAGAAGAGCAAACGGTGCTGAATCAGAGATCGAAATGCAGAAACTAAAAACTGCTCAGATCAATCTTCTCATTCCTCCCAGCTTTGTACGGAGCCAGTCACATCGACCCGAGACTATAGAGGAAATTGCCGACAGGAGCGTCATCAACAGGAAAAAAAAAACCGTGATTTATGCTGTTGGAACGACGAACCCAGGAATAGCGATTACTGCTGCTATCCATTCATTGATCCCAAGTGATAGTTGTTTTTTCCCGTTTATTATGGTGTTTTTTGTATTTATGGCTGGGAGGGGGGTTTACTTTACAACACTTCCCAATGACTATGTTTTTTGGTTTAATTTCTTTCGCCGTCTATAGCTCATCGTGTCCAACAAATAGTTCCTCGGGAACAGCAGGGATCTCTTGTCTGAGCTTGGGAGCCTTGGCTACTTCAGCGCCAACACCTTTACCAACGACTTCTTCAATACGTTGGGTAAATCCACGCATATCCTTAAGTGCGAAACCGCTGCGAATGGCTGTGGTTTCGTACAAAACAGTAACCAGCTGTGTAATGTCCTCATCAGCTTCTCCATCTTCAATCTTTTCTAACAATGACTGGATGATAGGGTGGTTAGGATTGATTTCCAAGCTCTTCTTTTGTGACGCCATGAACTTGTAAAGAGCATCTTCCTTTTGAGCAGCATTGAAACCCTGAGCGGCCAAGAGCTTCTCCATATGACCGGTCAATCCAAATTCGGGAGTGACAATGGCCATAGGCGACGTAGCCAAACGCTTAGAAATGGTAACCTTGTCGATGTACTCTGAAAGGATATTTTTAAGATAGTGCTGGAGTGGACGGTAAGATTCTTCCAAAGCCTTTTGTTCTGCTTTAGAATCGTCCGTTTCTTCTCCAATCTTGATATCGCCCTTAGCAATGTTGGAGAACATCTTTCCATCATATCCAGGCATGTTTTGCATTAACATTTCATCAATGGGATCAGTAAAGTAAAGCACTTCATAGCCGTCGGCAACAAGACGCTCCAAGAATGGAGATTGTTCGATCTCTTCCACAGTCATTCCAGATGCATAGAAGATGTTCTTTTGGTCGGGCTTCATTCTCTCAATGTAGGCATCAAATCCAACCACTGGCTCTGTAGGGTACTGTGAGGATTGGTAACGGAGAAGGGTGCCGATCTTCTTACGGTGGGTGCTGGATTCAATACCACCATACTTGAGAGCTGATCCATAATGTCGGATAAACTGAGTATACTTCTTCTCGTCAGTCTTAGCAAGTTGAGCGAACATGTCCAATGCCTTTTTGATTAAACGTTTAGAGATCATCTTGAGAGTTTTGTGTTGTTGAAGAGTCTCACGAGAAACATTCAATGGGAGATCTTCTGCATCGACAATTGCCTTAAGGAAAGAGAGCCATTTAGGGAAGAAGTCGCCGGCAACCTCATCAGTAATGAACACTCGCTTGATAAACAACTTGACATTGCTGGTATCTGTGGCAAGACTTTGATAAAAGTTTGCTTCGGGTTCCGGAGGAACGTAGATGATAGAGCGGAAATCGACATCGCCTTCACCCTTGAAGTGAGACCAGGTAATGGGTTGAGCATTGTCGTTCTTGCTGAAGGACTTGTAGAATTCAATGTATTCCTCCTCCGAGATATCCTTGGGGCTGCGGGTCCAAATAGGCTTTTGGGTGTTGATTTGGTTCCATTCCCAAACTTGCTCAGTGATCTCTTCAGGTTCGTCCTTCTGTTCTGCGTTGATCTCTTCCTCTTCAATGTCATCCTCCAAGTCAACCTTGTCATTCTTATCAGGGACAATGGTCTCATTGTGACTCTTCCACAAGAAGATGGGGAAGTTGATGAATTCAGAGTAACGAGAAATCAGATTCTCAACGTTGGAAGGCTCCAAAAACTCGGCAGCATCTTCCTTGAGGTACAACGTGATTTGAGAGCCACGTCCAAGGGTGTTTCCACGAGGATCTTCAGCAATAGTGAAATCATTGACAGCATCGGAGACCCAGACATGTTGAACAGGGTCATCATTGGACTTGGAAGCAACTGTGACGCGATCTGCTACCAGGAACACAGAGTAAAAGCCAACACCAAACTGACCAATCAAAGAAACGTCATCCTTCTTGGAATCTTCCATCTTGGAGAGGAACTCGGAAGTTCCTGACTTGGCAATGGTACCGAGATTGTCTTTCAGCTGTTGACGAGTCATACCAACACCAGAATCGGTGATGGTGAGGGTGCGAGCAACTGGATCAGCAGCGATAGAAATGTTGAGGTTGCTATTAGAGCTCATGGAATCACTATCAGTCAATGACAAGAACCGAATCTTGTCAAGGGCATCTGATGCGTTGGAGATAAGTTCTCTCAAGAAGATGTCACGGTTTTTGTACAGAGAGTTAATGATGATCTTCATTAACTTGGAGACCTCAGTCTACACAAACCCCAATGTCAGCGGCGAAGATATATGACTGTCTCGTTAATTAAGCTCCATCCTTACCTCGAAAACATATTTTTCCTGAGTTTCCTGGATCTTGTCAGCATCAACAGCGGAAAAGCCTTGAGCGGCAGCACCAGGAGCGTGAAAGTGCTCAGGCATAGACAACACGACTTGCTCGCTTTGAGGTTCAGCAAAGGCACAGTTGGCAAGCATGCTTGAGGCTAGAAAGCCCAGCGCAACCATGCGAAGGATGCGTGATGTTGGTTTAGACAGCATTACAGATCGATTTCCTTTGGAAAAGAGAAGAACCTGGGGCAAGTCGCCTGTGGTGGTGAAGCGGACCCGAATTTATTGCTGTTCATAGGCCTGGTTTGGCAACTTTTGATTGGCTGTCGAAAATGAATGAGGTCCATCTTCCGCTGGAGTTGCACCGAGCGTGACCCAATTACACAGAACTGCTACTTGGTACGTGAACATTTAATAGCTCGCAAGACAAGCATTAAAAGAATCTGTATGATACAGTATTTATTTAACACATTGGTATCATTTAAAACGTAGCAAGAGGTTGTGAATTGATCGATATCATTAGTGCAGGGCAAAGGTATCTTGTACGACTTCGTATTCTTTGGCAAAACATTATAGGTTAATATGAAATGAAGCTGCGTCAGTCGTTCTACAAGGCCATCTGGATGTGAACACAATGTTTATCTTTCATGGAAGGCAGCTGGAATCTTTACCATTCGCCAATTCTTTCAGAGCTATCAATTATGGGCCATTTGTAAATATGTCAATACACTGAGTAGTATAATAAGAGTGGACAATGACTATGCTCATCTTTCAAAGGTGTGTATTGCATCGTCATGCGTTTACCAACGCAACGTTAAATTCTTGGACGAACGCGAGCCACCGAAAAATGGTGCAAACAAATTTTTTGGGTCGCGTTCAGTTCAGCTCAGCGCGCCGAAGGTTATTATTTCACTCAAGTCTTCCATGACTGACATAACCAATGAAAAGTACACCGAGCTGGAGCTCTACGATTTACAGCTATATGAGCAGCTGGAGTACCTCGAAAGAAATATAGCCTCGATTGAGCAGGATTTAGCTGATCCTCCAGATGATTCGCTTCCAGACGATATTGATGCTGAAGCCCTGCCCGAGACCATTAAAGCGCTAGAGCTTGAATGCGATCAACTGAGAGCTGAATTGGCGTCAGCATTTCAAGAGGGAGTCATCAAGACTACAGCACTACAGAGTTTGAACGCATCGCACTTGGTTATCAAGAACTTATACCCAGAGTAAGCGCGCGCACATTATAAGACGACTCTTTTACCTGACCTTCCTTTACTAACACGTCTGGCTCCCCAGAGATCCAGAACAGCGTTCACATCTTTTCCAGGAAATTGAGAAGCGAGACGATCTCGTGAGTGAATATCTGCTGGCATTTGAAGAATTACGGCCGTATCAGACGTGGATTAAGGAGACCGAAGCTAATATAATTGGTAAGTCAGTCGTTCGTTCCAAGTAGACTTGTGAGCACATAAATGACTGACCACTATGCATAGAGGTTCAGCAAGAAAACCGACAGCTCATGGCGTCTATCATAAAAGCCGAAGGGGTAGCTAAGGAATCAGCATTGGCACGGGAAGCGACTCAGCGCATTGAGAAGTTAGAACGAGAGGCAGCTGTGAAGAGTGATGCGCTTGATCGCCAACAGGCTGCTTCAGCTCGTGAGTCCAGCAGTGCTCCGTCCGAAGATTTTCAGCGAGCAACGGAGGAAGGAGGCAGTCAGCGCAGACGAGAGGAATTATCAGAAGAAGATTTACAATTGAGGTAAGTATTTTAACTTGATGGGCCACCGACGTCTCATGCTGAGGACTTACTGTCATTTCAGAATTAAAAGAACACGTAATATGCTTGAATTTGCGCGAAATGTTCTACAGGTGAATATTTTAGTGACGGCAGAGGATGGGTATTGGAGTGGCCAAGAATCTAATATATCTTTTTCACAGGGAATTATTGTAGAAAGTGGTATCGACTGGTCAGAAAGTGAACGATGGCTGCAAGTCATCCTGACTGTAGGTGAAGAAGTTTAATGCAAACCCACCACACATAGACACTACCCAGAACCACATGTACAGAATCAAACAGCCTTTTTCATTTTAATTATTACTACAAGCCTGCCTTCATTGGCATTTGTATATTAAACCACACAGTGCAAACGAGGGCCACTTTGAATGGAGTTTTATTTTGTGTATGATGCTGCAAGTATGAGATATGTATAATGTACAAAAAGTTATTACGACCGCGTCAGCGAGACACAAAATTATTGGAGGTTGGCGAATCCAGCACCAAATTACTTGAGGATGAAGGCGTTGGGCCTGAAGAGTGGATAAGAATGGAGCTAGATTGACGTTCTTGTGCATTGTCGTAGTCAGGAGTTAATGCTTTACCAATAGCGCCTCTATCAAGGCCAAGGCGATATAACATGAGAGTCAATGTGCCAGCACTGTGATGAACAAAAAAAAGAAAGTGGTGTTTAGCTATTGCACGTCTGTACCATTTAGGATATGAACTTCAATCAAAACCCTACCGGCTGTAAAACATTTGCAGTCGAAGACGCGTGGCTTCAGAGTAGAGATCGTCAATGCTTCGCGTGGCATAGTAGCCAAGTCGAGTGTTTCGAACAAATACGTAGAATTCGCATACAGCCACCAATCGTTCTCGACACGATTCGTCGATGTAACTCCAGTCGTCTTGTTCAATCAACTTGAATCGGAAATGAACTATTTTGGCGGGCCGGCCGCAGGCATGACATCCTTGTACAGCGCTATTAGTTGAGCTGGAAAACCATGTTTGTTTCGATCCCGAGTTTCTAGTTGGCGCCGTCGGCACCTCATAGCCTTCGGATGATTCTTCAATAAAACATGGGCTGATCATGATCGCGTCGGCAATTTTGCGGGATGATAAACGAGGATGAGGTCCAAATCGAAGGCAGGGTTCAATGTCTTCATTTAAACAATGTTTGAGGAATGGGATGGAGTGAAGTTTCTTTGGCGGCGTTACTGCAGCAACTTGAACGAAATCCTGGAATTCGAGCCAGTTGTGATCATCAATCTGAGGCTCCTGATTTGGCGGTGGGGACGGCTGTGAAGAAGGCGAAGGTGGAAGAGAAAACGATGATGATGAAGCTGTACTGGTTTCTTTGGCGATACCATGTAACTTAGCCATGTCCAATTGAGCTCTGAAATAAGGGTCATTGGCGCTAATGCGTTTGATCTTTTCCTCCATGGAAGGACGAGAACCGCCTTTTTCATCGCCATAAATTGCCGATACTTTCAGCATGCCTTCTTCGTCTTGTTGACGATCATATGTCATTTCTTCCATGCGAATTCTCAGTTCTTGGAGCTGAGATTGCTCCGCAGAAAGTCGGTCCTCTGTCTCCTTCAGTAGGCCTTCCAGTTGGCGATAAGCGACTTCGAGTTTCCATTTTTCACGTTTCTCCACAGCAACCATACCATTTGCTTCTTCAAACAGTCGGCGACTTAGTTCTTCGAGTTCTTGCTCAAGCAAATCTTTTTCATGCTGAACTTCTGAAACTCTGTTGATTTCCCCCACATATTTTGCATTTAGGGCTTGCATATCCTTTTTCAGCCGAACAAGTTCGCTTGATTTCGATTCTAGATTATGCTCCAGCTCCTGCACTCGAGCGTTGAGACGTTCTAAATGCTGTTCTTGCAGTTCTGCACGTTGTTTAGCTTCTTCTAACTCTCTCTTGGTAACGTCCAGCGTTTCCATAATTTCAATATTTTTGTTTCGTGCCCTTTCCAAGGCGGGGACAGGTTGGTCACATAGGGAGCAATTTTTTGATGTGGTGGAGGTGAATATTTGTGTACAACTGCAAGTTCCAGTAGAGGGCAGTTCTTGGTAGGACTCTTCGTCTAGATCATGCAGTGTGTTATCTATTGGTTCTTGACGGTTGTCCGTGGCGAGATTTATTGCTTCATGGTCTTGTTTGGAATCCGGTGTTATCCGAATGTCTGGTGCGGGTAGTGCAGGGTCAGGGTCAGGTAAGGAATCCATGTCTTTTGCAATGTTCATATGAAGTTCATTCTCGCTTGACTCTGAAATGTCCACAGTGGCCGAAGTTATTCCACTTAGTGACTCAGTCATTTTGTCAAAGGAATGGATTGACAGAGCCGAAGAAAAAGCTGTAAGGTATTAAAAGGAGGACCGCTTGCGACTGGAAAAAAAATAAAATATATAAAATCGATCAGGAGACAAAATGGGGGGGAATACAAGCCGATGACCGCTTTGGTTGGTTATTCACTCATTCAACGATCTCCACACAACCACCATTTGGCGTTCAGTGCTAATTTGGACCTGGTAAAAATAGCGATTTCCGTCGTCGGCGCGACCATCTGGTCCAAAATATTTGACTGTTAGCATGAGTCGTTACTATCAAAAGAATTTTGCATGGACCCAATTTTGACACCTCACCCAAAGTGTTCAGTCTTTTGAGAATTACATGGCACTAAGGAAAATGAATAGAAATGTTCAAAGAACGTTATGTCGTCAATATCTCATGACATAGTTACCGACATGGTACAGGGTATAGCAAAACGGGATGCTAAAAATAGGACAGGAGTTCGTGTCAGTCGTTGCAATGCGCTTTGATCTACAAGGTTAGTTGATATGCGATGGTTATCGCCAATGCGGCACATCGTAATGATTTCACCGTAAAACCTCCTTAGGCTTAAACCAATACATCATAGTAGAAGTTAAATACAGATTCAAAAAGAAAACACGGGTTGCATATCTCGGCAAGCATTGAAGCGAATGCGATGCCACAGATACGACGTATACAGAGGCGCATTACATCAGCCTCAGGTGCATTATAACTCCTATCTGACTAAAGCATTTTGATGTAGTGTCAAAATCATATGTTTAGAAGACTAACCATCAATGCAGTGTTTGTAATTAAAATCAACATCAGCAAATTATTGGTTGTCCCATGAACTTTCATACGTACTTCCAGAGACTTGCACACCGCCATTGTTTTGAGTCGACAAAATAGGATACTCCATTGCCGCGCAAAATTAAGCTTCGGCGATTTGGTGGAGGCGGACAGAACGGGTGCTGTAAAAGGGTACGAAGAGCAGAAGGAGAAGTTACCATCATGACCAGCAACACGTTTCTCTACTAACACGACCAATTTTGCTCATCCAGTCATTTACAGCATTGTCGCAGGTATTTTTACGGCAGTGATTGAAGAAAAGCATCTGTTTCCCAATAACATATATCAGAGTGTCCGTACTGAACCTTCATAAAAATCTATGAAACTGACAATTTGTATATTGAAGTAAAGCTTCCATATCTAGCCATGATGATATTTCAATTCTTTCACGAGAATATGCTGGTTTTATTATTGAATTTAATGTAATCAAGTTTTATTTTTCTGTCAGTATCTTGTGGAAATGGTACTGCCACGTTCTGATGGCCAATGTGATGACGTGGAAATTCCGACTCTCTGCTGTTCCTGTCTTACTGGACAGTCATTGACCTGAGCTCTTGTGCCCGACACACGCTTCGGCTTTTCAAACATGCACAATTTACAGCAGCGTCTCAGTGTAAGATTTATGCATCATCGCACACCAGCATACCTAGAGCAGACTAAGAACTAGATCCTTTAGGCTACCTTTTCGTTCGCTGTGAGCGCCTTGTTCACCGTCCTTGGAGTTGTGGCAGCGATCTCATGGGTGACAGGATACGGAACAGCTGCCACCAAAGTCAACGTCAGAGACATACGAGTGTAAGAAAAGTAGATGTACGCTCATTCCTTCCAGGGAAAACTTCACAGTTTCTAATACCCATTCTCTCCCATGCAAACTTTAGTATTCAAAGTCGATATGGTCCTGATTACTTTGACTATGGCCGAAAAACGAGCGAGTTCGGTATGCTCAAGTTCGACATCGATGCAGGTATAGTGGTTGCTAATGGTGTAAAAAGACATCAAGTATGGTATGACTGACTCGCAATCATTGCCCAGATCTTACACCTCTCTTCAACTGGAACACAAAGCAAGTCTTTGTTACCGTTGTAGCAGAGTATGAGACAAAGACACATGTAAGTAGACTACTATGTTTGGAAACATCAGCTATGGATAAGATCAAGGAATTAATGACGCGTCAATGACAAAAGAACAAGAATCAAGTTGTCGTATGGGATAAGATCATTCGAGACAAAGACTCAGCGAAAATTAATCTGCGTAAGGTATCCAACAAATACGCATTAATCGACTTCAGTCAAAAATGGAGGTAAGAAAACCTATGACCATCTAACTCTCTTCACTGCTAGACTGTCGCTCACATTTGCATCTATTTCAGAAACCAAGTAGCCAATTTGTCTGTTCACTGGGATGTCACTCCCCACGTTGGCATCCTACAGAACGGACGGGGAGATACCTCTTCGGTAAAGTTCACTTTCCCCAAATTTGAAAGTAGTGGCGGCCGATAATTACTAGAATTTGTAAATTGTCCATACCTCTTCAAACTATAAACCATTTAACAACAACGTGAGAATTTGGAGATGGCGTGTTGTTCATGTAGTGATGTATTGACACATGAGGGTATGATAGAGTTTTTATTCTTCAAATGAAGGCAAGTATAAATAGATACGTGTAAGTAATAACACACGTCTTGCTGTAGTGATGCAGTGATATATGTACAATAAGTGGATAGTTAGTGGGTATTTCTACATCGAAAACCTTTTTTTTTTGTGGGTAAACAAGAGGGAATAGAGAAAATAGTCGTCATTTTTAAGAAAGAGTATCCTTCCAATTAATTCCAGTTAGCCGTAGGCAGTTTTGTTCGAGATGTGATCATCCGAGAGCTTTCACCAGCCTCCGTCATCATGTGAAGCGTTTTTTCTCGTCGCTGTCGAATGGTTGCCAACAATTCTTTAGCAGGCGCAGTAATCGCTTGACTTCCTTGTGCTAACTGAGAAGGTCGTCGGCTAATCGTTTGCGATCCAATCATGGGCTTTTCGTGATCTTCTCGCGCAAACTGATGAAAGAAAGCAAAAAGGGAGAAGAAATTGTTAACATCTCATATCATCACCTTTTGAAAGACAATAGCAAAGGCTTCATACCTGAGATTTCAATGTTGGTGTTCGGACCATCGAAGCAGGTGAACTGTATCGATTGGAGCGCTTTTGTATCAGCAATGGGTTCGCCTGACGTTGGTCATCTAATCCAAGTCTCCTTGACCGCAATTGGGAGTAGCTAGGTTCCATATATTCAGATTCGGCAAGGTCCATTGATCCCAATTGATTGTACATTTCATCAGCGTAGTGACCAGTCCTATCCGTTATCCACGGCTTTTCAGAATACATGGAAAACGTTGGTGAAGGTGGGTTATGATGGTTCCTTGGATTTTCGTCATGACCAAATTTAGCGTTCGCTTTTCGTACTGCCATACCATGGTCGGAAGGGAATTTGGATTCAGATATGGTCGAGAATCGACTGAGAGATTCGATAGAAGTTGATGTGGAGCGGGTTTTTGAAGAGTTTGTACGAAAACTGTAATCGCCTGAAACGTTGGAGGCCGATGAAGACGAAGCCGTTGTTGAGGGAGAAACTCTTGCGTAGCTGTGTCGCATGGATGCTTCGGGGTCAGGGCCAACGACTTGCAGCTCTTCCTCTCTAGCGTTCCTAAGCATTTCGTCTGGCCATTTCAAACCCCAGTCGTTCTGTCGCATAGGTTCTTCTTCCTTAGTGATGTCAACCATGGAACTACCAATAAAATCAGGGATTAGACTTCTTGACGCCTTAGCTCTTTGCGGTAATCGTTGCACACTGTTGCTGGTCCTGGCTGACTGTATGTAGCCCTTTTGAGCGTTCTTTTCTCTTTCTCGTCTTTCCAACAAAGGTGCGTCGTCAGGTAGAGAGACTGTCCTGTCCCTTCCGTTTCTTTTTGATGTTGCCACGGACAACGATCTACTGCGTCGAGCTAAAACCTCTGCACTTTTGCTCTGAGTCGGCTGCGCCTGCTGCTGTGGTTGCTGGTACTTTAGTTGTGACATATCCGATCCTATTGAAGCAGACCGAAGTCTTCTGGACAGCTGTTCATAAGTCTCCTCCTCTCCCTCATTGTCGTTGGCCGAGTCGTCCCCATATGATCTGTACCGAGTATCTTTCGAGTTGAATTCTGAACTGGTTGGTGATAGAATTGCCGTCGGTCGGATGATAGCTGTCGCACGAGGTTTATCACCAAGTGCTGAACGCCTGTGTTGCGGTAAGGGTTTGTCTGTCCGGGGATCGTAAGAGCTTTCAAGCGTACTCCATCTTCGCGCTTTGGAAGGCTGCTTCAATACGCTATTTGGGACTTCTGGATTCACGTGATTCGGCTCATACATCCCATTTTCGAGGTTAAAAGTGACTTGCGGCTTCTTAGGCTCTGGTGCTACTGTAGAAGGTCTGTTCACAGATTCTCGAAGTCGTGATGTAGAGTATCGAGGAACGTAATGTTCTGGTTCGGCTTTGTGTGTGTTGGGATTATATTGAACAGAAGATGATCGTGAATGAGAACCTGTTTCTTTCGACTGTCCGGTTCGGATAACACCTCGTGAAGCCATTTTCAAAGAACCATGCATGCCTTCTGACCTTGCCGCTTGAACATTGCTCACATGTGGTGAGGATTCATGTCTTTGTTTGGTATCTGATGGCACTATGTCGTCTACACGGCTTATATATCCATTCTTAGGCAACATGTTGCTGTTGCTTCGCTTGTGAAGGCGTTGGTCGGTGTACTGCGAGTTTGAAACAGTATATGCCCGATGGAGTTTGTTTGTTGACTGGTCGTTGTCTTCAGAATTTGGCAGACCTAGCTCTCGTATCCCGACTAATTTCGGATCATACAAAGAACCCTGAGAGTTTGCTGTTTCTCTTGCAGCAGCAGTTTCATACGTATCGGCGATACTATAGCGCTTGGATACCAGTGCTGGATGAGATTGGTAATGTCTGCTGGTACAGGATGAGTACAAAGTAGCGAAACAGTGTTTGCGGAAGCAAAAGACCCACGTACCTTTTGTGCGAAAGATTTTCGTTGTTCAACAGCGTTCTTCTAGGAGATGGGGTGCGCAAAGCTGCCGTGGGGGAATCCATCTCTCTTAAAAAGGCGTGCTGTTCATAGTCTAATTCAACGGCCATCAAATCTGACGAATCATCACCGTCTCCTGAGAGGGAAAAAGTGAAACATGAATATGAGTGGATGTTCAATATAAAATTCAGGGCAAAAAAGAAGCAACCGGAAGGGCTATTTACCATTCTTGAGCTGATTAAAGATTTGTGCGCTCTCACACCGGTCCGTCATAGCAAGTTGACGGTTTCGTCGTATGTAGCTTGGATATAATAAAAAATCATCCGTACCAGCCTTGGACGGAACGGGTGTCACAAGCGTCCGAGTAATATTATTGATCTCTTCCTCATCGAACTCTGGTACAAAGAGGTCATGACGATCGGAACTTTGCCACGGAAAATAAGGTGCTGATTTATCATGCAGAGAATCGTGCCATTCTAAACTCTCAGCGTAAGATGAGCTATCGTCCATGTTAGTGTAGATGCACTAGTGACTGGACGGTTTGTGAATGAACAAGCTCAGTCGACTGGGGCTTATGGAAAAAATGGATATTGTTTTGAAAGGAGGAACGGAAAGAGTTGTTTATGACCAAGCTTGAAAAGGCAATCAAAGAACCTCAAGTTGCTTGTTGTGACGCAAGACATCCTATCCAACACCTTACAACTTTGCAGATCATGTACGCGATAGGCATACCAACAAATAGTCCACCGCACTGCTGCGAATTCAGAAGGTGTGCCTATGGCTGGACTTATCGCCGTTTATGATGATCATGGCCCAAACCCATCCAAAATTTTGATGTTTACCGCCACTTTTCAGCCATATGGCACTGAAGGTGAACGAAAGTGCGTGCATTCATGTCTGTATAGCACCCGATCACTAGCAGCTTGTTATGTGGACTTTACTGACGACAGAATGGAGGACGGTATTTCACAAAATCACTGAACACCCCCACGGTCTTAGATTAATGTTTCTTGCAAATTTTGTGCAGGTATGCGGGGTTTAAATGCCTTTTTGGGAATGATGAAAATTGATCGCGGCCAAAGTCTTGTGGCCATGACTATCAGGCCTTGCGCACACTGCAATGTTTGGATTGAATATGTTCAAAGACATGGAGCGAGCGAAATTTATTGTTTGTACATGATCCTTGATAAAAAGGAAAATACAATACTTGAAATATTACGGTCTTAAAGAATGAGACGAGATATCCCCTTCATGAACACAAAACACTTTAAACAACCTCTTATGTAATTTTGAATTTTGATTGTTATTTCTTTCAAATTGTTACCAGAAAGAAAGATGTAGCGAAATTACAAAAGTTGAATACAAAAAACAGAAACATTGAACTTTTCAAAAAGAAAAAACGAAAATTATAAGGAATAGCATGCACCGAGCTTATTACACAGCAACGGCGACCTCGCTGGAAGCTTCTGGATTAGGGTTCTTGCCCTTTCGATAGAATCTGGTTTCGTTGGGATCAAATCCAGCTTCTGGAGCACCGAAAATGGCCCATTCTGGGGTCTTGGCGACATAGTCAAGACTATTGAAAGGTTTGCCGCTCTCCAACAACTCAAAGAACTTGGGGTAATCGATGTGTGTATGCCATTCGTTATTGATCTTGAATTGCTTGGAAGCAATGAGGATAGAGCAGGAGTGAGCATGTTCACAAGCAATCTCGTAGTCATCTCCAACAGCTGCCACAATCTTCTTGCAGAATTCAACAACTTCAGTATGGTATGGGACCTGGAAGTGAGGTGTTAATAAAATATGGTTCAATAGGTGGGCCCCAAAAATATCTACTCACATTGGCCATAGTCAAGCTGCTAGCGCCACTGTAACCGCAGTAGGTTACACCCTTGACTTCAATAAAGCTTGGTCGACCGCGACGAATGAGCTCCACATAGTTGCCAATATCATCGGTATTATAGTCCTTGACAAGAGTGAGTCTGAAAACTGTTCGTTGTCCCTTGGTGGCCAAGGAATCTAAACTTGCCAAGAAGCGCTCCCAGAAATCTCTGAACAAAGGTCGATCAATCTTCTTCAAACTCTCCTTTGTACTGGCATCAATACTGACATAAAGTTGAGTGACTTGCTGCAAATCTGCAATTCGGTCAGGATGCTGTGCATTTGTAACCAAAAAGGTGGATATTTTTCTTTCATGAAGCTTTTGGACAAACTCATTGATATGAGGGTACTGGTGGAAAGGCGGAATGGTTTAGATGTCATCTAACTCGCGCTGGACGCAGTAGCAGAATGATGACTTACAAAGATAGGTTCTCCTACTAGGGATAGAGCACAGTGCTTAACGTTGAACGCTTCCTGGAATCGATCAGCTTTGACACCAGGAACACCCTTCAATTGTTTGATCATTTTGTAGTGGTTTTCCAAAACACCCTGGACGATAAATTCAGGGTCGTCTACCTTCCATCGCCAACTGTAAGCCATGTAAGATGTCAATTGCCACATTCACTATTTGCTCACGACGACATGTCTACTTACGTCTTTCCAACAGGGTTTGTGTGATGGCGCCAGCTGTAAAAGGACGGGTTTGGATACTTTAGCATGCTATAAGAGTAGATAATGACCATCACAAGCAAGTCTAACGTACCAGAAAACACATTTGTTTGAGCAAGCGAGAGAAGGAGTGCTCTCGCTACACAAATGAGATTGAATGCCATAGAATGAGTGTTTGTAGCAGAAGCCTGTGGTATCGTAAATTGGATGGCAATGGTTAACAAACTGGTGGAATTGAGCGAAGATTTCAAAAAGCATACGCACCTCGACCACGGAGAGCCGCCTTGGTCCAACGACAGATCTTTACACCAGAGTGGGATCCAACAATTTTGTAACCTTGCTTTGTGAGGTTCTTGTGAAGCATAGGAGACACCATTTCTCTAGCAACGGGAGCTGCAGTCGCTTCAACAGTGGTACCTATGCTTCTCTTAGGCTTAGCCTTGCTGTTCTCAAAAGCTTCCTCCTCTTCGGCTCGGTTGATTTTAGCAGCCTTGATCTTGGAGGCCATTTTGCCCATATCTTCCAAATCAACCATTTCGTCTCCTGAGCCATCATCGTCACCAGCCCCAATATCCTTGTTGAGTTCACCATCATCGACTTCCTCGTCGTCGTCCTCAGAGTCGTATTCAATGTTAGTGGGATGGAAATCGAGAGCATGACCGTCTTCAAGTTCGGCGATAAACCCAGAAGTCCAGGCGGAAAACTGAGCTTGTTGGTCGGCGTTCTTGTCGCAAGCACCCAATGGATAAATACGGGAAGCACCCAATTGACCGAACCACTTGTCGATGTCTGCACTGGCGACGTTGAATTCATCACCGTATTCAGAATCACCGAGACCACACACTGCAAAGCGAACTTTCTGCAAGGAAAGTCGATCCACACGGAAGTCATATCTAAGATCCCGAGTCCACTTTGAGAACCTGAAAGTAAGATAGAGCAATAAGTATACATCACCTCTGACAACAATTAATTGAAAGACTTACCAATCCAATGGGCCTTCGACATTATAGGAAGACAGAATGAAGACACAGATTGCAGTTTCGGTCAAGAAGTCGTCGTTGTCGTAGTCTACAATATCCATGACGGTGATCTTCTGGACCTGGACCTTGGGACCGGCGGCTTCTAGGTTCTGCTGAAGTTGATCAGCAAATCTCTTAGCGGTGCCAGTCAGAGAGGCATAAAATATCTTGATGTGCTCAATTTCAACCGGCTCGTTCGAATTAGAGCAAGCGCAAGCAGAAGCTGCCGAATCATCGGCTTTGCAGCATCCAGATTCAGCTGTTTCCTTTGATGGAGAATCTGAGTTGCAACAACCACCGTCAGCATTTCCACCACAGCAGCCGCTGTTGTTTTGCTCCTCAACGGCAGGCTCGGTTCCGAATGTAACAATGTTTCGGAAGCCTGATATGATGTTGTTCACTAATTCACTCATGTTGGAGACAGTGTCAGGAACAATATGCTTTCTTTTTTTTTTTCTCTTGGACTGAGTGAGGAGGAAAAAAAGTGTGACTGTTACTTTCTGTTAGTGTTTGAGCGCTTAGCTGTTCAGCCGTGTTATATTTTTGACCTTCACATCGTAACCCGCCATGGTACGTACATGTCGTCCAATGCGCGCACGTATGCTATTTACACGCCTAATGACTTTTCAATAGACTACCGCAGCTAGACCGACGTTTGATCCAGCAAAAGGAAGCGATAACAAGCGACCTACATTCCAATGGGGATCAAGAGATTTACCAGCTCATACCAAACTCAAATACAGGTAAACACATCGCAACGGTTCAGCAGAGCGTGGTTGGATGATAGCATTGACGTTTTGCCCTTCTTTTTATAGACAACCTGGTCAAGGTACCAGCGATGAAATTGCCGATCGCGATCTTTTGAAAGAGGAGCTGCGACGAGGTGAACGAGAACACTATGAAGCACTGGAACGAGAGAAAGGAGGATTTGTCTCAACACAGCGACGAGTACTACCATCGGGGGATGACACAGATGATCCAGAAGAAAGGCGACAACGGTTACTTGCGGAAGCAGAAAAATTAGCAGCGTTGGATAAAGATGATAGCGACGACAGTAATAGGTGAGCACTAGCTGAAGCATATGAAGAGAAAATTTATATGTTTTTTGGTGAAAATTCTTTTTGCTAATCAATACATTACTTTATAGTGACGATAGTAGTGACGAAGACGACGATGATGATGACGACGACGATGATAATACAGCCGAGCTGCTGGCCGAGTTAGAAAAGATCAAGAAGGAACGTGCTGAAGAAAAAGAACGACAGGAACGACAGCGACAAGAAGAAGCTGAAGCGGCTAAAGAAGAACAAGCCATGACGGGTAACCCTTTGCTTGACTTGGCCGAAGAGAAGCGAGACTTCAGCGTTAAACGAAGGTAAAGCACGGTTTCTTATTGGTTACTTGGTGGAAAAAGGCTCAATCAAAGGACCGAAAATGGTGGAGAGACAAATTTCTGATGACTAAACGGGGTAATACTCTTCATTTAGATGGGACGACGATGTTATCTTTAAAAATCAAGCCAGAGGAGTGGACGATAAACCCAAGAAGCGCTTCATTAATGACACTCTTCGATCTGATTTCCACCGACGATTCCTTGGAAAGTACATCCGTTAAACCGTTGTAATAAAATCATGAACAGCCCTTCACGTGAGAAGAACATATCCGGGGTATGTTTTGAGTCACCGAGTGGTTAACCAGTGAGAATGGCCAGCCAGCCAGTGGAAATTTGAGTTGAAAGCCAACACAGAAAAAAATAAGGGAAACTTGTTTGTTGAGTTGTTGTACCTGTCCCTTCTTTTTTTATTTTTTGTCTAACCATGGTCGTCGAAGCTGAAGCTGCCCTGGCCAACGTATCGGATCACTACAAGCGTTTGTTCCAAAAGCACGCTTCCAAGGAACTGAATGGAGATCACTTTATGACCAAGGATGATTTCTTAGATGCCGTTGCCCCTGGAGAGGATTTCAAAAAGATTGAGCGAAACCAGTTTGCTCTTTTGTTTCGTTTGGCTGACAAAGGTGAAAAGGGTTACTTGTCGTTTAACGATTTCATAATCTTCCAAAATCTCTTGTCCAAGCCTGATGCCGAGTACGAGATTGCCTTCAAGCTGTTTGATAGCCACGGCTCCGGCAAGATTACCTTTGACCAGTTCAAGCAGGTCTTGTCGTCCAACTTGCCACCCGAAGCTGTCCCCTTTGATTTCGATTGCGACTGGCTCAAACTTTATATTGGAAACAAGGAAGGTCATCACGAACTTACCTATGCCGAGTTCACACAATTGTTGAAGGGTCTTCAAGGCGAGCGCCTTCGCCAAGAGTTCAAGCACTATGACCAGAAACAAACTGGCTATATTGAACCAGACCACTTTAAGCAGATTATTCTCGACATCGCGAAGCATAAGCTGTCGGATACCGTTATCGAACAGCTTCCGACCTTGTGCAACCTCTACGCTGGCAACAAAATCACTTTCTCCAATGTCGTTGCTTTCCACAACGTTGTTCGTTCCATGGACATGGTTGAATCCATCATTCGAAAGGCGGTGAAGTCCAGCCCTGACCACAAGATTACCAAGCAAGACTTTTTGCATCAGGCCGCTCATTCCAGTCGTTACTCTTTATTCACTCCTATGGAAGCAGATATCATTTTCCATTTTGCTGGGGTTAATAACTCCTCTGGTCGTCTGTCTCTTGAGGACTTCGCTCAGATCTTGGACCCACGTTGGAAGATACCCGAACAACTGCCAAGCCAAGTTCACCTTGGGCAGGGAGATCAGAAGAAGAAGCACGGATTTGGCTGGGAGGTGATAGAGAGTGCATATGCATTTACCTTGGGTGCTATTGCTGGTGCTGTCGGAGCCACTGCTGTATACCCCATTGACTTAGTCAAGACCCGCATGCAAAACCAACGTTCCAAGGTGGTTGGTGAACTGCTGTACAAGAACAGCATTGATTGCTTCAAGAAAGTCATTAAGAATGAAGGCTTCCTTGGTCTTTACCGTGGTCTTGGTCCTCAACTTGTGGTAAGCATCTCGCGTCATATTGTTTTCATGTGATTTTTCTTTTGGGCGAGAATCGTGTTGTTAATCCCATGACATTTTGTATAGGGTGTTGCTCCCGAGAAAGCCATCAAGTTGACGGTCAATGATCTCATGCGCGGCAAGCTGAAGAACAAGGAGACTGGTGAAATTAAGTTCTGGCATGAAATGGTTGCTGGTGGTACCGCTGGTGCCTCTCAAGTTGTAAGTTAAAACCCCAACATTGCAATATGTTCGTTTGATCGTGGGGATAGTAAGTCATTGATTTCTAAATATCTCTCGTATAGGTGTTCACAAATCCTTTGGAAATTGTCAAGATTCGACTTCAAATTCAGGGTGAACAAGCAAAGAACTTGGATGTGCCCAAGCGATCGGCCATTTGGATTGTAAAGAATTTGGGTGTGGTTGGTCTTTACAAGGGAGCCACTGCATGTTTGTTGCGTGATGTTCCTTTCTCTGCCATCTACTTCCCTGCCTATGCGCACTTGAAGAAGGACATCTTCCATGAAGGCCCTGACCACAAACTCACCATTGGTGAGCTGCTCACAGCGGGTGCTATTGCCGGTATGCCTGCCGCATACTTCACAACTCCTGCCGATGTGATCAAGACGAGATTGCAGGTCGAAGCTCGAAAAGGTCAAACATCGTATAACGGCATTGCCGACGCAGCTAGGAAGATTTATGCCGAAGAAGGCTTCAAGGCTTTCTTCAAGGGTGGACCTGCCAGAATTTTCCGTAGCTCACCTCAATTTGGTGTCACCTTGACTGTATACGAATTGTTGCACACTTGGCTCCCACTGCCCGGAGCTGAGACAGCCGGCACGACGACGACTGCTACCAAATCATCAGACGATTACAATAACATGGGCTTGTTGCGATCTAGAAATGCTCTCAAGATGCTGTTAGACTTGGATTACCGGTTTGGCGTTTATAGACTGCCCAACACCACTGCCAACGCTCCCACTGAGAGTGCATAGAAAATTACATACGAATACAACTGATAGAAGACGCTGATAGTTGGTCTATGCAAGAGTTAAACCCTCCCCCCCCCCAAAAAAAAATATGAGAACTGCTGTCAGTTATATTAAAAACCTTCATTCACCCACCTAGAAAATTTTTTATCCTACATTTTCCCTACTTTTACTTGAAGTTGGCTGTACCGACAGTGAACAAGTCATTGTGTGCATGGCGTCTAGTATGTTCTGTTTTTCCTCTCTTATTCTATAATTGCAAGAAAGTAGAATGAGAAGTTTATGTTTTCCCTAATGCGTCATATGCTCCAATAAAAAGGACATAGAGGTACCGAAAGATCAAAGATGAAGAAGGGCTTTGGAAGAAAGAAATAGAAAAAAAAAAGACTGGGGAATCAAATATCATCGGAAGTACACGAAAACCTTTCTGGGAATATGAGAGTGGAGAGCGAGGATTCCGAACTGGTCCCCACACGATGACAATCTTCTTTTTAGACAAGACTCGCACGAACTTTTTCAGCATACGATTTTGTAACATGCTAAATTGCACGGCTTTCTGCCACCCATTGAATAGGACTAACGTATGCGAAATGAAGATTATTTATTACCACCACTGCATGAAGCCTCCAGTTAAGGATTGGATATTCGCTCTATGGACATGACTGATTTATTTCTTTGGCCAGCCTTGAAATCTTTGTTGCAGTCAGGGGAAATCTCATGTAGCCATCGAGGTATACCTTGATGAGCAAAATTTTTTTTTTGTTTTGTATTAAAAACGATGTCTGGCTCGCCTACGAAGCGCGTTGGAACACTTACCGACTTCGTTGGGCTTGCACAAACATTTGATGTGAATATGCCGTGTTTTGCGTAATTCTCGGCAGGTCTCGCACTGGGTGGCCGGCCGCCCTTTTCTGCGTATTGGCACCAATGGACGATTACTATGCGTACACCGTGATGATCGATGTCCCTATCAAAATAGACAAGGAATGTATGTCGAAAGAAATAGGAAAGTGGCTTTACTATAGAGGTTCACTTCATACGAGGTAAACTGAGGTTTAAAGTATTTCTACAGAACGTGTGTATTTTTTACCTTAATACATGACATACAGGAAAACTTTGTGTTGTTGATAATTATCATTACGGTATATATAAATGTTGAGAGAGTGCGGCGGGTTGTTTGAAATTTGGAAGCAATTCATGAACAAGCCAAGAGTTTATATAGACCGCATGATAAGCATCCTCAGGGGACTGGAGTGGGTTGATTGAGGCATTATACTGCAGTACTCGTAGCTGGCGAGTCCATTTTTGCTATTGGCTGATTGATACATTTACACGTTCAAAAAAAAAATGCCTCAAATTTTGGTTACGATAAGAAATTATTGCAGACAGACGTATTGAAAGTGTTACCATTAGCTTTTATTCGATCTACCAACAAACGAAAAAATGAACACCACATACATTCCAACATCAATAGAAGGGTATGATGCTGACAAAAGTATATCGTCTTAACAACGCTTTTTTTGAAGAACGTGAATATTACAAGTATGCGCCGCCTCGTTCTCCTCTCCATCCTTACTCGTCCTTTCTAGACAGCACTTTCAAGTGCAACATCAATCAAAAGTATCTCAAATGGCTTGGGTGCTCATACAATCTTGACTATAGCAGTTATAGGCTAAATTGGCGCAGGGGTTTGGCATCATCAAGTCTAAGCTGTGCCTTGTTCATGACTGAATTATAGACGTGAAAAAAAAAAATGCATTTAAACATGGTGGCTAATAATGGCGCTTCAGGGTATCCGCACTGTAAATCAAATGGCTTGCCATGTTTCAGTCAAAAGTGAGCGAGTCCTGGAAACGTTTCATTTTCTGTTCAGGCAGAGGGATGTGTGCAGCGAGAAGGCGCGGTTATGGGCGGCGGCTATGGAAACATCTAGAGAAATCGGGATTGCATTTCGGGTGGTCATTGTTATGAAAGCGAGGCATATGATATGCAAATTCACGAACTTTCTGGATATTTTGCTACTGGTTATTTGTTTCACTGGGGTTTTTCCCGCCTTCATTGGCCAAGTTTTTTTTTATTGATAAAACTCAACGTCAAAGATAATGCTCGTTGCATATTCCCTGAAAATATTGCCATCACCTTGTATAGGTGTGCAATTCACCATACCTGTCATGAAGGGTAGAGAGAATCATTATTGCATTTTCCGAAGGCTCAGAGTGTTAACACCGGGACTTAGTTCTATTTTTTCAAATGATCTGATTTTTCATTCACTCATGCATCCATTTTTGGCACGAAATTTCGAGAGCTTTCGTCAATGTGCCGCCTGGGAAATTCTGACGCCATTTTGCAGCATAAAAAAACAATATATAAACGAAACGAGTACGTTGGCCATTCTACATCAATTCTATCAACACTACATAGCAATGTCACTAATCTCAACCACAGACCCTAACTTTGATCGCATGGAACGCCGATTGAACCAAGTGTTTGATCACTTCTTCACTGATCTTGGATTGACTCGCCGGGGCGGTGGCCAACAGCAGGACCAGACCCGAATTTCACCTGCCGTGGACATCTATGAGGACGACAAGGCTTGGCATGTACACACGGAGCTTCCTGGCGTCAAGAAAGAGGACATCAAACTGGAAACGCAAGGCAACAACGTTGTCATCTCCGGCGAGTTCAATCGCAACAAGGAACACAATGACAATAACGTGAGATACCAAGAACGCCGCTATGGAGCTTTCCAACGCACCATCCCTCTTCCGGACAATGTTGAAAAGAACAACATCAAGGCTAATTTCAACAATGGTGTTCTGGAGGTGTGTCTTCCCAAGTCAGTCGAAGCTTCCCCCAAGAAGATCACTATTTCGTGAAATCCCAGTATGAAAAACATTCGCTGAAAAATACATATTCCCCCATGGAACAAAAACAATTTCTTGCATGTTCTTTCATATGAATTATCCCTTTTTTTTTTTTTTTTATGAAAAAGCATCAGTAGTTCTTTTGGTTCATAATTGATATCCAATCTTTAGTTTGTTCGTAGTACATGCAAGCCCAATAAATTTTGGTATTTGTCCGTTTTGACCCAAGCGGAGATGGCGATTTTGGTATTTGTGACTTGACTGACTCAGTTTCCACCCCGATGACTCACAGCTTACTGGTTATTTAAGCGAGACGAATGATATCATATTCATCATCTTTTTCACGACCGTCAACATGGAAATCAAATACCAACGAGTGGAAGGGAAGAAGGATAACCTTGGAATGCCATGCTACGAACATCGATTTGATGGGTTGGTCATTTCAAGCGATAGCACATTGATAGATATGGACTTCGTCATAAAGTCTCTCAAGCAGTCTTACTGGGCAGGCACTCGACCTGAAGCAGTTGTACGTCGCGCCTGGGCGCATTCGATAGGAATGGGCATTTATGACGAGAAGACAGGAGCTCAGGTGGCCATGATGCGAGTTGTCACCGATTTTGCTGTCTATGCACATGCTTTCGACGTGTGGGTTGATCCAAATCATCGAGGCAAAGGATACTCCAAGGTCATGATGTCGTTCTTCACATCCTACCCGGAATTGAAAAGTGTCATTCGAATACAACTGACAACATCCGACGCACATACTCTCTACAGCCAATTTGGGTTTGGCCACCTTAAACATCCCGAGCGATTTTTAGAAGTGTGGAGAGATGCAGATACCTCTGCCAAACCAGATATTGGAATATAAGCGGATATTTATTCTAATGTTAAATGTGTACAGTGATATCCACAGAGCGTACTAATAAAATGTCAAGTCAAGCAGAATCAATCGAGAAGGAAAACAATCATCCTCAAGTATGTAAAGAAAAAATGGTATGGCCAGCCAGCGATTTTTAGTCGGCTTTGGCATGACGTCTCCTAGGTAATAGAAATAAGGCGGTACCCATGAGGACATAGCGCGAGATAAACATATTGGCCATGGCAACGAAGTAGAGAAAGGGACGGTATAAGACACCTAGTTCAATCAGAAAACCGACTAGGTGAAAGGAAGGAATGTCAGTCGATGGCAGCGCATAGCACATGGGATAGAAGGAATAAACTTACTTGGCGGAGGAGTGAATATGTAGTTGATATTGATTGTCGATTTGAGAGCCACGACATGGATCAATGGGGAATGATACAACCCATACAACATGAAGGCAAACATGGCGACTTTTGAGGATGCGGGCAAAACAAGGTATCGACCAGAGTAAACCATGTAAAAAGGTAAAATCAAGATGATAATGTGCTCTATTGCCAAGGAATGAGTATTTCTGTTCAACCTTCCATCACTCCACGAAGTTGCGAAAAACTCACCGGCAAAGAAATTGAACGTCTCCCCAATTAAGTAGTGGTCTCGCAGATCAGGGAACAGCAGGGCAGCGATGGTTCCCCAATAAGTGTGGAGATAAATATTGAATAACACGTGTGGTATAGGAGAAGATTTGTCGGGCCACGACATCACAAGGACCAACAAGATGGCGCTCATATGGCAGGGTTGTAGCATGAACAAGGTGGTCCCACGAATGAGTTTATGAATATAGGTAGTGGCCAACGAGATGACCAGGGCAGCAAACAAAGTCCGCTCGACCAGGCTGGCTTTTCTCGTTGGTGCAAAGTTAAACAATAGCTTGCGGTTGAGACCGGGACCAAAGGCAGCCAGGCCATAATAAGTGGTACCCAGCGCAAACACCAGAGAGAGGCATATCAATTCCAAACCATGCTGTGATGGAGGAACGTACCTGCATGAACCCATTGACATTAGTTTTTTCAACCTTTGGCCCCCATTCCGCTCCCCATGAAGAACAATTACCATGACCCAACCACAGATTGAGACCAGTCAGTTTCTGTGGGCACACCTGGGGCGAACTCAGTCATCCAGTTGCCCAGCGCACTGTAACCAGACCTCCACAAGTCCATACTCTACAAAGTAAAGGAATGTAAAGGGCAACAGAAAGAAACGAACAAAGAAAGTTGTGAAAGCGTTTTTCCCCCATTTTTTTTTATAATTCAACCCCCCTCCTCAGGTCCCAATTTTTTTTTTTTTTTTCTAGTTGGTTTCACTCCAATTAACCAACCACAAATCTTGTAGGAGAGACATCTTTTGCCACGGCTGCCCTATAACGGGTAATCATGGTATGGTCTGATTGGCAGACAATAAAAGCTCCTTATGCGGCCCTATGGTGGGCCGTCGTCATCGCTTCCATGGTCTATACAGAAGGTATTCTAGCCTTACTTTTAGAAAGAGCATGGCCTAGAGGGCATGTTGGACGTGAACAGCTATGGAGGGGTACTCTGCGTCTCTTCAACCAACGAATAGGGTGTGGTCAAGCGATGACATGTGGGGGGTTCGTCGACGCGTGGAACAGCGAAAATTTTGTGCAAGGGTTATGCGTCATACAGAAAATCCCAACGGGAAACAGGCAAAAATACGATGTGAACCTGTGTTTTATGAAAAATCCAACAACTTGTGAGGGAGGTGTACTGTTCTATAAACTCTGGAAGCGGGTCTTTGGGGATGAACAAACCAAATTCATATTTGAAATAAAAAAGGAAAAGGTGAGATAAAGAAAAAATGGCTCATACAGTTTTCGTGTTGGAGATGAAAAAACAAAAGCAAAAAAAATTTACCAACTGTAAAGGAGTGGAATGGGGGCGGGGGCGCGTAAGTCTTGGGAAAAACAAGTACAACAAACAGAATACAACAACAAAAAAAAATACATGATCAACATGACGGAGGGAAGGGGGACTTTACTGCAAGGGATGCACCAGGCCATCACGATGTTCACTAGGATGATGTTCAGTCCAAGATTGGTCAGGACGATACTGCCAACGGTTCATTGAAGGAATGTCTTCTTCAACGGGTGTATAGGATATAGCATTTGGCTTTGGATAAGGGGGGTTCATGGTAGGCACCATGCCGTATTGATACATGCGATCATCTGAAGGAGGTGGGGACGATATGCTAGAGACATAAGAAGATGAAAGGCTATTCGTTGAGTTGGTGCGATGACGGTCCCAGCCGTCGTTGTTGATGTGAATGTTAAGGCCCAATGGAGGTCGTTGGCCAGGGTAAGGGTTGGTAGGCTTCTCCACGTCAGGTTGGGCTGCATTACGGGCTAAATGCATATCAGGTGATGACAATTCGGGTGAAGAGGCGTTACCATCATGAGGCAGGTAACGACCCGAGGGGGGGTATTGAGCCATGGCAGGGGACATGGCAGGGTTATAACCAGTATCGCCGTCATGGTGTTGACGCGGTGGAGGGTGCATCATCATGATGGAATGGGGTGCCGATGGGGGAGGCATGTCCGTGATGGGAGCGGACCCGTAATGTGGAGGGAAGGTTGTATAAGGTGAATAAGGGTATCCATAGTCAGGCATGTTGGGAGGGGATTTTGAAAAGCTACGATCATCCGAAGGGGAACTTGGTAGGCTCTTAACACGACGTTGTCCTTTGTCAGTATAGTGTCCGGGACTTCTGCCACGTACCACCACAGGAAGGGATTTGCACACGGCCACGCGATGGATGCTGCTATCCGAGCAGCGAGCAAAGACTTCAACATTGAGATGGAAATATTGTTGGGTAGCACGACGTTTACCATTGTTAGCGGTGGCTGTCTTGAACTGAAGGCGCTCGAACATTGCTAGTCCATGTTGAGGGCCTTCTGTGCGCACTGGCTTGAGCGGTGGTGTAACCTGAGGACCCTTATCACGTTTCGCAGTATGCTGTACAAGATCGATGTATTTTCCACTCGAGGCTGCCTCAGCTGACACCCCAAATAAGAACTCTTCTACGGTGTAGGTTTGTCCATCGATACCCAACAAAATGGGTAATTCAGGCTCATACATATCTCCTTGTTTGGTAGCTTGCAGAGACAGGGTGGCGCTTACTTGGAAGTAATTACGGCGGTAACAGGTCCAGTCACCATTGGTAATAAAGAAACCTTTGTCAATCTTGGCGTGAATCTGAAGGTCATATCTGTAAAGGGGAATAAGTTTAGCGGGATTGCGGCATACTAAAATTGGAGGATGGGCCATTTTTTTTTTCCAAGGTTTGCGTGGGTGGGAATAGGCGTTATCCAATATAAATTTTTGGGGGGGGGGGAGGAGGGATTTCAAATGGGGTGGAAGCTTACCCAGTGGTGCGCTGCAAGTTGTAAAGACTATGATATTGGTGCGTCTTGGGCGAAAAGAAGCGATCCTTCTCTTCAATAGGTGACGGTGGTAAATCTTTGGTCGTGCCATGTCCAATATACTCCCAAGCGGGTGTTTCCGACTGCGCACTGCTGTACCTAAAGCGAAGCGGAGATTCAAAGGATCAGCATCAGTTTGAGGTTAGATGCGGATGAGGGCGCCTAAAAACGGCAAAAATTGATAGCGTTTGGGACATTCAAAATCCATTACTTACGAGTTCATGGTGGTGCCAAGAGGTGTGTTCGGGGGGCGAATCATGTCAGCATGTCTAGATGGATGGCAACATGTTGAGATTGGGATGATCAGTCATTCACCGGGGCTATGCAACTTACCCCTGATATGATTCGTAGTCGTCTTTCGGGGTCCACTTATGCATTCGAATATGATTTCTCTCTTTCAGATATAATAGATGTGGTCGTGCAAAAAGAAGCTCGGTCGGGGTAATGAAGGAAAGAAGGCAGAGAGAGAGAGAGAGAGAGAAGGAAAGGAGAAAGTCAGCCCCGAAGTGATCTCGATGAAAGTTTTTTTTTACGGTTGCAGTGCAATAATTCGAATAGGGAGCTTTACCGCGTGGTGCTCTCTTTTTTTTTTATAATTTATTTTTCCTTTGGTTCATGGGAATCTCGGTACGATAAATCTTCTTTTTTTTTATTTTTTTCATCGGACCATTTCTTCTTCAGTTGAAAGGAAGAAAGAGAGAGATTTTGAAAGACAGAGGTAGCACTCAAGATCCATTGTGTATGATAGTTGTGTCTATCTGTGTGATGGTGATCCATTCCAAGCATCGTCTGTGCTATGGGCCATCATTTTGCCGTCGAGTCACCCACTTCCCAGCGCACATGGGAAGGGCGCGGTGTTAAGGACAGAGCCTGACCGCGCCATCAATATCCAAAATTACCATTTTGGAGAAAATCTAAAATTTTTTATTTTCATTCCTCTCTTTGGGTTCATCATGCTGACTCAAACGGCAAAGTCCATATTCAAAAAGATAGAGCCACTGGATGGCATGAGCATCCGTCACGCATTTACATCGCGCATGGCCATTCGCGTCCATACTCCCGCTTTCTCCCTTAATGTGTTGACATGGCCGACGCATTCTGCTCCCCCTCTCACCAAAGCTTCCCACCAACCCGTGCTACATTATCGTGCTAGCGTTATCACTGGTAAAAAGGCGCTGGGCAAATCTGCCGTCGCGCGTAATCGTGCTAGAAGGCGGATTTTATCGGCTGCTCAACATAGCTTTCCAGACGGTGCCATCCCAGGTAAGTTTGCGAACTTTATCGTAGTGTGGGAGTGAACCACCGCCAATAAGTGGATATAATATTAGGTGTTTAATAGCGTAATAAAACTTTTTTTTTTCTTTTATCTGTTCGATCTCAGGCAATGATTATCTGTTTTTTGCTCAACCCGAAGCTGTCAATGTACCATGGTCAACGTTAATGGCTCACATGAAGAATGCTCTAGAACAAGTGGCACGAAGATCGCAGATGAAAAGCAGCACCAAAGACATAAAGAAAGAAAATGCCCATTGACCCCAAAAAATTGCTGGGATGGATTTTTTATATTTTTGAGGCACCGTGTCACGCAGACTTGACCTCAAGCAGGCTGGTGTGCCTTGATCTTTTCCCTTTGGCTCTCCCTCTTTTTACCCCCAGCCTACCTTTACTCGTAGATGAAAGACCTCATCGCGGTGGACCTTATCATTCCACCATCGGTGCAGTTTTTTGGTCCAAAACCCAACTCTTCTCATTCCACTCATCCGCGACGACAAAAGATAAGAGGCAAACTGAGACTTGTATGTAGTAAACCCATTCGACTACGACAAATCGAAATCAAATTCAAAGGAGAGGCCAGACTCAATTGGCGTGACCCCCAAAAAGGTCCACATTCCCTCACAGCTGAAAAATTGGATGCTGTAAAGCTACTTCGGAAGACGCGACAGTCGTTATTGGAAGATGCCACATTACCAGCTGGAGTGACAGAACTTGGCTTTGAAATACCCATATCTGGATGGTTATGCCAGACGTTTAAATCCAATTTCTTGACCATTTCTTTTCTAGTCATGGCCAAACTGACGCCCACTGGAAAACTAGCCTCCCCCATTCGAAGCGAAAAAGAATTGGTCATCAATAAGACATTGATCCCGAAAGACGTTGCCTGTGGTCATGTACCTGGATTTATTGTTCCAAGGACTCAAATGAAAGGCGAACGTCCAGATGTTCTCAAATGGAAGTTTCAAGTTCCCAAATGGGCTTATCTAGATAACGAGATCCAGTTTGAAGGTACCTTTTCACAAGGTCTAGGAGGCCAATGCACCATTAACAAGGTCGAGGTTGATGTTGTACAAGAAGAGGTCTACCGAAGTGACACAAAGTAAGCTTCTTAACATTGGTAGGGCAAAGAAAAACGTGAAGATTAACCTGTCAACATTAGATGTTGTCCAGAACAATGGCAAATTGACAACAGCGACTTTTGGGTCAACGATGTCACCTCTTGGTTCTTTCCAAATCATGCCTTACCGAAACGCCATTTAGTTTCCTCTTATACCAGCCCTTCTGTATATCTTCATCCTCCTATGGAAACCTCTATACCATTTACATTTCCGCTAACATCACCAGCCCCAGGCAATGCATTCTCATCATCATCCCTCTTACCGACCTCCTCCATGCCTAGACTTCGCCGTGTTCAATCTGCTCCCATGAAGACTTTGGCTTCATCATCACATCCACCCCTCAATCATGTCAACGATGCCATTTCTCAGATCGGCTTTTCACGGATTCAAACACTTTGCAGTAAAGGTGTGTTTCACGAAACAATGGACTCCCCTTTTCTACGTGTACGACAATACATTCGCGTGGTTGTGCATGTTACCTACCTAGGCAAGTCATACCCTATTTGCATTGGTTTACCTTTTGCTATCACACGAGCCATCAAAGCACAACCTGATGAAACGGCCGAAGGATTACCAACTTACCAAAGCTTGGCCAGAGACGCTGAGCGCCTACCTGATTATACCACCAATACCGCTGTGCCTGACTATGAGGAAGATCCGAGTGATGGGGAACAGCAGCAACGAGAGCGATCGTCACGTCGCCGCCGACGTCGACATGGTCCGGACATTGACGAATTAGCATGCGAAATTGGAGACTTATCTGTTGGCCGAGCACGAGCGCGGACCAAGTCAAAGTCCAGTCAGGCGATGGCCGTTGAACGACGCATGGATGATTTCCTTGTGATGACATGATTGGCAGCCAGCCATGCTTAATTATAATTTTTTTTTCTTTTAATTCCCTTCAACTGTTACCTTTTTGTCACCTTGCCATCCTTCCCCTTGCCTCCATCTCCTTTTTTATTTGAGTGTTCCTGTCATCTCATAACCCACTGCATCATTACGTTTTCTTTTCTAAACTGAACATCATTTTCTCTTATCCAATCCTTTCTTCTTGTGAAAGTTTTTGTCCCAAAGTCTTTTTTTACTCATTTCAATTTTTTTTGTAAGTTTCTCATATATGCATGTTCTGTTGCCTAGTAAACGAAATGATCCTGCCGCACGGCCTCCATTGGATAGTCATCATACCGATCCACCACCACGACGGTTCTCGTTAGGGATCATTAGCTTGAGTGAGCGATGGAGTGCCCGTCGATCGTCGGTTATCACCACGACAAGCACAGGTGTATCAGTGCTTCAAGGAGGTAGAGAACACGAGGAGGGAGGGAGCAGCTATAAGCCGGCAACTCCGCCTTCCTCATTACGGAACCAATTTAGAAAGTTTTACACTTCATCTGTCACCACCCTATCCACCAGCTCCATCCCATCCCACAACAATGAAAGCTTAGCAACGAGTCGTAGCAGCCAAGAAAAAAGCATAGTGCCGGCAAAGAACCAAGTGCATGCCAATTGGCAACCGGGTCTTCCCGATGAACCTATCCATATGGATTGCCCCCATTGTCATATTCAAGTCCGGTCTGTCACCGGCGTCGTGAACGGTCGCCTTGTATGGGTCACCAGTTTTGTCCTATTCCTCTCCACCATTGTCCTTGCCTGTGTGCCATGTTGCATTCCCTGGCTTAAGGATGTACAGCATACATGCCCAGAGTGCCATACTATCCTCGGTCGATATCGACGATGGTGAAAATAATAAACGCCTTCGTCACACAAACAATTCATTATACCAACCCGCATTGTTGCATCGATAGAAAGGATTTTCTCTTCTTTAATATATGGATTGTTTAGTGTGCATTTTTCAATGAAGAAAAATAAAAAAAGTAATATTCGAACAATAGTAATGATAAGAATAATGCATCATTTCAGATGAGACGTAAAGCAATCAAAACAAGCAAACCAAAAAACATTGACAAATGTACAAAAAGGATGATAAAGTTAGGCAAAGGGTAAAGGAAATTATGATGCAGGGGAGAATTAGCATTTTTTGTATATAAATAAAGGAAAACCCAATCATGATCGTAGGCCGCCCGGCGTGGTAGCGCTTGGGCTAGGATGTGAGAGTCGATTGTCGTTGACAAGGCTTGGTAAATTAACCTGAGTTCGTAAAGAGGAAGGAGATTGACTGTGAGGTACAGCATCACGCTGACGACTCAAAGAATGAGATCGATATGGCAGGGGGCTTAAGAGACCCAGCTGACCTGCAGGTTGTTCAGGTTCGTAACGATGCTGTCGTGGGTAGAGAGGGTATTCGGGAGGAGGCCGATGGTATGGGTCGTGCTGGTTGCTATTTGCGTCTGCTGCGAATTCGTTCGTCTCCTGCTGCTTTCTTCCCTTCATAATAGCCTCTAATTTGGGCATGAAATCTTTGCTCGTCATGTTAGCCGTATCCTCCAATAACATTGGGTCATGTAGAAGTTGAGCAATGTCGTCGGGAACAAAACAAAAACTGTCTTCGTATTTTAGCATCATCTCAAACGCGCTGATAGCCATAAATGACTCGTCCTTGGCTGGATCTTTACTTTTAGAGTACAGAACATTAGGCGCGATAACTGTTGCAAGATTGGTGAGGTCCATCATACTTCCCATCTTGCCATCCACATGGGCAAACGTTGCTGTCCATCTTAGAAAGTGCAATAGAACCTCTACGGTATCTCGGTTCACCTTTGGCATCATGCATAGCGCCAAGTGCAAGACGCGCCTTCTTTCCGCTTCCGACTCTAGCTCTAATATAAGGTTGTGAGTGGAAGCCCTTTTTTTATAAAATCCACTCATGCACATAGAAACTTACTTTGTGAAAAGATGATGAGGCGGTGTAATTTAAATGTGAGAAGCGGTTCAGGCATTTCGCGCAAGAACTTTTTAAGCAGCGCGGCCACCTGAATGGGGTTTTCATCTGCCAGCATAGCTTCACTTGGATCTCGATCGATGATTTCACTCAATTCCTTCAGTCTGCGGATATTACCATTCTTACGAAAGACACCTTCCACTGACATGTCTATAAAATATATAAAGTAGATGGATGGTGAAAAGCAAAATAAGAAGATGGAGCATTAACAAGAGTCAAAACGAACACCACTTCGAAAGGATGATCACTTACCCATTTGCCGCATGGCAAGAATGGAATCCTCTATAAACGTAGGTATCCGTACTGGGGAAGGACCAGCACCAATGATGGAATCCGCTCCGTTTCGCTCCACCAAAGCTTCAAAAGGTACACCAAATGTCCCCATCTCCTTGACTCGATTCTTGTTTCCTTGCTTGAACGATGTCATGAACTTGTCCCATAACGAAGCCTTTTTGGATTCAATCATGTCCAACAGCTCCTCCATGGTGAAAACATCCTTGACGTGTGGCTCAATCTTCACCACCGCAATATGTCTCACAATAAGATGTTGGAGAGCCGACAAGTCTGAGAAAAAGATACCACGTTGGTAGTCTCCTGTACGAGCAGCAATATGGGGTATATCGTCCAAAGTGATAGCGGCTTCATTCCCCAAACTGTGCATATCCGCTAGAGTTTGCGTTTCTGGTATCTCTTCCTGTTCGTCATTAGAGACTGGAAGGGGTGGCAGTTCCTTCAATGAAGTAGTTGAACTCGTGCCACTCGGTATCTTTGGAATGGGTAATGGGGCAGTCGGTGCGAATAGATTTCGACTTTCAACAATAACCGATTTTCGCGTTGCTTTGTGGGATTGTGACAATTTGCGATCCATATGCGTAGACTTCATGCGTTTAATATCCGTCAGCTTGGCGGGTTTAAAGAGCTTTTCATCTCCGGTATAGGACTGTACTCTAGCATCGCCACGTAAAGGATTTCGAAGCTTGGATTTTTTACCGTCTGTCTTATCTTTTCTTGAGCTTGGTGAAGGTGAGGGAGCTTCTGTATTACCGAGGAATTAATATGAGCTATCATGACGTCCCACAAAGGTGGATCCCGTGTAACACTGCGTCTCATACCTGGTAATTTCAACAGACTATACAAGCGGCCAAGAGCTACACTCAGTAGGAATGAATATTGTTGTAATCGAGTGACATATTCAAAGCCTTGGATCAACTTTTCAGCCCCATGATTGGCGCACTGAAAACAGACCACAGAAACTGACGGTGGGTGAAATAACGCCGCATTATAGTCATCCTTTAATGAGCGCTTGCACTGCCGGCAGTGGAAACATCGCAGATGCCATCGAAACCGTGCATACCGGATGCAAGGCTCTTCCAAAGTGATTTTACAAGTTTGGCAAAGATCAGACGTCAACTCTGAATCCGGAATGTTCATCATATGTTTTGCGTCCTGACTGGACAAGCGCATGAGCTGTTCCAAAAAGTCAGATGTCGCGGTCTTACAATTCCATTGATTCTCCTAGATCAGGATAGAACACGGTTGAATAACCCAGTTTCATCACCCAGCACGATAAAATAGGAGGTACATACCAGTCGCAAGGCGCTGGTCAAAGTTACACGTATTAAAACTTTGAGATAATGCGCTAAGCCGGTGACGGACGAAAGTAGCTCTTCACCAACACCCGTCTGCGGTTGTCTCGCCATGTCTTGGGAATGTGATAAGAGAGAAAAGAAATTTACAATCTTTTTGCAAAGCATTTTAGCTTCGCGTTTGTAGCGGAGTGCTGAAAGGGAGAGGGTGTTATTTTCAAATTTGGCAAGCGATATGCGTTGATCCTAGACAACCTGATGACTTACTTTCATCTCCAAATTCAATATATCGCGCTTCAATCGAATCAATACAGTCGAACAAAATGCCAACTTGCACTATAAACCTTTCTGAAAGTTTGGCACTATCCATATAGGCACCATTCGAAACATGCATTAGCATATCTGAGATACATGCCGCCGATGATTCTAGTAAATTGCAGAGAGTTAAAAGGAATGTTGATGGTGCTGATGGATAGAAAATGAAGAAATTATGCTACCTTCGAATGCTGAAAGCACAGTCCAAATTTGATACACTTTCTGCTCTGTAGTTTGCTGAATGTCCAATAGATCGTTTGTGTCTTGAGGATTGGGTTCTGTAGGAGGAATACGGTTTACATGTGTGTTGTGGTGGCGTACGTGAAGTGGATGGCTATGTGTACCTTGTGATATCCTATTATCGTCGTCATCCAAAAACGGTTGCGAAATCTTAACGTTCCAGTACTGTCAATGCGAATTGAAGAAGCACCGAAATGATTTAGTAGAACGTTACGATTCATCGCCAATAAGCGGACACCGTACCTTGTTGATCATGTAGCACTCTGGATGCCAAAATTCGTCCACGCTATTGCGGTTGATTTCGACAAATTGTTTGAGAATAGCGACTTTGCAGCCAGAACATTTGACTGCATAATTTACAGAATAATGATAATGACAATACACCTTCCCTTCATGCTCGTAATAAGAATCTTCAGGACTGAAAACAATACTACACATTGAGCATGTAAAGTGTTCCACATGGTACTTCTTGTCCAATGCACTGATGTAAGCGCCACGCAAAGCCTCTCCGCAGTTTTCACACACCAGATTCAAGCGTCGAAAGTAATCTCGTTCGCATAAAGGTAATATCTTTCCGGATTCGACAGTGGTTGGAAAAAACTTGGATGCCACTACCTTACCGCAATCCTATTGAAAGACATTTAGTGTTTGGAACTCCAGTTATGGTTCAGATGCAAGGTATTCATAGCTTACAAGGCATGTAAAGCAATCAAGGTGAAACACGCCCTGAAGGGCACGAACGAGCTGGCCCTTCAGTGGGAGTTGACATCGAGAACATAGAGCTTGGGCATGGTTTGGCGGCTGAGGAAACTGATCCGCCAATGCCGTTTCGGCTGTCATGAAATGGATGGAGCAAGCACAGTCAGTGAATAGCCCTAAAAATACTTTCTGGATTTTTTTGGGTCAATTTGGCAACTGTCCACGCAGGCGGGTCAGACTGGCAAATTAAGACAGGCAGACGCTATCGCCATTAAAAAATTCAATAGCTGGAAACCAAACGGTTCTTGAACTGAGCTTGCAACTCAGTGATGTTCTGTTTTTTTCTCCATCTCATCATGTAAAAAGCCTTGATGACGCTATCTCTAGGTTGAACCACCCCCCATTTACGGTTTTGGTTCATGTTTGGAGCCAGTCGCCTTGTGACCCTTATGAGAGATTATGTCAAGCTATGCATCTGCTTCGATCCGCAAACCGTACTCGGCCGCACGTGGAATTCTTCGATTTACAGTGGAATTATGCCTAAATTTAGTTTTTCAATTCACGGATGTGATCCTCATCGAACCTAATATTTGTTTCATCATTATTCAACGACCCGTCGGAATTTACAGGTTGAAGAATATCAAGAACATTGGCCCTTGCAGCTGCAGGAAATCTAAGCGCTCAAGGTTACATATCGAGAGTCATGACGACATCGCAGCGGATGTCTTTCTCGCCCCAACAACGCTACAGTAAGAGACCTACCGGCACTTTGACTCTTTCTTTCATACAAATGCCTATGTTGAAAATTGTCGAGTGTGTCACGACCATCGTACAACAATGTTTAAGTGTTCTATTTCAATACTTCTTATCATGGCAGCTATCAACGATCGTCATACATAAATTGCGGTCTCGCGGTACTGAATATCGTCAGCCCGCTTTATTGTAGCAGAATGCTCTCGCTTTCCAAACATGACTATAGTTTTTCGATGACTGCATAGGCAACAGCATAATCTCCATCATGAGAGACTGATATATGGGTATGTATGGATTTATCTTGGCCAGCAAGAATGGCTCTAGGTTTTCCTGTAAGGAATCAAAAAAGATGCAGTAGAGTCAGAATAATTGAAAAGTAGGAATTGAGCGAGCGCAAAGATCGGTACCTCCAGCTATCCGATCAACGGTGACTTCTTTCCAAGTCAGTTTTCGCTCAGGATACATCGCTTTATACATAGCTTCCTTGATACTCCAGCTAGATTCAACATCAGCAAATTGAACTAAGAAGTGCGTTGGTCATAGGTCTGATGCTTACCATGTTGCAAGAAATCTCACTACGTTAGGATCGGCTTCTGTGTGATTCGATTTGACAGCGTTTGGGAATCTCGCCTGGAAATCCGCTTGTTCTTTAGAACTCAATATACGACGGCATAAAAGGTGGCAGTTATTCTGGCGTCTAGTCAGTATTTTTGCAATTCGAGGCAAATGGACAATATCCACTCCAATGCCCAGCAGCATGATCAGGTACAATGAACTGTGCGGGGGGAGCGCTTCCAAATGAAAGCGGGGGGCCATTAGTGACTGTCAAATTTTCATAATGATACATTTGTTGTGGTGTCTGTGGGTTGGGATAATCTCACTCACACACTTTGACATCATGGCCAGCAAGAACGCCAAAGTTTTCTTCGACATTGCTATCCAAAGCAAGCCCGCAGGTCGCATGACCTTCAAGCTTTTCAACGACACCGTTCCCAAGACCGCTGAGAACTTCAGAGCTCTTTGCACTGGTGAAAAGGGAACTGGCGTTTCCGGCAAGCCTTTGCACTTCAAGGGCAGCTTCTTCCACCGTATCATTCCCGGTATGCCTTTTGGAAATTATGCGTAAATGTCAGTTGAAAGCAACTAACCTCGGCGTGTTTGGTATTATTTAGGCTTCATGGCTCAGGGTGGAGGTAAAAGATACATTGTGTTTTGGCAAAGGGAAACAAACAACCATCCAACACTTGGTTACACGCGCGCGAAATTGACATAATTTTTTCCTTTGTATAGATTTCACTCGTGGTGATGGACGTGGCGGTGAATCCATCTATGGCGCCAAGTTCGCCGACGAGAACTTCAAGCTCACCCACACTGGCAAGGGAGTTTTGTCCATGGCCAACGCTGGTCCCAACACCAACGGATCCCAGTTCTTCATTTGCTTCGACAAGACCCCTTGGTTGGATGGTAACCACACTGTCTTTGGTCAGTTGGTCGAAGGCCAAGAAGTTTTGGATATGATCGAGTCATACGGTTCTCAATCCGGAGCTCCTCAAGCCAAAGTTGACATCACCGACTGTGGCGAGCTCGAGAAATAAGCTTTTTTATCTGTACGAATAAAAATCATATAGCCTCGTAAAAGATGCAATAAAATTCAATGTATAGAAGCATATTGCCATAATTGAAACTGTGGTGTGAACAAGTGGTCGTTTGGTCATAGACACCAATTCTTTTTTATTTGCAGCGAAAAAAAAAACATTAATAGAAGAAATATAATGGCTATGAAAGGAACGGAAAGAAAAAAGGACCGGAGACTCGATAAGGTGAGATACAGTACATGGAATTGTATGAGAATAGATGTTTACCATCCTCGATAGGCTTGCTGATTCTGTTGTTGGTTGAAGCCAGTATTCATATTGTTTTGAAAGTTGGGGTTAGCAAAGTTATTTTGTTGGAAACCAGTTTGTTGAGGCTGAACAAATTGTCCCATCATATCTTTTGTTACATCCAGGTATAAATTAGTATAGATGACCTTTGGACCGCAAAAACATATTTGAGACTTACTTTGCTGTTGGGGTTGACCAGGAGTGAATACGCTTGGGCTGTTTGGATCAACGGCTTTAAAGATTGAGTATTTGTCTGAATCTGCAATGATAGTCGTTAACTGACAAAATTTCAAAACAACCATCAATGATCATATACACATACTGCTACCAAAGCTGGGACCGGAGAATGAGCGGTCCATCGCTTGTCCGTTAGCACCTAACATTCCGTTATTGAATCCAGTTGGCTGTGGTTGCATGAAACCAGTTGGTTGTGGTTGTTGTTGTGGAGCAAGAGGTGTGTACATGTTTTGCTGTTGTTGCTGTATAGGAGAGGTCTGATTGAAGGGCTGGCCGGTCATTTGTGGTACTTGAGGGCTGGCTCCGAAAGGATTGTCTGGAGTGGCATTGGCCCAGTTACGTTGACCAGTAGGCTGAGCACTGACACCCATACTAGGAAGGTTTCCAGCTGAACTGGATCTTCCGATGTTATTGTTGAAGGTATTGAAACCTGTTGCTTGAGGCTGCAGAGGTTGAAATTGTTGCATGTTTGGTTGTTGTTGCTGCATCATGTTATTCATACCAGTGTTGTTGTTCATCAACGGTGGTTGAAGGCTTTGGCCAGTCATCATATTGTTGACCATCATAGGCTGTTGAGGCCTTTGCATTCCTGTCATCTGCGGCTGCGTAGGTGTGAACTGTTGAGTAGGCTGCTGTTGAACAAATCCTGTAGCTTGTGGAGTCAAGAATGGTCTTTGCTGCATATTGTTCATCGCTGGTTGCATATTGTTCATCATCGCTTGATTGGGAATAGCAGAGTTGTTCATTTGCATATTAACTGGAGTGCCTTGGAAGTTGGCTGGAGTGCTGGCCTGATTACTCATACCGGTTGGTTGCTGGCTAACAGTGTTCTTTGATGGTGACGACCATTGGTTGAAAACTTGGGAATTCACCTTACTATCCTGAGATTGCTTGGGTATAGGACGTTGACGAGCAGGCGATGCCATCATGGATTGTTGTTGTACGGAGGGTAGCACCGGTGGGGGCGGCGGTGGAGCTGGAGGTGCTTGAACATTGGGTTGAATATGGGTCACAGTGTTAAAAGCGGGCGCTGCAGCCGGTGCAGGTTGAGGCTGCTGCTGTTGTTGCTGTTGCTGAGGTTGTTGGTTTGGTGTCCAGGTATTCGTCCAGTTTGGTTGAGCTGGAGAGGATGCAACTTCAGGCTTCTTAGCAACCACGGGTGATGCTTGTCGGGGAGCCCATGCATCGTCCTCAAAGCCGCCAGATGGTTTGGTTGGAGTTTTACTAACTTCCGCAACAGGCGTTGACTTCGCAACGGTTGGCTTTGGTGAAGATGCTGCTGGCGTTGGCTTAAGGGGTTCAGAAGACAATTGGCCCTTCATAAGCTCAAATACATCAGCATTTATGCCTTTAGGTGCAGAATTGGAGGGTGTTGGACGACTTGTGCCTCTTCGTTGTAAACCGGCTGATGTATCTTTCTTGAAGATGCTAGGAGAAGAGCGGTCATTGTCTTCTTGTTCCTGAAGTTCTCGAGCAAGTCGCTCATCTTCTTCTATCTGAGATAGTCTGGCATCTTGACCATCTGATTCCTCTCCGATGACACTGGTGGCGCCAAAACTAACATTGCGCTTTCCTTTGGACCTCTTGACCTGGTTAGCTTCGTCGTCAGATGCAGGTTCAGGTGTTTCTGATTCAATAAATCGCTGGAGTCGTTGAACATGTCTTTCGGAAAGACCAAGAGCTTTCATACGTCTGTGAGTCAGGTTATGAAGGTCAGCTTCACCAAGGTTATCGGCCTGGAAAGAGGACGAATATCGCAGTGACTCTTGCATAGGAATGTTGGCCCTCATGAAGTAGTCAAACCAATCCCAGCCTTGCTTTGATGAGCCCGCTTGTGATTTCGGACGTTGTGAACTAGACGCTTCCTTGGCTAAGTGAGCCAATGGCATATTATCGCTCTTGTCGTCCTGAGCGTCAGCGCCAATCTCCTGCTCAATATAGCGAACATCTTCAACACACATCTTCTCTATAGGCACGTCTATCTTGACACCGTTAATCTTGTGAAGCCGGATCTTTCCGTCGTGCACCGCAAGAAATTGTGCCTCCACCTTGAAACCACCAGTTCTATCTGTCCAAGTCCTAGTTTTGGCGGGATCGGGTTCTTCAAGGCAACGTGATTAGCATGTCAAGCATATAGATGTTGTTCTAGATGATCGGTCATACTTACTTCCTGGATTTTGAGCTTGCTTGGGACGGTCTGGCAAAGATCGATTACTTGGAACGGATATGGAGTTGACAGCTTGATCTGATGGCAATGATCGATGCGCTGCTGGTCGTTCGGGTGGCGGAGGTGGAGCAGGAATTTGATTACGTCTTGGCGGCTGCGACGATGGAGCAGAAGCTGGAAGGGGTGGTGGGGGAGGAACGGCAGCACGAGCTGCTCTCTTCTTCTCGTCAAGCTCTCGTTGACGTGCATCTTCTTGTACCTTCTTTCTGCGTTCGGCTTCCCTCCTTCGCGATTCTTCTTGCTCTTGTCGTCTTCTTTCTTTCTCCTCTTCCTCCATTTGTTGTCGTTGCCATGCTTCCTCTTCTTCTCGTCTGCGTCTGTCTTCCTCTGCTGCACGAGCGGCTTCTTCTTCCGCTTGCTGTCTTGCCCATTCTTCTTCTTCTCTTTGTCTTTGGTCTTCCTCCGCCTGTAGAGCCGCTTCATAGTCTTCTTGGAATTGAACGTAGGAGGCTGGAATTACACCTGACCGCCCATCTTCATATTCTATTTTCCACCATTCATCACTGGTGACATAGTCAGTGATCAAAACTTGATCCTCTTCGTTCACAGAAATCTCATCTTCTCCTTGGGCATCAAAAGAGTAAAGTACAATAGCCCATCTCGGCTCACATGGAGGTTCATCAACAGCTTCTTCCTGTGGTTCCTCTACTTCAGGTTCATATTCATCTTGATAAGATTCTTCATGAGTAGGTTGCACGGGAGGGAGCACAGGCTGGGCCTTGACGATGGCAGGTGGAGTGGTAGCTGAAGCAGCTGACTCAAAGGCGGTTGATGCCTGTCTCGAACTCTGAATCTTGGTGATAATAGCTTTTGCTTCAGATTTTGACGAGGCCTGAAAATCCAATGTTGCTGGCTTGGATCCACCAATTTCAATATGAACCGTTTTGCTATCTTGAGTGAAGTTTACAATATCCAACACTGGAAACTGTCGTACAGGGGATGCCTTGTCGGTTTCGCTGCCATAGCATAGCATGCCGTTGCCGACCAAAAGGTTTCCTTTGCTCTTCTTCTTCTTTTTCTTGTCTACATCGTATTCATGAACAGGCCATGATTTAGCCTCATCGTTGACCTTTTTAGGCTTGGGTTTGTCGGTAGCATTCTGTGAGAATAGGCGTAAGCAAGGGTCAAACAAATTAGCCGATCATTTCAAAACGATGTTCTTACCGACAAAGCTGAAAAGACAGAAACGGTAGGCTGCGCTTCAGTTTCGTCTGATGCAGTTTGGGGATGAGCCTCTGTCACTTGATCGCTTGATGTCTGCGCGTTTGAAATGATAATGAGTACTGTTGCAGGGGCAAACCATCACGTCTTAGGTGCAATATGGTACAAACCTCCTCGACATAGTTGCTAGGTGCAAGACCAATATCACCATTCTCCAGCTTTACAAGGTACCAATCTGGATCATCCTTATCGTACAAAATCATGGTATCGTTTTCTTTGAAACTGACTTCCTCCTCTTGTTGAGCATCGTAGTCATATTGCGCAGAGACGGCTCCTATAGCTTCGGTCTGCAATGCAATTTCAGTCGGGGTGAGCATACTAAGCTAGAAAGAATGAAGGAATGGTGTGGCCATGACGTTACCTCACTGGCATAGTTAGCCGGTATCAAGCCAATGGGGCCGACTTCATCGGGTTGTTGAGGTTTGAGCTGTGCTTTCCACCAGTCATCATCGTCTCGCTCGAGGATATACAAGATGTCATCCTCCTTGAATGAAAGCTCGTCTTCCGAGCCTGCTTCATAGTCATATAAAGCCTTGCAAACATCAATGTACTTCATGATGCTGAGACAAAGGAACAATGCTGGCTACAGGCGGGGGCACAATGTTTAATTTTTTCCGCCAGTTGGGTGCAGTTATTTTTTTATTGCGAAAATAATGGGGTTATTTCATGGATTTTGGCACAGAAAAGATCGATTCCTCATCATCATCTTCATCGAGTATTGAGTTCATATCAGCATAAAATGCATCAAGATCATCTTCCTCCTTGTTTGGCGCTGACTTCTGCTTGGTTTCTTCTGTACTCGTTCGAATGACCTCATGGCTCGTGTTTTCACTCTCAGCAGGAGGTGTAATTTCTACTATTTCACAGTAAAGACTGGGATCTCGGTATTCACTTAAACCACCAGCAAAATGACTAGGAATAGTCCACTGGGAGCTCACATAGGCTGGCAAAAAGCTTGCTACTTCTCCATACGTCAGCGTTGTCGTAGCGCTGTCTACTTTAACCCGGTTGCCTATTTTGGACAGCGCTCTTGTGGCATCCTGGAGGTTCGTCAAAATGAGTAAAATGAAGCCTGTTTGTACAGATGTTTTCTTTCAGCTTACGGCCGGTTTCCAAAACTCCAGAAATGCAAAGCCACTGGACATCTGTGTTAGCCTTTCGCGAATCAAAAGCGCTCGCCGGAAACCGACAGAGTCAGCAAATATATTCAATATGGTATCTTTCGTAGTCAGTTGGTCCAGGCCACGAATGAGGAGTAAATGAGAAGGTAGTGCCGATATATCTCTTAGACCATCGTTGATAGCAAATGTTTCTGGATCTGTTGGTCGTTGGACGGGAAGCGAGGGGTCTTGTATACATTTCTGTTAGTTTTGCGCAACTGTATTCACACACATCGTCATATGCATTAACTCACTTGGATTCACCATTCTACATTCTAAGCAGTTTCTACGCATTTCGTCATTGACCTTTCCGCACTGTCGTACATGTGTGAGGACTAAATTTGAAACACTCTGAAGTTACAAACAGCGCTAACGTACCTTCACACATCGCCATCCTGCTCCTTCTTGTTTAGCCTCCTTGCGAGAAAAGTCGATACGAACACGTTGGCGATCCATATAAATAAAAGGATAGTTTTTGGTTACAAATTCCTCGGCATGCCCGACACTGGTAAATTTTACAAAGGCAAATTTGCGTGATTCTCCTATGAATTGACAGACATATATTAGTGGCATGTCCTGGATACTATAGGGTATAAAGCGAGTGACCGCGGTAAGGATTGAACCTGTTTCACGATCCTTGATCAAAGTGACTTGATCTATGCTGGCTTCCATATCCACCAAAGCTTTTTCAATCTGATACGTGTAAGTCGACACAAGATAGTTATTTTTCTGATTGTTCTTCCATATGCTTGAAATTTTGCTCTCTTCAGCCTGGGCTGATGTCTCTTGGAAAGGAAAAGAGTGTACATAAATCAAATAAATAACAACTTACGTCTTGTTCCCCAAAGTGATCAGGCAATCCACGCAAAACTATATTGATATTAGGAGCACTTAGTCCCTCTTCCTTTCGTTCTGGCCGTCTATGCCGCTACGGAGAAAGGAAAAATGGTTAACTCGTGATAGGGCAGAGCTGCATTTTTGCAATATTGGCGTATCTTACATCGTCACCACGGTAATGGTTATCATGTCGTGGGTTCTCTCGCCATGCGTCTCTTCCGTCGTCCCAGCGATCAAAATGGCGGTCCTGATCCCTTGGGTGCTGACTTCCGTAGTGAGGTCGGTCGTCATACCTATCATAACCACCAGACCGGTCGTCGTAACGATGTGATCCTGATCGCGGGTGAGGAGGAGGAGAATATCGGCTATGAGGACTACGAGATCTTCGTCGCGGTGGATATCTGGAGTGTTCTCTAGGATGTTCTCTGGGATGCATAGTGTAGTGACGGTGGTACCAGTATAGCTGGCAGCAATCAATGCACGGACATTTTAACTTCGCTGAGTGGCTTAGACAATCAGGCTTCAGTGAGCGTACGAAGAGAGGCTTTTGCAAACCACGTAAAAAAAAAGAAATGAGCTTTGACTTATGAATAAATGTCTATCTAGAGTATTTCATTTCATTTTGTATGCCATTTTCAATAGCATACATCGCATTGTTACATACCTACGTAGCAGTATCACTTGTCCATATAAGAGGATATGAGGTCATGCTAGTCACGTGTAGGGGTCATGAAATAAAAAAAAAATTTGAAAGCAGCGATGACCCAAAGTACCTGAATCTAATCATCATGCCCAAGAATAAGGGAAAAGTAAGTGACATGGCACAGCGCATCAAGCTGTTATTTGTCATTGATAATCCATTACTAACATTTGTACTTGAATCCAGGGAGGAAAAAACAGGAGACGAGGAAAGAACGAGAACGAGAACGACAAGCGTGAACTTGTGTTCAAGGAAGAGGGCCAAGAGTATGCCCAAGTGACCAAAATGCTTGGTAATGGACGTTTGGAAGCACAGTGCTTTGATGGCACCAAGCGACTTGCACACATTCGTGGAAAGATGCGCAAGAAGGTGTGGATCAATCAAGGTGACATTATCCTTCTTTCATTGCGAGAGTATCAAGATGAGAAGGCCGACGTCATCCAAAAGTACACTGCAGACGAAGCAAGAAATCTCAAGGCCTATGGTGAATTGCCCGATACTGCCAAGATCAACGAAACTGACACCTTCGGTCCAGAAGAAGACGATATTGACTTTGACTTTGATATTGACGAGGTAAGCTCTTTTTGCAAAAATTCAGTTTTTTCGACTGCGCCAAAAGCTTCTCCACTCACCTTACTATTTTTTTTTTTTCTCTCTCACCAATAGATTTAAAATACACCTTTCTTTAGAGCCTTTTAAATATGCTTTCTCTCACTCCATTTTCTTTCAAAAACGCATTTGTCCCTCTGTGTAGATAATACCTGGCCTTCTGACAAAAACAATTTTTTACTTTTTGTTTTGTTGCTTGCTTCAATGAAAAATTACAAAACCTATCATTTTGGTTTTGATTGTGAGCATTTCAATGCAAACAAACCAATCTGCTGATCGTACCATATATTTCATGAATGTGGAGAAAGTCGAGCATGATAACGCCGTACAGTATTTATTATTTCACGTGGGTATGTCTATGGGATGGGAGTGTAGTGTACAAACAAGCGCCGCCAAAAGGAAAGAAAATAATCTAATGGTACTTAAGTTGGCCGGGTGAACCATTCTTTGCTTTGCATTTGAATAAGTCGAGATAAAGCTCTCTGGAAAGCAAATGCTTCTTCTTGACCACTGAATAACGGCGAGGAGACGTCGTCCAACTTGAGGTCATCCATCATCAATCTAAAGTCGTCGTTGAATTCGTTGCCTCCTTCCTCTGCATTGAAGATTTCTAGGATGCCAGTTTCACCACTAGCAATCAATTTGGTCTTGGATTCATACATGGCATCGATCAAAGTGATAAATCGTCTAGCTTCGGCACGATGCTTCATAGTCATGCGGGGAATATCCGTAATGATGATGGTATGGAATTTCTTGACGAGTTCAAGATAATCCGCGGCACTCAAAGGTTTCTTGCACAGATCATCAAAGGTCATTCGGGCAACACCATTGGCTTGTTCTGGAATCTGAAGCTGGCGGGACAAAAAGTCAAGTGTCATTGGAGCCATCTTCCCTCCACCAGTAAGGTCTTTCGTCAGCTGGTCAATGGTATGAGTGGTCTTTTGGTTGAGTGGGTGAAAGTAAATCTGGGACATCTCCTTGACAGCTTTACGATAGTCGGTTGTGGAATCCAAACATACGACTTCGCACTTTTCGAGCAAAAGGTCGATACAAGGCAAGAAAGATTTTCGTTGAATGCCATTTTTGTACAACTCAGTGGGATGTCGGTTGGAGGTAGTGACAACCACTACGCCTCGAGCAAAAAGTTCGGTAAACAGTTTACGCAACATCATAGCATCCGCAATATCGGTGACTTGAAATTCGTCGAAACACAGCACATAAGCCTCAGATGCCAAATCTGCTGCAATAGGGCCGAGCACATCGGCTCTTTCCGGCTCTTTCATCTTGAGGCGGTGCACACGAGCATGGACATCAAGCATGAATGCGTGAAAATGCACTCGTCTCTTACGTTCAATGGGAAGTGTATCATAGAAAAGATCCATCACCATGGTCTTGCCGGTTCCAACATCTCCATAAATATAAAGCGATTTTGGTGCAACTACGTCATTTGCATTAGGGGCATGGGTTGCGGTACCATGGCCACCGCCAACAATAGAGGTAAACTAAACGCCGAGATGTTAGCAGTATGCCAAACACACTGAAACCGAAAGAAAGGTCATGTACCTTTGACATCCAACCTCCTCGAGTTTGATGCTGCTCCTGAGATGGGCTACTTGCCTTGATGTCTGGGTAATACGACTGAAGTCCCATCCATATTCTTTGCAATTGAGCTATGATAGCTCTCTGGTGGTCGTCCGAATTGACTTTTCCTTCGGAAACCAATTGATCGTACATTTCAACTGGTCCTAATTTCATCCGCAGTGAAACACTCAGCTGTCCTGGTTCGGTAATAGAGGTCTCAGGGGAGGGAAGTTACTGCTTACCTTTAACCGGATCGTCCTTATGTGACTTGCTTGGAATGGAAACAGGCTCGCTATGTCTGAAGGTTTGCACTTCGTCGTCCACTGTGGCAGTCGTGGCGGCCGTCGTGGAGTAACGGTGACATGTTTGTGTTAAAGCTGGGGGAATGGTTCGAGCCAATGGAGCTCGACGAAGTGGTGAGGAGCTTGCAAGCAAAGAGTCTACGATTGAACTCTGCTTGAAATAGCGAACTTTGGTAGTAGCACTTCGTAGCATTGAGTGAATGACAATTGCAAGCAGAAGAGGTTGGTCGGATAGTACCGGAGCGAAACAAAACCAAGAAGGGGTTGTCGAAATTGGCCTGGAAAAATGTTCTGTCGACCCACGTGACTTTCATTTGGGTTAGTTGACTTGCAAAAAGTCTCATTTACTTTTCCAACCACCGACCCTTTTTGCCTGCAATTACCCGCTTGGGGGTTTTATTTCGCTCATCCTCACTCGCATTCCTTTCCCTTCTTTCACTTACCTCATAACCTCTCCATTTCTATAGAGCAGATTGCTCGAATGCAACCCGACATTACGAGCCATCCTTCTAACCCAGCCCTTTCAACAATTCACCGGGAGAATAATACCTACAGCCTCTCCTGTCTGACCAGCAACGGTGATGAGGATGAGATGGACAGGGCAAACAACAAAGAATGTAACGACACTGACGAGAACGTTCTCAGGGGATCAATGGAGGATTTGCATCACTTTATCAGTGATAATGTCACACCAGACTTCCCAGAAGGTGATCATGGAAGCACTGTCACACCATTACCGGAAGCAACTCATAGCTTGACCACATCGTCGTTGGCAACGCAAAACGACCTCATTCCTCCTTCTCCAACACCCATTTCTGTGTGGGCTGCAGACTTACCTGTCGTTGAGCAGCCACAGGAGGCCATACCTCCGTCGTCCCCTCGCTTCCCTCACTCTCCTTCACATATATTTGAAATATCACAAGAATCTGATTTTGACGACGAGAATGATCGTCGCATTCAGGAAACCAAAGATGTTTTTACGGACACCCAGAAAATTGCATATGTTGGTTTGTGCTCTGTAACGAGTCTCGAGGTCGTACATGAGTGCCAAGGAAAAGACTTTGCTTATGCTCGAATGAGCGCTGGCAACTGGCAACGCAAGGTCATTCGAAGTTTGTACATGCACATGGACATAAGTTCAGAAGGTAAGAAATAAAAAAACTATTTTTGGCTCGCATTGTGGATTATGGAACTTGAGACGATAGATGCTTAATTATGCCGCCTCCATCCACAGAAATTTCCATGATTGAGTCACTCGCCAAACACAATATTTTACCCACCGATCTCGTTCATCAATTTACTTCGCAAGGAGAAACGACGACGGTTCCTGTGGGTCCAATGCATAAGGTGGAACTCGACTCCAATGTCAAGAAAGACAAACCAGAAATAGTAATCGACGATATGACGACCGTCTGTGGTGGCGACGGAGATCAGGAACCAGAAAAATCTTTATCTGAACTTGAAAATTCTGTAAATTTGGATGATCAGCCAGAAAACACCATGTCTCAAACGCCAGAAGAACATGACGGCCATGGGTCTGATACAGATAGCGTTGACGCACAAGTGGGAGAGAATGCTACAGACGATGCCGATAACGATAATACCTCTGTGCGATCGGATCGACCAGCATCTGTCTCTGACGCTAGTTCCCGAACTGTCGGACTTGACCACGATGATACCATAAAGACCGAAGATACCACTCTTGATTCAAAACCCACAGATCCCATTGTAGAAGAAGGGAAACCACAGGAACTGGTGGTTGATTTGCGTTGGACGGTAGTTTGCGACTTGGTCATTCTCTGCCTTTCTATGAACAACTATGACGCCAGATCTCGAGTTTTCATTCGAAAAATTGCTACCTATTTATCTCTAGAGTGGCCAGAAGTCATTGCATTCGAACGACGTATATCTGAATACTTGGCTCAAAACGACCCATCATGGGAGACTGAATCAGAAATGTCATTCATGACCACAGGAAGTGATGAGACGACGATGACCAATGCCACCTCCGAATTTGCCGTATCTCACAAGAACGATGCAATGCGTAAAAGCCGCAACAAGCAACAGAAAAAGAAGCGATACATTATGATGGGTCTGGCCACCTTAGGCGGTGGTCTTGTGCTTGGTCTCAGTGCAGGACTAATGGCACCCGTCATTGCTGGTGGACTTGGAGCTGTTCTAACTACGGTTGGTGTGACAGGTACCTCTGGTTTTCTTGGCGGTACGGCGGGAATTGCCCTTATCACAAGCGGAGCCACTGTCGCGGGTGGCCGAATAGGCGCTAAACGAATGTTCAATCGAACAAAAGGTGTGGATACATTTGAATTTGTCACAGTCAAAGCTGAAGATCGTGTCAACTGTCTTATTACTATCACTGGCTGGCTGTCTCGTCCGGATAACAAGGAGGAAGCAGCTCACCCCTTCTGTACTATCGACAGCTTAATGGGCGACCACTATACACTATTTTGGGAACCGGAGCTACTAACGGAACTGGGCAGTGCTATCAAGATTATTGCAACGGAAGTCGTTACTCAAGCTATTCAACAGGCTTTGCAACATACCATCATGGGTGCCTTGCTCGCTGGTCTGACCTGGCCATTGGCACTAACCAAGATTGGTTATTTGATTGACAACCCCTGGGCCAATGCTTTAGATCGAGCCCGGATAGCTGGGTTGATTTTGGCAGACTCTTTGATGAATCGCAGTATGGGTTCTCGCCCTGTCACACTGGTTGGATTTTCGCTTGGTGCAAGAGTCGTCTTCTTTTGTTTACTGGAATTGGCTCGCATGCATGCCTTTGGCTTGGTTGAAGACGTTGCCATTTTCGGTACTCCTGTCAGTGCCTCCATGAGCCAGTGGAAAGAATGCACGACTGTGGTTGCTGGTCGATTTGTCAATGGATATGCAACGAACGATTGGTTGTTAGGATTTTTGTTCAGAGCTTCCACAGGGGGTCTTGGTAGTGTTGCTGGCTTACGGCCTCTCAAAAACGTGGAACAGAATGTTCAAAACCTGGACTGCACTGATCTGGTCAAAGGTCACCTCCATTACAGAACAGCCATGCCAAAACTTCTTAAAAGAGCAGGATTTGAAGTGACGAGCGAGGAGCTTCCTGAACTCAAGGAAAAAGAAAGACCAGGTGGTGTGATGGGACTTGTTGGATTTGGTAGAAGTTCATTAGCTGTCAATGAAAACGATAGTAAGGAACGCGCTAGCAGTAGCGGAAGCAGGTCTTCAACGCCTTCAATCGACAATGATTCTACTTCAAAACTAGCGACCGAGATTGATCTTCCTGTTATCGAATTGGTCCATGAAGACAGCAAAGAACCCAAACTGAATAAGCAACCATTCTTAAACCGTGCAAAAGCATCTTCCTTATCATCCTTCTCGTCTGGGAAAGCATCTATCACTCTACCAAATCGCAGAGGAAGCCCAGATATCACTCTCAACACCTCACCCAACACTCATTCACCTGTTGTTCATACAACTTCATTGTCATCCCCTATACCCTATCGTGATTTGGACTCAATGTCATCCCCACGGGATAGCAACGAAAATGTAAAGTACAGCTTAGAATCATCTGTCCCCATGGTTCGCAGCAAATCCGATGTTACCTATGACAGCAATATCCTCCATCCATCTTCTGAACCAGAAGAACGACCTCCACCTGTACCTTTGATCAGCAGTCAAACAGATATGGATCTCATTGCTGGTATCATTGCCAATGCCACGGCAGCCGCTTCTTCCAAAACTGGATCATATAGTTCTCTTTCATCTGGAAAGGCCTCTCTTGCACCAAGATTAACACCATCCGCTTCTGCGTCTACGCAAAATTGCAGTAGTGCTAATGTGACGGAGAAACGTGCCTTTCGGGATTTATTTGGCGGTCGTCCCAAAATGACACATACTGCCACAGCACCAGCTCAAGTACCCATCAAAGAAGTCAAGGCTGAACCTTCTTCTACATCGTTCTTCAGCAAGAGTTTATTTGGACGGCGGAAAGATGAACCATCGGACCCCAACCAGTTGGAGCTCGTGGAGGCCGGAGTTGAAGTGAAGGAACTGAAAAGTACGCTGGGAACTATGGTGGTACCTCACGAAATTTCCAATCCTTTACCTAAAGTCACATTAGAAATGCCAAAGCATGCTCATCGCTTAGGATAGTTACAGCTTGTTTGGCAAAAAATATATACATTTTTTTTTTTTTTTGAAAAAATGAAAAAGGGCTTTTGTGTTGTTCGAATGTGTTTTGGCCCCAAAGCCGACTGGCTCTGTGACGTGCTTTCAAATTTACAGAGCGCCATTGCCAGAAAGAACGAATGAAATCGGTCCGTGTCTTCTGGGTTGTTCCTTGCTATCAAACACTGAAAGATGCTGGATCTCTGTACTGTCCTGACCAAAGGCGGCTATGTACTATGGCAAAAGAATTATACTCATATCAATGGAGCGCCCGTGGATGCTTTGATCCGAGATGTTCTCATTGAAGAGCGCGCAGGCATAACATCCTACAACAAGGATTCATACGCTTTGAAGTGGACTTTCCTGAACGAAAAGGAGCTCGTGTTTGTGGTAAGTGTTGATCGCAGTGTACATTAGATGCCATTGCCACAATATTAATATAATCTTCATGGTTAGATTGCCTACCAGAGCTTCTTGCAGCTAACTTATGTAGATGAGCTGTTGGAGACTACCAAGCGATTGTTTTCAACCACTTTTTCGGAACAGCTAGATTCCAGCGATGTAGTTGGTGGAGATTATAGCTCGTTTGATCCCCTGTTTGATCGTGCTTGGAAGACTTTGGAGGAGAAATATTCAAAGGTGAGGCAATTCGGCGAGATCTGGGCGAATAAGAGCTGATCCACCGTACTGAATTTCCACCCCCCGTCCATAGAGCAAACAAAAGGTTCCCAGAAAGTTTGAAGATACAAAGAAGTTTGAGAACACCTTGAACGGATCCAAAGCTAAACCAGGTAGGTATAGATCAATGGGACAGGTGTAGTGGGATGTCGATCACTGAACGCTTGCTTTAGCTGTAAAGGAGCCCTCGGTCGAAGATGAAATTGCAAAGAACATACAGGCAATGAATTTGGCGGGTAGTCCAAGATCTGGAGCCCGAGGTCCTGGTGGCAGACGAAATGTCAAATCACCAAAAGGTTCTCCAGTACCGTCACCAAATATGGCTTCGTAAGTATCCGCATCATGTCATGCATGGGGCCCTGCATACATAGTCAGTCATTTACTTATTCCGTTAACTTGGAACAGCGATCCTGCGGCTGGCAAAAAGAAAAAATCACAAAAAGTCATGCGTACTTGGGAAGGAAAGGTCGCAAAGGGTGAAATGGAGGCGCTGGATTACAGCAAGAAGTTGGATGGCCAAGAACACGAGGATGCAACTTTGGCGAACGCCGAAAGCTTGGTCGATCGTTCAAAGATGGGCAACGTTGTAGATGGATATTATGAAGTTCAAGATGTCGACTACGGCGATGAAGACGAGGATGACATATTTGATGAAGAGGATGGCGAGCTAGTATCAAAGCCAACTGCAAAATCATCCGGTGTATTCGGTTTCTTCAAGAACTTAACCGGCCAACGTGAAATAGATGCTGCTACATTAGAGCCAGTTTTACAAAAGATGAAGACCCATCTTATTGACAAGAACGTTGCAAGCAACATTTCCCAACATCTTTGTGACAGTGTTCAGTCTAGTCTACTGGGCAAGAAGCTTGGCACCTTTGGAAGTATGTTCACATGGACTATTGCATGCGTATAGAATTCGGTATTGACGTGTTCGTTATAGGTGTATCTACACTGGTCAAGGACAACATGGAAACCGCTTTGAAGCGCATTTTGACTCCCAAGACATCTGTTGATATTCTTCGTGATATAGAACAGGCTAAGGCTCGATCAAGAGCTTATAGCATCACATTCATTGGTGTGAATGGCGTTGGCAAGGTACGATAGGAACAAGATAGATGAGTGTTTGCCATTTTGACTAACGCAATCTTCCTTTTACAGTCAACCAATTTGAGTAAAGTGTGCTTCTGGCTCCTTCAAAACAACTACCGTGTCCTCATCGCTGCTTGTGATACTTTCCGTAGCGGTGCAGTAGAGCAATTGCGTGTTCATGCAAGAAACTTGAAGGCATTGCAAAGTAGCCACTCTGTTGGTGAGGTGGAGCTATTTGAGCGTGGTTATGGAAAAGATGCTGCTGGCATTGCTCAAGACGCTATTACTTATGGTAAACTTGCTAATAAGCGCTGAATTTACGACCTTATGGAAATTTAGCCAATACTAACTAATATCTTTTCACAATAGCTAACAATAATGACTTTGATGTCGTTCTTATTGACACGGCTGGTCGTATGCAAGATAACGAGCCTTTGATGCGATCATTAGCCAAGTTAGTGGCTGTCAACAATCCCGACAAGATCATCTTTGTGGGAGAAGCTCTAGTTGGCAATGAAGCTGTTGATCAGCTTACGAAGTTTAATCAGGCGCTCAAGGATTTCTCAGGACTTCAGAACCCTCGCCATATCGATGGCATGATTCTTACGAAGTTTGACACAATTGATGATAAGGTAATTCATGACCCCATGTCAGTTATAGCCAGACGCGCAAAATCTAAACTTTTTATCTATCGTCACCTAGGTTGGCGCCGCATTGTCTATGACATATACTACAGGACAGCCCATCTATTTTGTAGGCACGGGTCAGACGTACACAGATTTGAAAAATCTCAAAGTGAGCCATGTCGTTCAAAGTTTGCTAAAGAACTGAGATACCAGCAGTTCATACCAATTTAATTCCATATTGTACATACGCGTTGCAATGTAATCGCCAGTTTATGGGCAAACCTATATTATAAACAAACTTGACTTCTTCTTTTTACTTTTAAAAAAACAACCAAAAAATTATAATAACAAGTACTTGCAAATACGCGAAAGCAAAGTGAAGGCGAAAGAAAGAAGCACTCTTGGTCTGTAGCGGGCATTGCAGTGACATATCTTGTCGTATGGACGGGGAATATTTATGCACCTTCTTCGCCGTCTTCCACCATGCCTTCCTCATCTGCGTCTTCATCTCTTTCAGAAAATCGGTGGCTAGAAGCGGTCTTCTCCTTCTCTTCCATTTCAGCATCAGCCGTATCGACTGCCGCGGCGGGCGTTGGGGTACCTTCATCTGATCTATCATCGAAGCCATCATCCATGTTGAGAACAATGTTTTTCATTTCATTCTACGTTGAAGCAAGGTGAGTCTTTCTCGTGATTTTGATCTTTAGATGTGGCAAGGTATACTCACTGTAGACTCCCTTTCGTTTGTAATGGACGTTTGTAATTCCTTCACCACTGCTAATAAATTACTGAACTGTTCTTTTCTGTTCTTGAACACTGCGCTTTGCTTAGCCTTTTCTTCCTTCAGCAGATCAATATCTGCCCGCATTTGCAAAATGTTTCTTTTGAAAATTTTCAACATAGTGTCAGTCTTGGCATGCATCTATATCATCCGTTCATAAGCATTTTCCTTACTTATTATACGTGTCGCGATCCTCTAACTGTAATATATCGTGAGCGATACGGTCGTATTCCAATTTGTTATTTCGTATTTCATTTGCTCTTTCGAGATCCTGCTTAAGTTTACTGATGTGTGATTGTGTGTCCTCAATTTCCGTCGCTATAAAGCCAAACATCACACTAAATGAGTGGTTCTTCGATAAAAAAAAAAAGTACATCGTTCATTCAAGCATACCTATTCGAGACACTTCGTTCTGATAGTTCCTAACTTCGCGTTCGTTCATTTGGTGCATTAGCTGGTGCTGCTTCATGGCTAATTCATATTGTGCAATCTGGATCAATATCGCCTCGTAGCCGTGTTCTCTGTGTGTATTGTCATGTTAGTCTCATGCCAACATGGCCTGCTATATAGCTTTAAATGGAAGTTTCGTACATGTTTTCTCGAGTATCACTGTTTATGGAATTCGTCCATGCCTTGTATCGCAAGACAAGACTCTTGAATGGGCGCTCTTCTACGGCGAGACGATTCCGTATGATTGCTTCTATAATACGAGTGGTAAGATCATTGCTGCCGACCTTTGCAAACCGTCTTCACAGTGGCTGTTCTTACCGTCATCCATTTAGAGTATATACTTTTAAAGAAAAGCTGGCCTGCCTGCTGTTTCGACTCTCGACAGGAAAAAAATGCAGTCCAAAATTGCCTCTCAGCAAATGTCAACTTTGCACGCTGAGCATTATTACATAAAAGGGACCACTAGACGAGCTATATTCCGTTCGCCTATGCTTTTTACAACAATTAATCAGCATATGAAATAGAAAGTTAGATATAGAAGCTGTAGACGGAAGGCAGCCAAGTAGAATTGCATTATATAAAGAACGCGCCGTTAGGGATTTCGGTTTTGGTATAGTTGGTGTAGTTTGCGTTTCTTGCGATAAAGTGCTTGCAGTGGCATCCTTTGTAGATGTTGGATTTTGAAGTTTCCACTTTGATCAGCATCCAACTGCTATTCAATACGACAACCCTATCTTCCCATCTATATCAAGAGACATGAAAGTCATTCAGCCTTGGACAGTCCAATGAGCATAATAAAAGGTAGATAGTTTTGCCTTAACCTCAGATGGTGCATTTTGTATAGATTCTCAGTGCCTCATAAGGATCTGTGATTTACATAATGCCCAGAAACAGGACATTTTCTCCCTCGTTCAAGCTGTTCAATTCATTGGAGGATGTGTTTCAGGCACAAAAGGCACTCCGTGAAATTTGGTGCATGAGGCGTCCATATACAAAAATGCTAGCTGCTGGTATTCGAAATGCCATTTGACGGTCTCCTTCAGCGCTGGAATGTACTCAGTCTGAAAAGCTAGCGTTTAGGAAATCTGTTCTGCCAAAAACATATCTAATACTGGAAAGGCCAGTATGATCGAATGCCGGTGATTATGCAATATGTAAGGATATTTTTAAAGGGGCATCCGCTTTAATTGACAAGGAGTGCGACATGTTTACCAATAATGCGCTGTGTCCATACAAAGTATGCTTGTAGCCACTTGAGCAAGCTCCCAGCCACAGTGGCTGGAAGAGATGGACTTTCATTTCCAACCAAATTCCGAAAAGATCGAAAGGGGTGTAGAAAATGATATTTCACTGCAGCCAATTGCGTTTATAATGAGAGGTACATATATTTATACGAGCAATGGCCGACCTAGTGCAGCATGAAAGGAATCAATCAGGCTTGGCTTATGAATTGTTCGCCATCCAGTAACAACATTTTGCAAATATCCTGGAGTTCTGATTGGTTAGGAGTCATGGTGGGTGATACCGGATTGGGGTGCAACCTGAATTCATTCAACCATCATCGCCGCCCTATCTTTGCTTTTGCGTCTCTTCTTCTCTTTCATGACCATATCCTCAATTCCTCCGTTTCATTCTTATGGAGCTCTTGCATCGCCGCAAGCCGAAAGCGAAATAATCTCTGATGAGGAGAGAGATATTCTTCAAACTGTACGCCCAGGCTACGGTACAGGGAGCATATTTTCTACTTCATTCAACATTGTAAACGCTACAGTTGGTTCAGGCATTTTGGGTGTTCCATATGCTTTGCACTGCGGAGGCTTTATAGGCGGCATGGCCATTTCAGTCTTTGTAGGCTTCCTCACTGCCGTCAGTTTAATGATGATGATTCGAGCTGGCATACGATCCAATATCTTCAAGTTCGCACAACTTTCTGAACGAGCACTGGGCCGTCCAGGATTCCATCTCCTCAATCTGTTTGTTTTCATCCAAGCGTCAGGAAGCTGTATCAGCTACTTCATTAGTAAGTTATCTGCACCATTTTTGTTTCCCGATAGCAGCACTCAATACTGATTGTCCACTTCACCAGTCATTGGTGACACCATACCGGTCCTACTTGGGCAATTATGGCCAGAAAATGCACTACTTGCCAACCGTCAATTTGTCATAGTGGTGCTATCTTTGCTGCTTGTACGTCATTATCACCATGAAATTACTTGCTTTTTGCCCTGATACTAAGCTAATGTTTGGCTTACACAGATATTCCCATTGAACTTGGCAAGATCCATTGGTTCCTTGGCCAAGGTGTCCGTTTTCTCAGTTCTGCTCCTGCCTATTATTATCCTTACAATCATCGTGCGAGCTCCCGTATATGCTCCACAACATCATGCGCCAGTTACCATTTTTGGACCTAGTGTTCTAGACGCGCTGGGCATTCAGGCCTTCGCCTTTGCGTGCTCCCACGTCGCTTTCAACAATTATCTGTCGCAAAAGAACCAAACCGTGGTTGCCTGGACTTGGACTTCTGTTATCTCGACTTTCTCAAGCTGGACGGCTACCATGATGTTTGGTGTTTTGGGCTACTTTGCTTTCGGTCAAGACGTGCAGCAAAATCTTTTCAACAGTTTCCCAGCCGATGATTTGATCATTAACATTGGCCGCTTCCTGCTTGCAGTGTCTTTGATCTTCACTGTTCCAATGGGATTTTATCCTGCTAGAGAAGCACTTCAAAAGTCGCTTGGAAACGATACCCCTGATCGCCAACCTACAAAAGTCCAACATTACACAGTAACTGTCGCCTTGTTCATAGGCATGCTATATATTGGTGCCACCGTTCAATCTCTTGGCAAGGTTTATGCCTTTGTGGGTGGTTTGGCCAGCAGTTTCATTGCTTATATCATACCCGGCATCACCTACCTGAGTATCTTCAAGCGAGCGCCTCAATTGACTGCTCAATCAGAGACGAGCTATTTGAACCAGGATGAATTTAAAGATGAAAATGCCGTACCAACTTGGTGGATGGACATCACAGCTGTCGTGCTCGTTGTTTTTGGCGTTGGTATCATGGTGCTCACCGTAGGAAAGGCCATCTGGATGTAGTCGATATACCTAAAGACAGGACTTGTACATAGAATATTATCCTTTTGCTTTATATCTGGTTATGCACTTGTTTATTGCCTGGTTATACACCAGCTTCCAATTAAATTTGTATTAAAGTCAATTCGTGCGGTAGTTTGCTAATATCTGATGGCATTGAAGGGGGGACGGAGTTCGGTGTCTGAAGATGGCAATTGGAAATTTTATCAGATATCCTTTGACCTTTAACGTCTAATGCCTACCACCAATGCACACAGGCTTTTGACAATACTGGCACTGATATGTCAATTGCCATACTCACTGCAACAAGATGAAGAAGAACAGCATGGGCACACACACGACCTGGACCCTATGATATTTACGGATTTCGCTGCAACTGATGAGCCCATAGGATCCATTATGACATTACACTTGGCATCCATGATATTAGGTACTTTCACTTACGGCATCTCAAAGCATCACAGTGAGACGGCATCATTCTAATACTTTCAATTCCAAGCGTTCGGTATTATATATCCAATTGGTATGGTTCTTGGTTTGGTGAAGAGCCGCTGGCACGTACCTGTTCAGGTGCTAGGTTCGCTAGTCTTTGTTGGCGGATTTTTTTTGGCACATGCTCATAGCGGCCGTAACTATGTAAGTGGATTAATATAATGTAACGATTATGTTATCAAAATGATGACTGCAGCCGTTCTAATGACAGTTTTGCTCCGCCCAGGAACCCCACAACGCTCATCGTGGTTTTGCTTGGTTCGTCGTTTGGTCACTGATCGCTCAAGTGGCCATGGGAGCCTATCTTAAACTTCATTTGGAAAAAGGTATCCATGGCCGTATTCGTTCCTTGTTCGTAACTGCACATAGATGGCTTGGAATTCTGGTTCCAGTCATCGGATATACTCAAATCGTTTTGGTGAGTGATGCCTCTCTCTTGGGCCCCCACTGCTATGAATGATGGCTAACCATTGAGAACAGGGTGTTATTGCTATTGTTGGCTTTTGCTATGGCGGTGAGTATTTCCTTAACAATCTAGTCTTTCCATGGTTACCATGGATTGAAACTGAACGTCTACTTTTACAGAACATACTGGACAATGTCTGGCGCATTTCATCATGGGATCCTCCTTTGCAGGTTATGGTATCATCATGCTTATCTCATTGCGGGTCGGTGGGCCATGGCTTCTGAAGCGTCAAAGAAGCCAAGAGTGGTATGATAGCTGGATGATCACTTTATGGGGTATTGTGAACACTTTCACAGAGCACCGGTACGTAAAGGAAGCACTGCCATTGCAATAATGAATGATCCCTTACTGATTTTTCGTAAAGTTGGGGCTCCAATTGGAATTCCTCTGATTACCAGCACACATCTATGGGTATTATTTGGGTAGCAGCTGGAACGGTCGGCATCTGGCTTAGCCGAAATGAACAGCGAAGCGTTGTTCCTGCTTTGGTCATCGCGCTGACCGCCGCTGCCTTTCAAGTGAGTACCACAATTCATATCTCGTCGGTTACACTAAGAGCTTACAATTTCCATCATTGAATAGGGACATGCCCAACACGTGGCAAACAGCGGCCATATCCATTCATTCTTCGGATACATGTTGATGGCAGGCGCTATTTCTCGAATTGTTGAAATTTGCTTTGTGTGGAAAAAGGGAGTGTTCACAGTCTCCCCTTGGCAATATATGCCACCCATGGTAAGCTTAAATTCTGAAAGGCGGCCATTGCTATAGCAACGACTGACCAATGATATCCGGGTTTTAGTTTTTGATGATGGCTGGTGTCATCTTTATGGGAGCGACCGAAGAGCAATTATCATTATTGGCTACGATTGGTATTGATCCTGCATCGTATATCAATGTCCTCTTATCTTTCGCTTTCTTCCTCTTCCTTTACACAAACATTCTGCTCGGACTTTGGGAGCGGTTATCTGGATATGATAACAAAGCCTCCACTGAAGGTTATACTGAAGTTGAGCGCGAAGAATTACATGATGGAGCTAGCTTCCTTGAAGACGACGAAGACGATTATACAAAGGAACATAATGCCCTTGCCCTGGGCTCACTTCGACAGCGCGACTAAGTTAGGGTCATAAGAATTGACAGCATTTTATAAACACCCGTCGTCAAGCATGCATTTCTGTTATATATTCATAATTCATCTTTCTGAATGAGTGACAATTACAAAGGGATTTTTCTCTTCATGTTCTAGAAAAACAAATTAAATATCCCATCTTCAAACTGCAACACGCGTGTCTGAAATAGGTAAACCAATTTTTTCGCGCGGTTAAAAATACATCATCCTCTAGCCATACTGCAGTGTTCAATCCGCATTCACATGTGAACGCTATTCTTAGCCCTTATGTATCCACACCCACCGAACGCTTCAACCTATAGGCAATGGGTTGTGCATCCAGCACCATGGGACAATCAACACATGAGTAATCACCAGACAATTCCAGCTTCCATGACTCCTCAGACAGCAAATCTTCAATCCGCTGGCGAAGGCAATGACTCAAGACCAGTCAAAAGCGAACTTTACAACAATAAGTTGAAGATAGCCAAAATGGTCCTGAAATATGAGGAATACCGAAACAAATTAGCTCAAGCCTCATCAATAGCTAGTTCGTCAGAAGAGACAGCTAATATCGACTTAAACGAGCTGGACTCCTTGAAAGTAAGTACCATGCTCAGTGCAACATTTGATCTTTGGTTATTGACTTTGTTATTTGCATTAGGAAGAGATAGCTGCCACTGTAAAAGAAATGAGTTCAGAGTCTCACATTCGCAGATTGAAACAGTTGCTGAGTCGCCAAAAGAGAAAACGAGTGAGCTATTATTTGCTTTCCAAACATCGCTGTGGTGATTTAAATTACTCAATAGGCGTTTTTTATAGGAATGGAAGCGAAGGCATTTAAAAAAACTTCAGCAAACGCGAGACAAACGGCGAGAAAAACGACGTAGACTACACGAAGAAATAGATCGATGGAGAGTGGAATGGATTGAAAAAGAAGAAGAAAACAAAAAAGTAAGAGATGTTCATTCTTTTGGAACCAATTTAACATGGATATTGAGTAAATTGCTTTTTAGAAAGCACGCGAACGTCAAAAAGCGGAGAAACAGCGAAAACTGGAGGCAAGCATTCGAAATCATGAAAGAAACAGCCAGCTACTTGTACAAAAACTCTTGGAACTTCGTGCAATACGAAGAAGAAAACTGAAGGCACAAGGTGATTGTACATGCTTAAAATAGTCCAGTAATATAAACAGGTAACTGATAAAGTTACTATAGGACATTTCTTCCCCGAGGAAGGTAACGAGTTCTTTGAGCGCATTCGACAGTTGAACGAGCAAGTGCCATCGTCTCCCAGCACAGAAAATGAACCTATCGAACAGGAAGTGATTTCTGTGCCCGTCCACGAAGACGATAAATGGCTACACGTACCATTGGATATGAATTCCTATAGTTATTGGTGCCAGGGGAACCGCTCTCTGGATGCATTACAGCGAGTGCGAAATCAATGGGATTACTATCTTTCAACGAACTCAAGTGAAATAGGTAGTAAAGTACCTCCGACCTGGGTTAATCCCTCGCCGCCATCAAACTGGGTGTGGGCCACAGTTTTGAACTAACCTGTACATATTCGAAATAAAAGCATTGATTATATTACGATTTTCCAACGGGAAGCAACTGCAATGGCAGAGCAGTCCCAATTTTTGGTTTGACAATTTTCGGGCTTCCTGCACCGAACCTCAGTACCCTTTCCAGGATGCATGAGGTACTGACAATCCAGCTCGGACAAGTTGCCAACTTCGTGGGCACACAATTCTGGAATGCACAGGTAGTGATACTCGAATTAGGCTCACTGATGTGCTCGCTGTATTGACCTTTTCACTTTAAACACTGCAGAATGAGTATTTTGAGTATGGAGACCAGGCAGCAGAGCCCGAGTTCAACCATGATATTCTTTATCGTGCTGGCACAAATCAAAGGGTAAGGACGATAGCTGTCATCAATCCTCTTCCTATCAGCACCTTTGACATTTTGAGTTCTGGCATAGGGTATTGAAACATATACTCCTCGAGCACTGATCTACGATTTGAAAGGCGGCTTTGGATCGTTGAAGAAATACAATAAGCTCTTTGAACAAGAGTCTGAAACAAATAATGATTCATGGTAAGCAAACATACTGAACAAGTATTAGCAATATATCTTAGCTGACAAAGCATGTAGGGGCGAGAAAGTTGAAGAATATAAAACCACACAGTATCCCAAAAACCGATTTCAACAACATTTGGATAAGATGGACGAGGTTGGTGACGAAAAGGTGGATAAAATTATTTATATTACGGATCTGTAACAATGACAATTCTTTCAGGGCATTGAGGAACCAATTGAAAAGGAATTGGATCTGGACGACAGCGTCAAAGTATGGTCGGACTTCAACAGCACCTACTACCATCCAAATACCTTCAATCAAATCAATAGCTATCAGATGGGTAACTCCATCCAACCATTTGATACGTATAACACAGGATGTCAGGCCTATGATGAAAATGAGAAGGTAGAACAAACCTTTGTATGCAACTGATTTACCTCTCACATTTGCTGACCGATGATATAGGAAACGGATAGCTTCGATGAAACTTTTCGATTCTTCACCGAAGAGTGTGATCAGTTACAGGTATTTATTCCTAGATGAATTGTGGCATGAAACCACAATACTCATCAACAATTTACACAAAGGGATTCCAAATTATGACCTCTGTGCACGATGGCTTTGGAGGATTTACCTGTGGGCTATTGGAAAATATACGAGACGAGTATCCCAAAGCATCCATTTTGACGTACGGTATAAGCAATATACAGCAATCATCAACGCAGGTACGCATCGCTCTTATTTCAGAACTATAAAAAGCATAACAGTAACCAAAACGTCACTTGTAGAGGAATATACAAAGGCGAAATCTCAACATGACCATGTCAGCGGCTTCATTATCCGAGTATTCATCGCTGTATGTTCCTATTCAGTTGCCTGACGCTGCTGACTTGAACCGACCATGGACTCGATATCTTTCCTACCAGGTTAGTAATTTAGCTGCAAACACGGTAAATGCCTAACGCTGTATCTAAATCCCATGTCTGTGCACAATAGCCACATCTCCTCTACCAAACCAGCGCCATAGTTGCAGCGGCTATAGAATCGGCTTCTATCCCTTGGCGCTTGAAGAAGCGGACAGCACTTATGTCCGAAGTCATCGGTGCGGTCAATTGGCAGGGGAATCATAACATTGCGTCTTTGGGAACATGTTTCCCACTGGATATTGTACAAGGAAAGCAATACACAAGCGTAGATCGAAATCTCCCGATTGAAGCTGGTCGATTTAGCACAATTAAAAACTTTACGGTAGACGATGCAAAGGTATATACACGAGTAATCGATATACAATGCGTCATTACATCTAACCTTGATATTCGTTTACAGAAAGAAGACGAAATTTTTGGAGAATCTACCGTACTGCGGGGAACTCCAGATATTGGATCACGAACGTAAGTTACCAGTGTAGCATACGGAAAACATTTGCAATACACTCTAACCTTCACAATAGCAACAGAGATAAATTTATCGAAGACACTTTTGAGCGCTTAAGCGGTGCCGACGCACCGTATAAGCAAAGGTATTCATTTCCCACCCTGACGCGTAGTGTGTTTGCATGAAATCATAAACTGAATTTGGATCAACAGAACGGTAGCCAGCACTGGTGTACCCTTACCACTATCGTTCCCCAATATCATAACATCTAACTATAATGGCTACATATTGAGGTATTTTTTTTCGCTTCTGATATACTTGTTAGTTAACCTCCTTCTAAATTTTCTACATTTAGCAACGAAGAGTCACTGACACCTAAGAAGTTCGTGTCGGGTCTCTCTCAACTAAGTGTAGGTACTCACATGTACTCATACTTTGAGAAACAGCAGCATTCCTTGAAAGGACTTAATTATAGATTATTTGGTGAATATGAGGAAGGTGATAGAGGCAAAAGTCTAGAAGACTTTGAGCAATTGAAAGATTGGTTGATTGAAAAAGCGGACAATTTCCGTCCCGACGAATAAAGCCCGTTCTTTTTTGGCGTGACTTGACAAACCAAGGATTGTGCTTTGCCTGACCCACATGCTCTCAAAGTGATGCATTCACAAAACACAACACCTGATGCATCACCGCAATTACATTTCCGGCGGAGTGGTGCAGAGGAAATAGGAAAGGGCGAATTTAACCAACATCTTATGAGTGAGCCTGCGACAATCGCCGAGGACGCTTCCCTGACAACAGATCGAACTCAGCATTTAGCCCCAACTAATGGTCATGCTGGTGTTCGAAGGAAACGACAGCGCTCACCAACATTGTCCTCACAAACCGGTGAAAACACCTTTTACCAGAGAATGGAGATTCGAGTGAGACACTCTGTTGGCAGCATGAGTATAAGTCCGAGTAGCAGAGATATCGTCCTTGCAGGGTGAGATATACTTCCTAAAGTCTAAACTGAATAAGCAGATGTAACTCATGCTCGATCTGTCGAACTATTAGGCGTCAAGGATTGCTGATTATTGATCTGGAAGACCCTTGGCTAACTCCACGCGTTCTACCCCACATGTCAAAGTGGGAGGTCGCAGATGTTCAGTGGAGTCCATACATCGCCCGAGAGTCATGGATTGCATCAACTGTGAGTAGTTTACCAATGAAGTACAAAATTTCAAGAGTATCTTTTCGGGAAACTTTCTAAATCATCTCCATCCCCATAGTCTAATCAAAAAGCACTAATTTGGAATCTGAATCATTCAAGTCAACATGCTATTGAACATATCCTCCATGCTCACTCCCGCGCCATTTCTGACATTAACTGGTCTTTACATGATCCAAACATGCTGGCCACATGCTCTGTAGATACATATGTACATTTGTGGGATATGCGTATCATCGGACAAGATGCTCACTCGGGCGAAGAAGGCATTGCCATTGGAGATAGAAGTATTCGACCAGAAAGTTCTTTTTGCGCATGGACAGGTAATGATGTATTCTTGGTGGACCAAAATAGACAAACTTTGAATTTACCATGCTCTTTTAATACAGCTGGAGCTACTCAGGTCAAGTTTAATAGGAAAAACCAATACCTCTTGGCGTCTGCACACGACAAGGCTGTCAAAATTTGGGATATTCGAGTAAGTGTTTCGCTAAAGCTTTCTTACAGTCAAATGGAAAGACTCCAATGTTGATCAACATTCTTATGTATAATAGAAAGGCTCAGATCCTGTAACAACTATCAATGCCCATTCGACAAAAATTTATGGCATTGACTGGAGTCGCCAGAATGACCACGATATCGTAACCTGCAGTTTGGATAAAAGTGTCAAGGTAACATACTATTGATCTCAACATTAAGATACTCCCTTTAGATTGGACCTTTTTAACCTTCTCCCGTTTCATCAGTTCTGGAATATCAATAGCCCAGATGAAGCGCAAACTACCATCGTTACAAACTCCCCAGTATGGCGCGCCAGAAATACCCCGTTCGGAAGTGGCGTATTAATGATGCCTCAGCGAACGGAAACGACATTGTTTCTTTACAATCGTGAAAAGCCAGAAAAACCTGTGCATTCATTTGAGGGTCATACTGATATTGTGAAAGAATTCGTTTGGCGTTGGAAAGGTGATCCTGACCATGCTGAAAATCGGGAATTTCAACTGGTAACTTGGTCGAAAGACCAAAACTTGCGTTTGTGGCCAATCCGACCAGAAGTGATGCAACTAGTTGGTAGTCATAAAGGCGATCAACAAACACATCCAACTATCGCATCCAAGGCTCTTGAATCCAACGGGGTGTATCGACCGCATTCGTTTCAGCAGCACCCTACACAAGATGTTGAATCTGCTAGGAGATCATCGACTAAATCATCTCTCAAAATTCAGACTTCAAATAGAACACCTGGTATTTCACCGCTTCGGCCGACTTTATCAGGCAGCGTTAGTATGGATGCCAATCATGGCAAAGAAGGTGCCGCAAATATTTATAAAGATCAAAAGTACGCCATTCCACCACTTTTATGGATGCAGAATGTCAAGACAGTTCGACCAACGGGAGAAATTCGAAACGATGGCACATCTGAAGACGTTTTCCAAAACGTCGCAGAAGAAATGTCGATTATACTTAACAAGTTTTCTAGCGCAGGCGTTAGAACTGAAAGAGTAAGTTCATTATAACGTTGGTACCGTCCAATGTCTGATTGATATGTGTTCTTATACCGATTTCTCTCAAAGGTCGATGCTGCTTCCAGGACATGCACTATTACATTGCATGGACCATGGTCCGATACAGGCAGCGCGTTTCTTCGGATCACAATTACATTTCCTTCACAATACCCTGATAATACCCCTCCAGAATTTGATATTCAGAAGAACAGTATGATTTCCATATATTACCGTGCGCACATGGCACAAGACCTAAGCACCTTAGCGTCTGCATATACGGCTCAAAAGCGATATTGCTTGGAACCCTGTTTACGCTACCTCCTTGGTGAAACACCTTCAGAAGATTTAGCTAACCTTCGATTTGGCGCGGGCAATACCCCTGGGTTTTCACCATTTAATACTAAAGGGTCAAATGCAAATAATGCAGGCTCGAATGATCACTCTGGATTCGGAAACTGGAACACTTCGCCGGGTGCTAACAACGGAGATTCGGATGATGAAATATACGTAGGATCAGGCTTTGGCGTAGGCTCTGACTTCGGATTCCAAAACAAGCGCGTCAATTTACAAAGCGAGAAAGGCATCGTCGTTGATATGTCAATTAAACAAAGTGCAGACCAAAACGTGCCATTCCCGCGTTTATGTGGTGCTACTTTCAGTGGTAATGGTATGTCATCGATCCTATTGAGTATTTGGGTTTTTGAAATGCATTCGACGGAGTTTGCTAATCACGGCTTCCATAGGCACTCTTGTCACGTTCTTTTCCACACTGCGCGTTCGCAATTCTGATAGAAGTGCCACTGCGAATGATAAATCAAAATCTACAACGTCTTTATCAGCTGGAGCCAACAACAATTCTTTCATCACCAACAACTACAGCGAATTCTACCATCATCCAAAGACATATGAGCAATTTGAAGAATACAAAGAAATCGCAGCAATGTCGAGGCAAGGAAGAAATGCAACTGTATTGGCATCTGCAAACAGTGGAGCCTTTGGGGACTATTCTGGATATGAAGACGCCGAAGATGATATGGATGAAGGCATTCACAATAATTCATCTCTATACCTACGCCCTGAGGTAAGTTTTATGATCCCAAGCATAACAACTTCGTCACTCGCACCATTTTAACCTGCGTTTTGATATAGAATTTGGAAATGGGCAGTTCTTTGAACAATGACGAAAGTATTCTGTATACCTCTCCAAAGCCACATCATGAAACCTACCACGTTGTTTTGTACCATCCAGGGGATCTCATGCCTTTCAGCGCTGATTTAGCAAAGGCTTATGTATTATTTGGCGATGATACAATGGCTATCTGCAGTCACAACGCAGCTGCTTGCAAGGAACTTGGATACCAGGAATTGTATAAGGTCTGGTGTTTGGCAGGAGAGATTCTAAGGGAGTGCGTGCCAGCCAGTGCTTCCCAACAAAGTCAGCCGATGCAGAACCGACGTTTGAATCGAAGTCAGATAACTCGCTCTACGGATGTGACACAGAACAAAATGTTTGAATATGCTGTTGATCTTAAACTGGAGCCGACGAGTTCATCAACAACCAAGTTGGACCGGCGTGATAGTGGTACTGGTTTACTTCCTTTAGATGTCTCGTTAGTAAAGCGTAGGCACCTGGATAGGATCACTTGGGGATTACATCCGCTAGGACGACAGCTTGTTGACAAATTGTAGGTTCATGATTCAATGCCAGTATGAAAAAAAAAAATGATTATGCCTCTAAGATATACTCAATGCGCTTTATTTTGTTCTCGTAGAATGACTCGCTTTATGAACAGAGGAGATGTGCAGACTTTGGCTATGTTGTCTTGCGTTTTTCGAGAACCGCTTTATCATGGGTTGAACAAAAGCACTGTAAGTCCTTGTTTCATAATTTTGCCTCCTTTCACGCCGTCCAACTAAATGCGATTTGATAGTCCTTGAAGGCACCACCGACAACGGAAACAATGACAGTAACACCAAAACTAGTACCATCTGTCAGTCACGATTATTTTTCATTCCGTAACAAAAATGAATTATCAATATCTGGGTCCTTCCCAGCTTTTACCCCATTGCAAGGGCAAAAGCCTAATATCACCGCGGAATCCTACAATTCACGCACAGAATTCCTGGCTCAACTACCTTTTGCGGCAGATCCGACTCCAACACCATTTGGAGCTAGCATTACCAATTATAACGGCGCAACAGACTCTTACATTGCCGCCCTTGACGCTGCACGTAACAACACGGCGTTCAAACTCTCGGTCCCTCATCGACTACCTACCAATACTGCACCCATAACACGTAATAGCGATGATGGATTTTTGAGCATGCTCCCTTTCATCAGTCATAGCTGGGGATCAACCACGTCAGGAGTTGCGCACACTCCTGACACTCCACACGGCGACTCCCTGCAAAGATCAATCAACGTCGGCAGGGATGGACACGTGATGAATTCAGAAATTACGATTGAAATGACCAATATGGATACATTTGATGGAGATCGCTTATTTCATCACCCGGTACCTTTGCTGGACCCCAGTAAAGCTGGTGAGATGAATATATTTCGAATATTCTATGCTGATATGCTTTATCGACTTGGATTATTCGAAAAGAGGGCGGAACTTTTGAAATTCGTGCAAGTACAAACAAACGGCGGTCCAAGCAATAGCGGCAGTACCAATCATATGCATACGCTATTGGGAGGCAATGATCCCCATTTGGACATCAAAGTCCGATGTCGTCAATGTCACCAAGAGCTGGTTGAGGAACCGTCTCAAACAAGCGACAGCCAAAGTCAGCCTAAGCATGGCGGGTACTGCAGTTCCTGTCAGCGTACCCGCCATCGTATATCTTGTTGTATATGTCGTACCTTGGTTCACGGCTTGGTCAATTTCTGTATCCGCTGTGGTCACGGTGGGCATTCCAGGCATATCAAGGAATGGTTTGTGGACATGCAACATGATGTATGTCCAACAGGCTGTGGTTGTCGATGCCTTTACGAAACATTAGAGTATGGTGTACCAGACTTGAACATGTCTTCTTCGACGCCAGATAAGGCTCGATAGCAAAAACCATAGGCGGTCACGCTAATAGAATTTTGCGGTATTCTGAATGTCACAGGGAGGTGGCGGCGGAGAAGGGTTTTTTGACTCCCAAGCCATTTGAACCCTATTGCATCCAGAAGTTTCACAAATCAATTCCTGCCACTCATTAGCAATAAAGAACCTCGATCTTTTTATTTTAATTTATTCCAATAGACATGTTGTGTAATTTATACAATGTCATACCGATGCTAAGACACACCTGATAAGCATGCCTATCAAAGCTATCCAGAACTGCGCACGGGCTAAACTGGTCCGTTTACTCCGGTGTGAGTTTGCTGCAGAAAGCTTTGGAAATAACAAGCAAACATTTTATTGGTTGCTCACATTTCCTTTTTCTCTTCAAACCAGAGCCTCCGATTTTTCAAAACCACACTTATTTTTTGACTCTGCTTTAGAATTTCTTCACTTAGAGCTTTGTCATTCTTCTCATCTCGAATTTGGCTATCCAATCTGATTTCCTTTCACTCTCTCTATGACGGGAAAGCTATGTTTCTGGGCTATTCTTTCAACAAGTGACTTAAAATTTATCTATTTTTCACCTTCGCTTGCTAAACTCCTCGGCATTCCACCAAATGTGGTACCCGAAATGTTACAAGGCAGGACTCTCTGGGATTTAATACACCCCGAAGAATATGCCATGGCCAGAGGAGACCTAGAAAAATTCATGGAGACAAAACATATTGGAGGGTCGGTTACTCGGTAAGCAACGACGCCAGAATGATTTTATTTTATTGTAGCTTTTTTTAAACATTGCCACTGCCAACCATGGAACTGGTTTACTAACCGTATCTTTCCCTAGATGTCGACTAATTGACTTAGACGATATCATCGAACCCAAGTTCGTGCGAAGAAGTTCTTCTGAGATCAACATACCTGTAAAAATTCAACCGCGACCTCTCGATAGAAAGGTAATATAGCCGCAGTAGCAATTTCAGCCACACTCTAGATATTCCAAGCCATGATGTATGTACTTACTATTCCGTAGAAGTCTGCCACAGGTGAACCTAACTGGGAGGTAGTGGACATTGTGATGTATCTTGTTACGAATGAAATCATCCTCACTTTCTTCCATGCTGATTATGGTATGTATAACATGAGTGAATGGGCAAGCCACACGGTAGCTAACTGAGATTGCCATCCAGATCTTGATCAACCAAACGGTGCTGGTTCACTACCATTGATTTGCCAGGAAATCGATTTCACGCCACAGGTTCGTTGACTGGCTGCCATGTTTGCACCATTTGGAAAAAAAAAAAAAGACTGATTTCGCTGTCATAAACCAGGATGGTATAGATCTACTGTTTATTCTTCAAAACACCCCTCTTGCCTCCGCTAAAGCAAGTTTCTCTGGCAATACTCGAATATTTCAAATTATGGAAACAGACACATGTAAAGCATTGGTAACTTGGCCTCCAGCAACCGACACATCCAGAATTTCATTACAACTTTCAGATGCTAGTCTCTCTCAGTTACTCATTGATTGTGTGGAGAGAAGCAAACATCGACCGGCTGATCGCATGAACATACATCCATACCAATATGCTACCTGCGTGCAGCAAGCACAAGTTTATACTCAACTGCTTTACGAATCAGGACCAGTCAAAAAGGTCGAAGTTATAATTATACAATACGGTTCCATCACGTTTGGATCATTTGATATTTCACGTCTCGACCAATCGACACCTCTTCTGACTCAATCCAGTACAAGCACAGATTCAACCAACTTATCATTACTATCTCGAAGGTAAGAATGCGTTTTAAAGTTCTACATCTTTTATTGCTCGATGTCATGTCTAGTTTAGTGCATATCTTCTCACCATCATATCTGACAGTGGTGTATCGTCTTCCTCTTCGCCGGCTTCTAATCAAAATGACAGCCGCAACTTTATCACCCTTAATAGCATTGGCTCTCATGTTGGATCAAGAGAAAGTAAGTCTCCATTTCTGACACCAATATCCCATTCTGTCTTATAACGACATTCTCATGTGTTTTATTTTGATCATAGCGCATTTTAGTGAGCAGTCGACAGATGATCAAGACATATCATCAACCGACGCAAGCGCTGGACCACCCTCAGGCACCACTGTTTGGAATACAAACATAAATGTGAATGGCACTTCACCCATATCCAGTACTTCACGTGTGGTCTGCGAAAGTTGTCATACTGATTCATCGCCGGAATGGAGAAAGGGCCCAAGTGGCCAAAAAACGTAAGTTCTAGACACTGAAAATCCCATGCTTTAAAACCGAACTTTTATGCTAATCAAGTTCTTTTTTCCCCCACCAATTTTTTTTAACTTCTCATGGTAAACTCAAATAACATATATGACGCAGTTTGTGTAATGCTTGTGGTTTACGCTACGCTCGATCGGTGGCCAAGCAAGACTCTTTTGGTAGGCGGCAACGCGGAGTTCGTGTAGTCATTAACAATGATCCACAACTCAAATACCCTTTGTCCCCAACCAGCGATGTGACTGAGACGCCGCATCAAGTTGAGTACCAGGATGGAGAGGCTGAATCTGAGGACTACGGAATTTTTCATACAGACCTCGCCAATCATCAATCCAGCAGTACCACCGACTCAGGATCGACATCATCCAGAACTAAACGAAGGAAAAAGTCCAGATATCTTCCAATAGGCGATAATAGAGCTGGTGCAAGGACCAGAGCAGCTCGCAAAGCACGTATGATTCAATCAGATTCTGCGCCGTTGTTGACTCAGAAACCGTCAACTTTGTAATTTTCCCATGTAAAAATAAAACTTTTTTCTTAACTTTTTTTTTTTTTTTTTAATTTTTTTTTTCTGTGCGGGAGTCAATTCTTGATATTCAAAAATAAAAGCGACCGTCGCGAGCTTGGTCAGTCGATCTTACTTCACCAATGTCATCCGCTGATTCCACAGTCATTCAACTGCTTTCCAGCCTCTCCATATCCCCCAAGACAGTTTCCCACGAGCCCGTTGCTGATAACAAAGCATGGCAAGCTGCCCTGGACAAGGCACAGACTGATGTCAAGTACAACTTGACCAAGACCTTGGTTCTTAAGCCTAAGACTGCCAAATCTGCTGCTCCTACCCCTCTTTTCATCGTTGCTCTCGAATCTTCCGAAACCAACATTACTGCCATCGCCAAATCCCTTGGATTGAAGGAATGTCGCTTTGCCAATGAAGACTTGTTGAAGGACACTTTCAACGATGACAAGACATCAGGTACAGTTGAGCAAGATACCCCCCACCCCCCAAAGCATTGTGAATATTGATATTTACGCAATTCGTTTTGTTTTTGATAGTATCCGCTTTCTCTTTGTCCAATGTGAAGGACTTGTCCCTTGTCCACGTTGTTGTTGACTCTGATTTGCTGAGCTTGGACGCCACCGAGCTTATTGCTTTCCACCCAGCTACTTCAGAAAAGACCTCGTTCATCTCTTCTACTGAACTCAAGGTTTACCTTGATTCCCTCGGTAAAGAATACAAGGTTATCAACTTTAAGGAACTTGCCGCTGCCGCTCCTGCTGCCGCCGCTAAGCCTGCCGCTAAGGCTCCCTCCAAGCCTGCTAAGGCTGCTGCTGCTGGTAAGAAAGTTTTGTTTTCTATTGATTGGGTTCACGTTGCCAAAAACACAATATTGACAGAATATCTTCATTGTGTCTTCATTAGCTCCCTCTGCTCCCGCAGAAGATATCCATCAAATGGGTATTGAGCACAAGAAGGCCGATGATCTTCCCAGATGGTACCAACAAGTCCTTACCAAGAGTGATATGCTTGACTACTATGATGTCTCTGGATGCTACATTCTCAGACCTCTCGCTTATAACATTTGGAAGGAAATTCAAAGTGAGTGATATAAATGAACCTTCTCGCAAACGTTTTTTTTTTACGCAATGACTGACAGATAATTTTAAATCAATCTAGACTTTTTCGATGCCGCTATCGTTGAGATGGGTGTGGAAGACACTTACTTCCCCATGTTTGTTTCCAACAAGGTTTTAGAGAGAGAGAAGGATCATATTGAAGGTTTCGCTCCTGAAGTTGCTTGGGTCACCAGAGCAGGAAAGAACGATTTGGAGGAGCCTATTGCTATTCGCCCTACCTCCGAAACTGTCATGTATCCTTACTTCGCAAAGTGGATCCGATCCCATCGTGATTTGCCCTTGAAGATCAACCAGTGGTGCTCTGTTGTTCGATGGGAATTCAAGAACCCCCAACCTTTCCTTCGTACTCGCGAGTTCTTGTGGCAAGAAGGTCACACTGCTCACTTGACCAAGCAAGAAGCTGATGTTGAAGTTCGCCAAATCTTGGATCTGTATGCCCAAGTTTACACCGACTATCTTGCTCTTCCTGTTGTCCAGGGTGTCAAGTCCGAGAAGGAACGATTTGCTGGTGGTTTGTATACTACTACTGTTGAAGCTTTCGTCCCCACCACCGGTCGTGCCATTCAAGGTGGTACCTCTCACTGCTTGGGTCAAAACTTCTCCAAAATGTTCAACATTGTTGTTGAGGATCCTAACTCTCCTAGCACCGCCACTGAGGAAGCCAAGAAGTTGCATGTCTGGCAAAACTCATGGGGTCTCTCTACCCGTACCATCGGTGTCATGGTCATGGTCCATGGTGATGACAAGGGTCTTGTTCTTCCCCCTCGTGTTGCTAATGTCCAAGCCGTCCTTATCCCATGTGGTTTGACCGTCAAGTCCAAGCAAGAGGATTACGATGCCATTTATGGTGCCTGTACCGACGTTGCTGCCAAGCTTAAGAAGGCTGGCGTCAAGTCCAAGACTGACTTGCGTGATAACTACACTCCTGGTTACAAGTTCAACCATTGGGAAATCCGCGGTGTTCCCCTCCGCCTTGAAATCGGTCCTATGGATCTGAAGAAGCAACAAGTCACTGCTGTTCGTCGTGACACTGGTGCCAAGTTCACTCTTCCCCTCGACAACATTGAAAATGGTGTCAAGGAGGCTTTGGAAACCATTCAAAAGGATATGTTTAACCGAGCTTTGGCTGAACGTGATGCTAACATTGTCCGTGTTGACAAGTGGGAGGACTTTGTTCCCAACTTGAACAACAAGAAGCTCATCCTTATACCCTGGTGCGACCGTATGGAATGTGAGGACGACATTAAGGACAGAAGTGCACGAACGTAAGTAAAAGAGAGGGTGTAGTGATATGGAATGAAAAATGATTTCTAACCTAACCTCCAATTGTTGCATCTTCGTTCCCTATATAGCCAAGATGAAGATGAGGAAGTCGATGAACGTGCTCCCTCTATGGGCGCCAAGTCACTTTGCAGACCCTTCGAGCAACCCACTGAAAACCCTATCGTTCCCGGTGTAACCAAGTGTGCTGCTTGTGATCATGATGCTAAGCACTTCATGTTGTTCGGCAGAAGCTACTAGACAATACAATGCAAACCCATGGCTTGCTGTTTTTTAAAAAAGAAAAAGAAAAGAATTATACATATTTGTAGTTGAAGGTAGGCATCTAATGCTGGAGAGTGTAAAAAAAGAAAGATAATGAAAGTTTCATTTGTGTTAAGTCTCTATACAAAAAAATGAGAACCCAATAAATAAATACTCATGGACATGAAGCGATGAAAAGTCATTGGGATTTTTAGCAAGTGGTAACGCTGCCGTGCCTTGAATGCTGTCCTCTGGGGCTCTTGGACCGGACCATGCAGTAACTTAACAGATATCGCATAGCGCTTTTCATGACCAACGAGCACCACATCGAAATAACTTATCACAGATCAACCAACCAGATCCTTATGCGATTCGTATCTCACACAAAAAATCCATAGTGATCTGCCATATTAGTTCCTGGAACATTGATTTGCCTTTCACCGCAGCTCGCTGTACCTGGTAAATCGGCTAGCGGCTCATAAATTGCTTTACACGTGTGCCACCTCCACTTTTTCTTCTTATTTCCCATCCTCATCAACTCGTTCCTTTTCTCTTCCTTCATTTTATTTTCGACTTCTCATCGTTATGGATAAGCCGCTCTTAACGCGGATAAAGGATACTACTCGAATATTCTGGCCATTAGCTTACATCAGCTTCGGCGGACCCAGTGCTCATATTGCACTGTTACATAATATATTGGTAACAAAAAACCATTTAGTTAGCGAAGCGACATTTTCCGATCTCTTCAGTATTTGTCAGAGCTTGCCAGGTCCTGCTTCAACCGAACTCTTGTATAGCATTGGCTTGGTCTATGGTGGATTTGTGATTGCTATCTATGTATTCTTACTTTGGAGCTTGCCGATGTTTTGCGTTATGACTGGTTTTGGCGTGGCAATCGGCAGCGTTTCCTCTATTCCACTATGGGCAACTCGCTTGAGTCAAGGTCTTGCTTCAGCTGCGATTGGCCTTGTGGCAATAGCAGCTTGGAAAATGGCTCGATCCAATGCTCCAGATAATATTACCAAATTATTGTTAATGATCTCGGCATCTATCAGCATCATGTACTCCGCAGCCTGGTTGTACCCAGTTCTCATGATAGCTGGAGGTATCTTCACCTACGGCCTTCATTTATTTAAACACCTCAAGGAGAAGCCCAAGTACAACGGTTCAGGATCGCAAGAACAACATAATCAACAAGCTTCGCAGCTGCAAGATGAGCAGAATCGACAACAGGTGTCACCTGGGCTAGAAGAGTTGGATGACACAAACGAGGGTATTCGCCTTCGTAATGTCGATAGTATCGAAGAACAACAGTTGAACGTTGATGAGGAGCCTCAAATGTTTAGCTATTCTCAAAAGCTTGGATTAGTATTCTTCAGCATTTGGCTTGTCCTGCTCATCGCCGCTATTGTTCTCCGGTCCACTTCACTCGCCAACCATGTCGCCCAAGTCTTCTCAACATTTTATTTCGTCGGTTCAATCATTTTTGGAGGTGGCCCTGTTGTGATTCCACTGCTGAAACAATACACGGTAGACGAAGGTTGGATGACAACCAACGAATTTGTCATCGGTTTGGCTTTGATCCAGTCACTTCCTGGACCTAATTTCAACTTTGCGGCATATTTGGGAGCACTAGCTTTACGAGGGACTGTTGGTAATTCGATTGGAGGAGCCATTTTATCCTATATTGGCATCTTTTTGCCCGGCCTTTTGCTCAAGAATGCCGTTATACCATTTTGGCAACGCTTTCGCACCAAAGCATACATGCGCGCTTCCTTCAGAGGAGTCAATGCCATGGCTACTGGTTTAGTATTTTCAGCCATCTGGATCTTGTGGACGCAAGTCAACACTGGTGGCGGTAATTTGTCATACCACCTGGTTATTGCGAGTTTGGCTTTCGTTGCCTGCGAGTACTTTAAAATTCCTGCCCCCATTGTAGTTATTTTGGGAGGTTGTATGGGGGCCATTGAATATGGAGTTCAACCAACTGCTTCATAGAACAAGAAGAAGAATACTGTGGTATTAGCCTGCATGAGCCGAAATGCCAGTTATTTTAGTACATTTAATTTTTAACATACAATCAGATTTATCTTTAAAGCATTCTTAATCTACTATATGCAATAACTTCATCCGCTGCAAGAAATGCTATTACTTTTATAGAAGGCCACCACATAAAGCTCTCAGCCATGGTGTCTCCAAAGCAGTCTTGTTAAACCATTCTTTCGTCAAGCCCATAGTCAACTCCTGCCATATCTCTAGCTCGACGAACGAAGAGAAGAACAATGGGAAGGTATAAAATGTGAAGGACATCACCCAGGCCCAACCAACAACCGACTTCATCCATGTGTAAGGTGACTTGTCAGGAATATGAGGCGAAATGACCTGGGAGACCAATTTTTCGAGAACAACTGCCACACCATGGACAACAAAGAACTTGAGCTCGAACCCAGCGTACTTTGGATAGGTGTTGGGACCGAGTAATATCACATTAACGTATTCGTGCAAACAACCTGAAAAGAAGAACACTGATATCGTTGAAATGGCCATCGTGACGGGCTTGACCATGTTCGGTGGAAGATATTTTCCCAAGAGTTCATTGGAAAATTTTCGAACTGGATGATATGGCACTGACAACCAGAATGAGCGAAAGCATTGGTGCCAATGATAAGACCAAAGTCTAGCCAATGAAGTTGCTTTGTAGGGATATGGCATCATTGGTTTCCAGTGTTCTAGGCGCAACATGAAATTATTATTATCGTGATCTGCTGTATCGTTCCATCTTCGACCAATGCGTATCCTACCTTCTACGTAGGTCCCTCCCGAAAGTAAAGCGGCTGTGAATTGATTCAAGTCACCAGCATAACTGAAGCACGCGTTGACAGCGGAGAGACCGACGACAAAAACAATCAGATAGCGCCAGCCATTGTACTTTTCAGCGTAAAAAACATCCTCTTTTGAATAGGTCGTGAGCAGGGCCCCTAGCACGTCAGTGACTAAAAATGAGACAACAATGAATGGAACAAGATAAAAGCATGATCGAACGGTGATAGAAGCGTTCTTGTTTTCGCTATCAAGCTTAGCCTGCTTGTACTTGTACTGCGACGACATTAGATCCATTTCAACTTGTTTCCAAGGCATCCATGCTGGCTGGTTATAAAGGATTGGCTGGAGCCAAAAGACATCCAAAAATCGGTGAAGTAGTCCACCAGTCAAAGCACCAGTGATTAGATCAAGCACTGTATTCCATACGTCAAAGCACAGTAATTAGTTTTGTATTGTCTTAAACCATGTTTACCAGCGAGTTTGTAGATCTTTCCTTACCAAGAAATGGTGAGTGGACCATTAATGGTCCGAGAGCGGCAGTAATCATGAGTGGAATCGACAGCATCTGTTTCAATCGCAATGGCCACTTTGACAACGGCGCTGTTGCCAGCAAGAGTAGACATAATGTCGATGACCAACAGATCAGAAGGTATACAGGGACGGACACTAGCGGCGTATCGGTTTCCCTTGTGGTCATGCTGAGAGACGATGTATTTCAAAAAAGGTCTTTTTAGGAAAACAACCTCCGACAACTTCTTTCAAATGAGCAATCTAATTATACGTAAAGGATCCAAAGATCAGTTTGTCAAGTCTTTGAAGAACAACGTTATAGAGTGGGGTGAGTCTGCATCACCTTTTGAAAATATGACCGTGGCTATTTACCTAATATGAACCCGCCCCTCCTCCCCCGTTTTAATTAGGTGGTTGTCTCACACCAGAGCAATATTATGAACGAGAACATATTCTTATGGAAACAGCATACGCTCAAAAGGCCCACGGCTTTTTGGTATTGGTGCCTGAAAACGATCCCTTGACAGATGATATTTTGGCCCACTGTGAAGTTTACGAACATCCAGCATTGGTGTCTACTACTGCCGGGGAGGCGCAGCAAGCGAAATGTATGGGCATCGGTTCTGTGTTCTGCCCTGTTGAGCATAGAGGCCATGGCTACGCTAGCCAAATGCTAAAGCTCCTTCATCAAGAATTCGAAAAAGATCCAACAGTGAGAGCCTCCAATCTGTATTCAGATATTGGCTCAGTCTTTTATGACCGTCTTGGCTGGAAAACCATGCCTAGCAAGGAAATTTTCATCGCGGCAGAGCCGCCGCTAGCTGTGCCCGATAACGTCAAGGCTATCACCTCATATGAAGAAATCCAAGTATTGACTGCAAAAGATGTAGAGCTGCTCCATAAAGAGATGAAAGATTTGAAGTCTACCGCCGTCTGTATCTTACCGACTGCGGAAAAAACTGCTTGGCTCCAATTACGATCCAACTATTACTTCGAAAAGCTGACACCTTGGACCATTGACACTCTTGGAGCTTACATACCAGGAACCGACAATTATGCTACATTTTTCTATCATTTCGAAAGAAAGTGTATCTATTTCTTGCGCATGCGCAGTGACAGTGAGGAGACCACCAAAGCCTTTTTGGCAGTGGCCCAACGAGAAGCTCTTCGCTTCCAGTTTGTAAAGATTGCTATTTGGGATATCCCAACACTCAAAGACAACGATATCAATCAAAGTGTCAATGAAATGCGGACAGAGAGCATTTCCGCTCTGGCTACCTTCGACGTTCCAACTGAAGTCACTTGGCTTCTTAATGAAAAATTTGCCTGGATTTAGACATTGGAAGGACCAACGATATGTTGACGGTTTTTGCTGCGTATATAAGACAGCATACGACCTAGATGTCAATTGCCAATATAATGAACGACATCATACGCTTGATATCAAATAATTGAAAGCCCCCATAATAAACCGTTCTTTCATCTGACCTGCTAAGTAGAGCAAAAACGATTGGATGATATGACATAAAGTGGAATATGAAAATAGATGCAAGCAAATGTTGAGTACGCTTGGTTGGCGTGATAGCGCCACAATTGGAGCTTTTCGACAGGCTTACTTCCATGCATATCATGTTACACTTACCAGCGCGACAATGTCGAAGTATATGATATTCAACATCATTTCATTTTTTTTTTGAATTTGAAAATATTTTGCCTGTGAGTCTCATATCAAACTTATCACGACAATGAATCAGGACTTGGGTAAAACACTCCAATCAATTTCTTACGTTTTCTTTCAGCTCGACTGCAGCGCTCCGATCTACTATGAAATGTTTTCAAATTTGTGATACGTGAATAACGGGAGCGTTCGTAGACTTCTATAGATTTCAGAGTGAGACCAACCATGACTACCGCCATGTCGGAATGTCAAAGTCAATGGGGACGAAAAGACTCCTGCACATACGCAAGCGATTCTACAGATAATAATAATAAAAAAATTCCGCACGGATAGCAGAGCAAAAGTACATCCACGTATAGCAAAATTTATGACAGATATGAGTCACTTGTTCCTTGATATAACGAATGTGTAGGCAGGCTGCATGGCTGACGCCGCAAGAACGATCCAAGGACAGTACCCGAAAGCCTACAATAGACAAATATACATTAACATGAGGAGCCAAGGTATTTACATTTTTTTTAAGTTTGCTTTAATTTGTCACACGCGCTATCACATTTGGTTGGCCATGTAGAATTGCGTCTTATGATGGAATACGTCGATGCGTCTTCAGATACCTTATACTTGACGATCAAAGTTCAGTTAGCATGTATTGAAGACGGTAGGCCTATACATACTTCTACTGTCGAAATACTGGTTATTCCATTCCAACCACTTGTCTTTCTGCTTGGATCCTATGCAAACGCCACGAACTAGACAGTTGACTGGATTCTCTTTTACACGCATCGAAGCTGGCCATAACGAATTTTTACGAACCAGATTTCCTTTTTAAGCCAACCGAAAAGGTGCAAATTGGAAGCCAAAATTGCGCCATTCATAAAACGCCAGGCAGTAGCGTTAGCGTCGGGGAAGATTTTCTCCTCCACACATTATTGCGTGCTTCCTTATCATATTGCCACTTTTTTAGGCACTCCCATTGAGTCAACTTCAACCTTGTCTCACCACTCTCAGTTTGAAAATTGTACTATTTAACGGCGTACTCGTGTTATGGTCTCCTTTCACTTTTCATACCTTCCCTCTACTCTATTCTTGGGTCAGCCAAAAGGTCAAAATAATGGCTAACAATAAGAGCATTGTCATTGATTATGATAAAATCAATTATAAAGAGGAGATCAATGAGCACATTCACAACATCCCCGCATATGCAAGAGAATATGTTCATGACCTCTTTCCCATCTTGCAATGGATTCATAAATACAATTTGACTGTAAGTATTCGCTCGCCTGTTCATAAATCAATCACCGTAACTGCCGCCATTTAACATAGCATCGTCTCTCTCTTCAAAAAAAAATAGTGGTTGATTGCTGATCTCATTGCTGGTATCACCGTTGGTATTGTTGTTGTCCCGCAATCTATGGGATACGCTAAGATTGCACAACTTCCTCCTCAGTACGGTCTTTACAGCTCATTCGTTGGCGTTTGTATTTGTAAGTTTTTACTTTTCGAAACATCTTATCACGCTTGGTTGTGGCACTCGAAACTTATCTTATGTTGCCTTGTTTCACTAGATTGCTTCTTTGCTACATCCAAAGATATCACCATTGGACCTACTGCTGTCATGTCCCTTCTCGTCGGCCAAACCATCACTCACTTGACTTCTTCTAATATCTCCTATACCGGTCCTGAAATTGCATCTGCGCTTGCCTTGTTCGGCGGCATTATCGCAGTTTTTATTGGCCTTGTTCGCCTTGGTATTGTCGTCGATTTCATTCCCAATCCTGCCATTGCTGGTTTTATGACAGGCTCGGCTATTACTATCTCTATCGGACAATGGCCCAATCTTTTTGGAATCAAAAGTGTCAATACCCAAGATTCAGCATACCTTATTTTCGGTCACTTCTTCAAAGCTTTGCCAGAAACAAAGGTTGACGTTGCATTTGGACTCATTGGTTTGTTGTGGCTGTATGGTGTGCGATTTGGTGCCAACTACCTGACTCGCCGCTATCCCAAGTATGAACGAACTCTTTTCTTCCTCAACATCATGCGTAATGGTATTCTTGTTATCTTTGGTACCTTGATCGCCTACCTCATCAACATTGGTAAATCTACCAGCCCTATCAGCATCTTGAAGACTGTTCCCGCTGGTTTCCAGGCCATGGGTGTCCCTAAGGTTGAGATTCCACTTTTGCAAGCTATTGCTCCTTCCCTTCCTTCAGTAGTCCTCATTTTGATTTTGGAACACGTTGCTATTGCAAAGTCCTTCGGTCGTATCAACGACTATAGAATCAACCCTAACCAGGAAATCATTGCTTTGGGCGTTGCCAACATTTTCGGTGCATTCTTTGGTGCTTATCCCAACACTGGATCTTTCTCTCGTACTGCTATTAAGGCCAGATCTGGTGTCCGAACTCCCATTGCTGGTATCTTCTCTGGATGCGTGGTCGTTCTTGCTCTCTATGCTTTGACTCCAGCTTTCTACTATATTCCTAGCGCCGTTTTGGCTGCCGTCATTATTCATGCCGTATCCGATCTGGTCTCTGGACCCAAATTTGTCAAGCAATTATGGCACATCAATCCACTTGAATTATTCACATTCGTTGCTGCTGTCATCATCACCTTCTTCACTACCGTCGAATATGGTATCTATTCTTCCGTTGGTCTTTCTATTGTCATTCTCCTCATCCGAATTGCTCGCCCACGCTACTCTGTCCTTGGACGCATCCCAATCAACGCCAACGAAAAGAACGCTAGCGATACCCAATATCTCTATGTTCCTGAGACACACCCCAGTCTTGGAAGACTTGTGGAGCCAGTTTCCCGTGGTGTCCTCGTCTTCCGTTTCGATGAAGCCTTGACATATCCCAACTCTAGCTTTGTCGCCGATCGCATCATTGAACAAGTTCGTGACCGCACTCGTCGTGGCAAGCCTGCAGCTGCTAACAAGGGTGATCGCCCTTGGAACGACACCTCTAACGCCAAGGATGATGAATTATCTCTCACTAAACCAAGACTTGCATCTGTTGTCATTGACTTTGCTACTGTTAACAACATTGACTCGACTGGTATCCAAACGCTTCTTGATGTCCAAGGCGCTCTTAACAAATATGCCGATCGTAATGTTCAATGGCACTTTGCCAACATCAACTCGCCTTTCATTCGCAACGCCCTGTTGACCGGAGGGTTTGGATCTCAAACTGTCTCTCAACCTGGAGAGATTCTTCCTGTTGTCCCTGCCTCTCAAGATGGTCCCAAACGTGATAATGTCATCGAGGAACATAGCGGCGAACGTGATGTTGAAGAAGCTATTTCAGATGAAGACCAAAAGCACAACATTCATGAAGAGCATCGTCTTTCAAATGATTCTGAATTGACAACTCTTCCTGGTTACCCAGTAGACAAGTATCCTTTCTTCCACTGGAATCTTGAGGAAGCTGTTCGTGCCGCCACTGCGGCAGCAGTCAGTATCAACCAAGAAGATTGATTTTATCTTTCGATTACCCCATCATAACACCCATTCGCTAAAATTTATCTGTATATCATCCACCTTACACAATTGCTACCCTAATGCTCATTACCATCTCCCAATCTACAAACCCATAAATATATAAGCAACACTATGTCTTTTTAGGTAATTTACAAACGTATTCGTTAGAGTGGAGTTTTTCTTTGGCTGCCTCTAGCTTGCCTCGTGTTCGTAATTGCCTCGTGCTGCATTGTTTGTCTTTCGAGTCTGCATTGATTATCACTTCCTCATCAGGAAATTTATTGAATACAGCTACAATCACCAGTTCAGCGCTGTTGGAACTGACATGCAGCTTTGCTAGCACATTGAGCTGTTCTCCACCACATGGAGCTAGATCTATAAGCCAATGTCGTCAAGCCACTGTGCAGCATGATCGCATGCTTGGTTCCATGTTCTGCCATTGACCACCCCATTATGATCATCACCATGTTCCACCTCAATCTGATCAATGTTCGGGTCGCCATGCAGACGATGCGATTTACCGTTGTCGTGTTCTTTGTTGCTCATTAGCAAGATTGGAAATTCAGGCTCGTATATACTTCCCTCCAATGCATTTTCCCTGAGTTCCTTAACGCCTGCCTTCGTTGCTTGCTCAACATTCATAGGGGTCAGCAGAACCAGTCCAGAAGCAGGATGGGACTCAACATACTTTTCTGCTACATGGGTGCAGAATCCTTGCGCAATGACAACGGGTGGGAAAAAGCTCAAGTCCTTCTGTATGCAATTAGCAAGTTCTGAGTAAAAGGAGTGGTGCGTTAGCACGAGACACTCAAGTCTCCTCAATGTATTTAAAATTATAAAGTTTTCAATTTTACCTTTTGAAAGTGATTTGACTAGTTCTGCTGGCTCATGTTGCTCACCGGACGTTGTTGGTTCTAAATAGATGGCTGTGCTGTTATAACCTTGGTCTGCAAGCCTTGTTTGCCATGTATCTTTCCACCCCCTTATTGAAAAGAAAGTTTTAACATCCCAGATGTAGGCTATAAGGTTGAATGCAACCTAACGTAACGCACTAAAACTTACATTCGAGGCGTCCCTAAACCTTCAAGAAACACAATGGGTGTAGGCGATTTACGAGCCGCATTAGACTTGAATATGGATGCAGTTGCTATGAGTCGTGCGAATCTAATGCCGGCTGAATGCTTTCGAACATGAATCAATGCGAACATTTATGTCGGCTACTAGCTTTGCGTCGCACATCACCGCAAAAATATCGGCGATTAAAATGTGCATCACGGCCCAAAATCAGATTGCGGTCAGGACAGTAATCTTCCCCTTTCTTTGAATTATAGAAGGTGCTCACATTCGCGTGTTTTCTCAATCTGAGAACAATTATTCAGCACCACGAAAACTTACATTCAGCCACCTTTAAGGAACCGTTCCCGTGGCTACTAACCAAGCTTGGGGGGAGTTCTGTCTGTTTAACACAAATTTGGACAGAGTGTACTAGTCCACTAATCAACCGCGCAGGCCACGCAGTTGTTGGATGTACATAAAGTACTTTTTAGCGTCTATCCAATTTACCGGGTCCTCTATCTCCCTATTCTGCGTGCAGCTTAAATTCATTATTTTTCGCGCCTACATGTCGAACAGAGTTGTTTATGTGGAAAAACAACATACATCATTTTTTGGGAGGATAGAAATCTACTAATAAGACATTGCTTGTCAATACTGTAGAAGATGAGTTAATCCTAATTAAGAATGAAATTAGCTTGCGGTGTGTATTGAAAGACAGCTCAGGTCCTTGCCACTTCCCTAATGATGACGGATGGAACGCGGTGGAAACGCTGATTTTCAAAAAGTGCAGATTGATCGATCACCTAGGGTGAAGGAGGGGAAACAGAAGAAGCAGGACAGGAATGGAACAAAAAGAAAATGGTATGCAGATACTAAATAAAGCAAGTCTTTGGGTCGCTTCTCTCGGCGATACGGTGGCCACATAGGCATGCTGCATTCGGGTATGAAGTCAGAAACTTTAAAGCGACAAAGATTGGGAACCTCCTAAGGCATGGATTTTCACGTCCATTTCTGTTCAAAGAAAAGCTGGTGCATGATATGCGCACTAAGGGCTTAGTTGGTGCGATCAAGGGGGATTTTGGTGGGCTCTGAATCAGGAACAGAAAAAACCTGCCCAAATGGGATGCTTCCGTGGGTACCTTCTCACCACGAATCCTCGGAGCGCACCACATAAGGAGTCGGTGAATGTCAATGAGTATGGAAAATACCGGGAAGGGGATTACGTGCTGAAATAACCGAACGGCAAACAAGCCCAAAGCACACTTGATCAAGTGCGGTCCCCTTAAAATTAATATGATACCCTTATGGTCTTGGTGCTCGGTCATAGAGCCAAGTTAGTTAAGTTGTCTGTGGTGCAGGAAGTGGATACTGACAATGTACTCCTCCTCTAGGACAGTGTGTAGGACTGGTTTTACCATAGACATCCTCATTGGTGTACAAACAATAAGGCTATTATAGGTACCATTTTCTTTTATGACATTAGGACTACCTTGACAAAACCATTGGTCCGGAAATATGGAAAAGTTGATTCTTCCGAATGTAATTCAGCAAGCCGTGGGATCCGGTAGCAGGACCCTCGCCCCCCCAAAAAAAAACGGCAAGGATATTGATAATAAGAAGGAAGGTAATCAGAATTTCCATGGTGCATTAGCCAATGCTAAACCTCGCCGCTTTGACCGACTCAGTTTAGATATATTTATTTGCAGCGGAGGGAAGACAAGGGACGTTTTGCGACCTTCGATTACACAATCGTGATACCATATTATTTAGAAAAAGAAAAAAAAAATGTATCCAATAATAATAATTGCGGGGTGAGTACACTGAGTGTAAAGTAAGCAAAAACAATGATCAAAAGAAGGAGCATTAACTAAACTATGAACCATTTTTACATCAAGGAGTTACATTGGGTTTTGTTTTTTTCTTTCTTAGATAACAAACACAACAAAATCATGGGCAAACAAAGATCTACCAAGAGCAGTGTATGTTCCCAATATTGTTCTCTTCTAGCATCATTATCATTGACATTGATGAATTCCCAATTTAAAACTTTTGAAGAGTTGAGCATCATTGTAGCACAATGATACATCCAAAGACATATCAAAAATGACGTTATTCATTTGACGAATATAACTCCTTGTTAACTGACTAAGAAAGAAAGTCGTATTTTGGTATATTTCAACGTTCCTGAGATATTTCTGGCACAATCCAAGCAGTTGGTCATGGCGTGCAGCGAACCGTTTCCTGGCAAATGTATACTGACAAAAGGAGGTTTGACGAAGGGAGTTGCGAAGGGATTCCAGTAACTGAGGCTGGTGTCGACTCATCAGCAATTCGGTTGAGAATCCTCAAGCTTAGCTTTTTTTTTTCCCACCCTGCATGAAAGGATAGAAAATTATCAGGTACAAGGGATTGTCAGATTCTTTTTTTCTGTTACATAAAAGGTCCACTGGTTCGTTTGTAGGGCAAGTAACACAGCCTTACCTACAACGAGCCGAATTTTTCTTATTATAATACTTCTTACATTTCTTCTACATTTGATTTAAAGAAGCGTCGACCCTTTTTTCACATTATACAATTCTTACACCAATATCAAAATCTTTCAAATATTCTTGTTGACCTAAAAGCAATACATACCTATCAACAACGCAAAGCCATTTAACGAAAAAAAACAATATGATCAACTTCAATATGATTGGCGAGAACTCCATGCCATTGTCTGCAATGGGATCAACTGATAACAATCGATACAACAACATGGATAATGCCATGATGAACCCCCTCAGCATGGACAGTCTAACCGATCTTTATCCTTCCACCAATGCAAACTTCGGCGGGCATGACTTTAAACCGACATTTTATGATCCGTTTGAAGTGAAGCACCGCAGAAGAACTACGCGAGCCCAATTTAAAGTGTTGGAAAAGACTTTCCAAGAGAATCCCAAGCCAAGTGCAACTATCCGTCGAATGTTAGCACAGAGGCTGAATATGACTCCACGTGGGGTACAGGTTTGGTTCCAAAATCGCAGAGCCAAAGCCAAGTTGCAGTCACAACAAGACAAGCAAAGAGGGGTGGAAACAAACGCTGGGTGTGATATATGGACATCCCAGGGTGCCAATAATTGGAACGGTTCTGAAGAAACCAATGCACAGGGTGACAATGAAACGTATAATCTATACAACAACAATGCCAACAACAACCATCCAAGCGTGGAACAGCGTCCTTGTTACCCGGGCGACATTTCCTCTCAAATGAAAAACTATTATTCCAACCAAGCACATTTAGCATCGCAGAAGAAATTTGACCAAATCCAATTTATGAGCAACGAATCTTTTCAAGGCTTTCAATTTGATGACCAACAAATGAGACCTTCCATGGGATTTTCACCTTTGCACGATGAAGAGTCGCCTAATGTTGCTCTGCTTCGTCGCAATTCATGCCCTGCCAATATCATTTCTAAAATGTTGCCAATGCACGTTCTCCAACAATGTCCTTTGCCCAAATTCCCTGCCAATAATTATCTGGCTAGTCCAAATATGGGTCCAAAGATGCGTAGATGGTCTGCTGTAAATTCTGGTATCGTGAGTAACCAAGAGCAAATGTTATTCATGCAAAACCTACCAGCAACGTCTGAAGTATACACAGCTTCCTGTCCAGGTTTTCAACCTTGGGAAGTGGACTCTGCCTCCTCCGGTTCTTCTTCGCCATCAGGTCTTCAGATTTCCATGCGAACACCAGGTTCTTCCTCACCTTCCACAGAGTCGATAGATACAACTTCCTTACCACTCACTTTTCAAAGCTCTATGCATGCAAACGAGCAAGTTAACCTCCAGGTGTCCCAACTACAGTGTGCCATTGACTCTTTCTCCGTCGAATGAACGATACCCCCAAACTTCTCCTCAAATACCATCTAAACCTTTTATTGTATTGTGAGATGTACGAATCAAGAATAGCAAATACCCCACCTATGTACATGTTTTCTCTTTCTCTTTGATCCCAGCCCATACTTCATTTTTCTTTCATCCTCTTATGCCGCTTTAAACTTATACCAACATTACGGTTATTTTACGCCATGCCTAGTTTTCCTCCCACTTAGCTATGTTTATGCAGGCCATTCCCTTTCATTTGACTTCTCCAACCGCTTATTACTTTGAAGAATATGAAATAATATTTATAGAATTTTTTTCGCGATGTCGATGGGAACGTAGTTGTTGAACCCCGGATAGTGGATATTAACTCATAGAAACCCCCTTTGATCATTTGCAGCTTTTCCTTACCTCACAGACAATCATGCGCTTTCCCTCTAAGTAATAATAAAAAGTGAAATAAGGAGCTTTGATTGCGCGGCTTCCCCGCATTTCATAGATAGATTGAAGTGGTAGGATAATGTTGAAATTTAATACTGGATTATGTGCACTATCTCATTTTTCTCGTCGATGACCAACTCATCAATATAAATCCAACCATTATTCTACCCAAAGCATAAAAGCAAAGGACATTGTAAGCATCCATCAAAATTTCGTTAACATAGCAAATTATGTATATATCATTTCTCAGGGCTGTTATTCTGCCAAAGACAAGGTCTTGGCAATCATTTTGGTAGTTTCATATTATTGGTGGGTACGAGACAAAAGTGAAAGCTGTTCAGCCATGATTGGTTGAACTCAGCAAGAGGGCCAACCAAAATCGGAGCTGATATCTACTCTGTTCGACTTTTTTGATTTTGAACCATCGTTACGTTCTACCCACCAATAACTTAATGGATGCCGAAAACCTGACGATCCATGTACGCTCCCCATCACTCACAGAGACATTAGTTGTTAATGCCACTATCCATGATAAGATCCTGAGCGTCAAGCAATCATTGCAAAACATTCATCCATATAACCCAGACACAGCTAGCCAGCGCTTGATATATGCTGGCAGACAGTTAAAAGACGAAGACATACTATCCAATGTCTTGAACAAGGTAACGAGATTATAAAAATTATTAGTTTTGGGTATATATCATTTCATTTAACTCCTATTCTTCCCCAAAACCAGGTCAATGAATCTAATATTTTCATATTCCATCTTGTGGTCAAACCGGGAGGCATGAATCCAGTGCCGCAACCTCGAAAACCAGTCGCAATGAAAGCACCAGAGCAACTAGTACATCTTGAAAATGAACCCAATCAAAATGCTGGAGGAACTGCTTCAGCTGCAACATCACCTATTCCAACTAAATTATTAGCCCCTCCGCTCGCCCCGTCAGGAACCTCAACACAACCTACATTACCTTCGCCCTCGTACTCAGACACCACTCCTGGCCCATCCAAAATGAAAGAAAATGTCGAGAAGGTGCCAGAAACTACAGCAACATCATACCCAAATCCAGAGATTGTAACCATCGAGTAAGTGGTATATTTCAGCCTCGCGAGTTTGAGTTACCCTAGTTCACCTGTGGTTCGCATTTTTGTAGTGGGAAACACTATCTGGCAGTCACCCCAGCGGTTGTGTCGCAGATTGAAGCCTACGAACAGTACTTGGTGACATACCAACAATATTATACGCAGTGGTACCAGTGGTATAACGCCAATTACGTATTGAACACCATACCTGGCAATGCAGCCAGTCCACAAGGAACACCAAACACCCACCGAGAACAGCCTACAGCACCTGTAGCAGAGGATGCAGAGGCGGAGAGACAAAGAGCCGCACGGCGAGCAACAGTCGTATGGCTTGCAGCGAAATTAATGCTCGTGCTTTTTGTACTCACACGAAATGCTAGTATTCCGCGGATGATATTCATCTACGTCTGTGCATTTGTTTTCTTCCTTTACCAAACGGGACAGCTTCGATTCATCGTTCGAAGGGTGCGGCCTTGGAGGAATACACCAGGTAAGAGAGATAGCTTTGGGAAAAAATGGACATTTTGGGATGATTAGAAAACGGTGATACTAAACACAACCTTGTTGGATACCAGCGACACCAACAGAGCCTTCCAGGGATACCAACACGGTAGCAGATCAGCCAATTACACGGCGGAGGATAATTGAGCGTGGAGTTTATACTTTTGTGGCGTCTCTGTTTCCAAGCTATGGTCACGACCCTCGATTGGCCGAAGCAATAGATAATGCACAGCAGGAAGAGGTAATGTCTTTTTCTAGTCTGAACGGTTCTCAAGGACTGGCACAGTTTATTGATTTTTTCCTTTCCTACCCAATCTCTTATTAGCCAATGGCCGGGTTGTAAAGTGATGCGAAAATCAGATCAATTTCTCCTCTGTGCTACCGTAGATACAAAATTCGTGTTACATTGAACACAGTTGGAAGAAACACTGGCAGTTTCTAAAGACATAACAGATATTATTATGACCGCCATTGTTTTTTAGTTGTTTGTCCGTTTCTTTTTTCTATCTCTCAGTAAAAGTATGTCGAGTGACGGCGCAAAAGCTGCACCGACCCCACAGTCTCGTACGAAGGGATCTCATAAACGAACCTCATCTACATCTACTGGCATTACCACCAATGCTACGTCCACGCACCATCGTAAACCCTCATATACACAGAAAAACAGTTCCTCCTATCTCAACATCCCCCAAAACTTCAAATCCCTCGGGAGCATTCAGCAATCGCCCAATGAGGTGATCGATTTCCAACCTCACCTGCTGGTCGATAGCGATGATTCTCCTCCACAATCATCTACACCATCCAAGAGAGACCGATACAAAAGTTTTTTCAGTTCATATAAACGACCCTCGCTCCTTATGGCCGAGCGCAATGGATATGCGAAAACGCATCACCAGCTTCCGACTTCTAATGCTATGTTGCCTCTACGCTGGCCATCCTTCCTGCGGTACCGATGGCTACGGTTCCTCTTATTTATGTATGCGATTTTCTCGGTGTGCGTTACGTTTGTTCATCTTTTCCAATGGACATTTGATCAAAACTGGACGGAATTATCGGGCTACTCGTCGGATTTTTCAGGTACAGACATCGAGCGATGGTATTTTTAAGCTCACCGTCAAAATTTGCTAGCTTTGCTATGTCTTTTTGCTGACCTACTGCACTTCTTTCCTTCAGATTTCGGCCAAGATCGGTCCAACGTTTCTCACATCACACAAATGTCGCGAAACATAAAGTTTTCAAAGATGTTCTCGGATCAAATGCCTCAAAACTTGGACAATATCACCCCCTTTTTCTTGCGAGCAAAGAGATCGCCTGCAGAGTTAGATGTGTCACTCTTGACGGTGGTCACGGAGGATTCAGTGAACGATTTGGTTGATTTGGCGGAAATGTGGCAAGGACCTGTCTGTGCTGTACTTCACATTGAGGCTACGTCGGCACTACCACCTGATACCACCTCATTCTTGTTCCGGGTACGTCATATGCATGAAAGCAATCCATCCATGCGGGCTCACGTCGATATCCATTTGATCATCACCCCACCGAGAGAGAGCGAGAAGTTATCACTTTCATTGAATCAAGATCGAAACATGGCAAGATTGTTCGCTCGCAGTGAATTCGTGATCCACGTTGACCCAAGTATCTTGCACATCTCCGACATCACCTTTACCCTTGCCGCCAAACGAGAACATTATCATGAACTTTTGCTCTCCGGTGATGTGTTGGTCATACCGTCCTTTGTGCATATGTCGTCGGCGGAAGAAGGTATTCCACAAGATAAACATACGGTTGTCGCTATGTTGGATGCCCTGGAAGTCGCTATGTATGATGCCAACCATAACATCAATAGCGGGCCTACCAATTTGGAACAATGGAAGAATAGCAAGACGTTGTATGCTGCCAAATACGAAGATAGCTATGCCCCCGTTGCTATCATGAGCCGAAGCCAAACACCGTGGTAAGTAAAACGTGACTTTTTTGATGGCCACCTCCTGAATCAACCCTTTGACACACCCTGGACTCAATATAAATTTCTCAAACTTGCAGGTGCCCTGAGCGTTTTACGGATAATCTGGCATCCTGCTTCTTAGGAACTCATTTGGCAGGAGGTACCTTTTGGGTGTTGGCTGACGATTACGTCATTCAAGCTCCTAACGCGAAGGCAAACACCTTGAATAAAGCAGAGGTAAGAGGGATTTCCGGGTCTATATCCGGTGATTTGGGACACCCAAAGAAAAATGGCCCAGCCAATGCTCATTTGCCTTTTTTTTCTCAGGTCAAAATGCAGCAGGTGTTGTATAATAGATATGTGCCGGAGATGTGTGTGCATTATGCGAGAAAGCTGGCCTCTCTCGGACTATGGTCATCATCTGCAGCAGGCAACATCAAGTCATGGGCAGGATGTCATAGCACGCGGTCTACCTGGCGCCAATTGACCGCGACCTCCGATAAATAATTTCCCAACCAACTACCAAACACACCTCCTTCTCTCCCCCATCCTACACACCAACACCTCATAGAGCAACGTTTGTGTTCCTGACATGGATAACTCGATGCACTCATTGGCTGGCATAGAATAAAACACAAAGATATATGTGCATATGCTGTGCAGGTTATAGCCACTGCCCCGGCAGGGCACGCAATGCGCGCACAAGCTGTATATGGTGGGATTGGCTGGGCCCTTGTTGCATGGAGAGCAATTGATACAATGTGGCCGTTGTCGTTTTAAGCTTTGTGTCTATCCAATCTGATTGCACTCCCCCGCCAAAAAACAATTGGGGAATTTGCCTTCAGATGATCATGTCCACTGAATTTTACAACAGTGTTAGACAACACATTAACCCTTTATATGTGATTACCATCCTTGCTAAGCGAATCGAATGTTGAGCAGGACCAGGGTAAATTTCGCTCCTTTCCATATCGTTGTATGCATCAGGAGACTCAAATGATGGTCTTGTACAGGAGTGCAGGATGCCTTCTGTCATCCATTTTTTTTTGCTAGCTGCAGGCTCCACCTTAATCCGCCTGTTTTCCCGCATTTTTCTACTAGTGATGATGGCCGCGCATTTTTTTTCTTTCTCCTTTTACCTTTCTTAGCTTGTACTTTTTTTGTTCTTTATCTACCATGGGCATTGTACATACAGTCAAAAGTAGGATTGAATTGTGGCGTTTGGAGCGATATACCAAGCGAAGATCTTGCCAGCTTCCCGGGTATACTCACAAAGGTAAGTACGGATACAACAACAGAAAACAGGAGGTAATATACATCAGTCCATTCACATATACTGGTGACAGAGAGAGAGCTGAAAAGCAGCTTCAAAAATATGTTGAAAGGAAGGAGTAGAGACGACTTCAAATGCTCAGAGACCTACAATTCTAGCAGTCTGTGGGAGTGAAAAACTGGAATAACCCAGCTGGCTGGTCAATCGAAATGCCATTCCGTCTCCGCTACTATAGGGCATGGACGCAATGACATATTCTACCAATGTAATAAGCCAAAAGACTGAAGCGTTTTTAAGCAATAGATTAGTATATTCCCTCCTATAAACACATGGACATCCTATGGATAATCATGATAATGCTCAAAGCTATTACTAGGTGTGTTCTGCTGCTATTTATTAATTCCCGGATGTCCTGCCGGAGAAACTACAATGCCGAGCATAATCGACTTTTATTCTGGCAAGTATTATGCGATGGGATGCTGTAAAAGCGAATACTGCATAGTTTATTTGTCAGTACACTGACCTTATGAATGCACACAAACTTCAGAAGCACTGGTATGGCTTGTATCCAAATGGAATGGAGAAGTCATCCATATCCACTGATAATCTTGGGGAGGAAGACGAACCCAAATTTTTTTCGGCACCCGATAGCAAAGTGGTCAACGGGAAAAATGATCAATAGCTGGCGGTAAACCCAAGAGGATTTTTTTTTTTTCAATCCTTCTACTCTTTGAGCCAGACAAATTCCAAAATGGCCGCCCCTGCAGCAACACAGAGTGCTTTACAAAAGTTCATTAACTCACCAGCAGGTCCCAAGACCATTCACTTTTGGGCCCCTGCCATGAAATGGGTAAGATACGAAACAACAGGACGATTATGTGATGAGATGAGTATTGACGAGTAGTGTCGTAGGCTTTGGTCATTGCCGGTGTCGGTGATCTTCAGCGCCCTGCTGAGGTTCTCTCTGCCTCTCAGAATGCCTGTAAGTAATCGTTTGCATTTCTTTTGTCTTGTGGGGGGAGGGCTACCTTACGTAGACCGCACTCCTAACTCGTTGCTACCAGCGCTCGCTGCCACCGGTTTGATTTGGACTCGCTATGCTATGGTCATCACTCCCAAGAACTGGACCCTCTGCACTGTCAATGTGTTTGTTGCTGCCACTGGTCTTACCCAACTTGCCAGAATTTACAAGTAGGTCCCATTTGGGTTCAAAATTCTCGAACCCTTTCCACTCATTAACGACGTCTTTCTTTGCAGGTACCGACAAACTGATGAGTATAAGCAGAAGGTTGCTGAAGGCAAGGCCTAAGCCCACTTCCTCACCATTGTTCATACCTCCCCTTCCCGCTCGTTTTATTTTGTCAATCAATAAAAAGGAAAAAACAAAACAAAAACAGGTAGTTGCCGTAGAGACCGGCTGGATTGTGGTGTTAGCTGGGTAAACGGTAGCACCCAAGTCAAAGACCACGACCTTAGATTGAGCGCAAAACCAGGAATGACTTCAACATAGTATGCCCGTGATGGCGTATTAAATCTCCTTCCCATCAGAAAGGCCAAAACACTTCTTTCTCATAAATATAAGCTATATTATATATAAAATTTGTGGCATAGGATAGTATTATAGACATTATTGTTTCACATTCATATCTAAATATGAACTATTGGTTGTTTTTTTCTGTTTCTACGACTGTTCAAGAAAAATATAAAAGACACAATCTAGCGCGGCGATGTAGGTCCGCTTTCCGGACCAGCAGAGATGTCGCTGGGCTGACGTCCTTGAAGCATCGGTTTGTAACCGCCAATATAGGCATGCTTCGGCTTGGGTGAAGCAAGAGGTGGATTCTGACGTACAATGTTGGAAGGCACAGGAGAAGCCTCTTCATACGAGATGTCAGAGTCGCTATCAAAGGAAACATGGTGTTCCGCGGCAGGAATAGGAGATTTGGGAGGACTGTTGAGAGGACTGGACAAGATGGAATCATCGTCAAATTGAACGTGATGGGTCGAGGAATCCGTGGTGGTGGGTTCGCTCACTAGATGCTTAGTATCTGTGGATGGCTGCGGGGGCATGTCATGATAATTGTGAGGAGGATAGGTTGGGTGATCACTGTTGGGTGGATCGATGTCATAGGTCTTGACGTCCATAGGAACCCCCGCAGGAACAGGCGCAGGGCCAGGTGGAGGACGGTTTGCTAGGATCTGAAGCTGTTGATACCAATCGTTTTGTTCTTCCGAAGAAGATGCACGCAACGTGTAGGTACGCTCTCTGTTCATCATGCCAACCGTATTACGACCATGGATTTCAAGACCATAGCCTCCTTTGGTGGGCTCAAGAATAGTAACGGTGGTACTTGGGATATAAATGGAAAGCTCGGGATCCAGCTTGTCTTCAGGGCGGAACTCATGTAAATAGCCACAAGGCGTCAAAGCGTAGTATCGCTCATTGTAACTTCGCATCACGCCGGTCTTGCGACTGAGTTTACCCTTCTTGATGGCTTGGACCAGAGGGTCGAGCTTATTTGGATAATCAATATCACGATAGTTTCGGAACCCAGCATCTTCGCGTACTAATTGATCACCATGCTTGGATACAAATTCATGCCATTCTGTATCCAGCTTGAGATTATCTAGGACATAGACGATGGACTCGACACTGGTGGAATGGCTATATATTTCCTTTGCACGACGATCGTAAAAGGTGCGCATAGCTGATTTGGTACTATCTACAATAGATCCTTCGAAAGTGGCTACTTCGCGTTGCAAAGCAATCATGCGTTCATGAAGTCTGTTCTCCTCTTCAATCTGTTGCTTAAGTTGGTGCATGACATCTGAAAAAAAACCCCCCAAAAGTGAAATGAGAGAGGTGAGAATGGGTGTGGAAAAAAAAAACAGAAAGCTCAATAGCAGCGTTCATCCCATCCATACTTACGAAGATTGGCAAGCCAAGGATCTTGTGATACCTGTTGACTGGGTTGCTGCAGTTTAGCCACTGCACACTGCTTGTCGAGAAAAGCCATCGCTTTTTTGGTTTGATCCATTTCTTTCCATAGAGTATCAAGATGAAGGCCTTCATCATTCTTCATCTCACGCATTCTATCCTTAATCTTCTTCTTGATTCTTATCAAGGAAGGCAAAACGTTTTCCATGATGAATTTTGCAAAGTCATCATGGTCTTCTGAAACACTTTTGGATCCGTCCCTGAACGCCACGCACACATCCTGAATGCCGTTATCTTCCTTGAAATGACCTTCACGGATAGGCAACTGTATGATACCTGACAACCGCATATAATTTCGAGCCATCTGGACCTCGGCCTTGGCGATTTCGTCAAAGTAATCTATAAACATCTTGATCATGACTCGCCAAGCATCAAGACGGCTAATAAGCACCTCAGACGGATTAATGCCATCTGAACTGGAGTTGAATCCTCCCGTACCAGATCGACCTATGGAACCTGATCTTCGAGATATTGAGTTTGATTTTTGTTGAGGAGGTCGAAATACAGGTGGTGGCTCGACCGCATTCGAGTTCGCATTCTTCATTCCCGGTGGTGGGCCTCTCGAATCGCGCTTGTTCAGTTCCCCAGGCTCGGATACTAGAGGCATTTGTACTGTTTGCTGTAGAGGCTGCGAGAAGTTCCTTTGTAGCTGCTGAGGAGGATTCGATATAGCAGGCGGCAACTGTGAAAGTCGTTGCTGGGGAAGTGGGGCTTGCGGTGACGCTGGTTCAGCGTTTGTTGGTATATTGGAAGGAGGGGCGTCAGATCCTGCAGTGGGTGGTAAAGAGTTACGATTACGTCGTAATGATAAACCTCGACTGATGGACTGTCGATTATTGGTAGTTTCAACTGGAACTGCTATCACGTTGTCAAAGTGTTCGGTAAAGCGTCCGGCACTGGGTGATTTTTGATGCCCATGGACACTCATAACTTGGATGTTGAAATAGATGCGATAGAGGTAAATGAGCGATGTGTTGTTAGGTTGGTAAATAAGAAAGAGAAGGAGAAAATTGGAGGGCTAAAGGACTTATTACCTCGCTCGGATTCCTTGATGCAGACACTCTAAAAAAGGATTGAAAAGGTACGTCAGATGAGCCCAACGCCGCCAAAGAAAATTTATACTTGTGTAACTGAACCAGAAAGGCTATTGCTGTGATCCTTTGCTCGCAACGGCTATTTCTAGAAAAACTTGGATCATGATGTCAGCCCTTGGCATTCGTAAATGATGGGTGAAGCTATCCAGGTATGGAACTCAACGAATATGCCGTTATGTCTAAACTATTTGTTTGGCAAGCAATAATTAGTCCTTTCATGGCCTGGGAGAATCAAGCATAGTGTGGGTGGAGGCAAGTGTATAAAAGATCAGCAGAATAAGGTCTGCGCAATAGTGGAACAGTGAATGGTAGGTAACCCACTGTGGGTGTTTATTTTGTTTCAAATTATTGGTACATGAACTATCACTTTGACTTTTTGCGTGTTGTAAAAATCCTAAATAGCCCAAGGCTTGGTTGGTTGGCTGGCTTGAGCCATCAACCCCTTTGACCAAAAATCTTAAAACAACTAAAGAGCCTACACTTGGAGTGATACCAACGTTAGTTCCAACAATCAAGATGACAGGCTGGTGTAAGTTGCCTACTTTTACTTCCCCTTACTTTTTTTTGCAATCATGCGATAGGCTATCGGTTTTGTCGATTGACACGTTGCCACCTTATAATATTTTTATTCAGACAAATTAAAACTGAGAGTCTGCACAACCACTAGGGGGTGGTGGTCAGATGCAAAATATTTAAAAACGTCGTATATCAGTCCAGACTTTGAAGATAGTCTACACTGATTGTAAGAGGAATGCAGCATGACGGCACCAATGCTTCACCTTCCAAAAACCAAGCGACATTGTCAAAAACATATGTTGCATGTTGCTGTTCCTTTTGATATCCATGGCATCGATCGATTTTCCCAAGCGAACCATTTCCAAAACTTGGCTGTAAGACACATTGAATAAAACATGGATTCAGTTTGGATTGCACGTTTCCATCTTCCTCAAGGGCGTCGCGTCTTCAAGAAGGATTGTCAAGTCAAGTCAATTTCATTTAAACTTTTTTTTCTCTGGGCGCGCCAGTAGGCTGTGTTGACACTGGCGGCGCCACACCACGCCAGCAGTTTGAGGAGATGGAGCATGCATTAGGCCCCCAAAAAGGTGGAAACAGCGATGAGCGCTCAAAAAGGAAATCTCCTAAGCTACCGAAGGGTTGAGATTCCTTACTTTTTTCGCCTTGGAAGCTCAACGAACATTCAGAGCTTCAAAGAACAAGCGGAGATGACAAGGTTTTTTTTAGGTAAGTAAGCAAAAAACGATATAGCATGTCGGAGGGTTAAAGCAGACCGGCATTTCAAATTAGAAAAAAAGTAAAAAAAAAGCCTTTCACGTTAACTCACGTCTCGTCACCTTTTTTAATGCTAATTTCCAGCTCATTGGGCGGCTTTAAGCTCTGGTGGGCAATTTCTTCACATATTATGGGAAAAGCATGGGGAAATGAGGGGATCCTAGTAAAAAAAGCTGCAGAAGCTGGAGTTGAAAATTCACCAGGTTGCATTCATGTATATTTGCTTCTCTCTGCATCTAGCTTGTTTCATTTTGTTTCTTTTCTTTTCAATTTCCTCTTTCATTCTTTGAATTGAATGGCATCAACACCCGTTGGCTATTGGGGTCCTGTAACGAGTTCAGTGGACTGGTAAGGCCTTTGGCTATGGATGGAAGGACACACATAAGAGCATCAACATGACGCAGTCTTCGTAATGGGGCATTTAGGTGTGAAGAGAATTACACTCACAGTTACTATGTGGCGGAATGGTGGAATTCGATTTCGGTAAAAAGCTGGTTTTTTTTTTCTTTTTGGAAAAGGAGCCCAGAAAAAATCCGCTAATGCCTCTTTTTCTTGGGGGGGGGGGACATGAATCTATTTTAGAGTGTGGCCATGATTGCACAAGGCCTTTTAGGAATGTATCTGCATCAGAATACCCTTGGCAACAAAATCACGTTTTCGTACTTTCTAACGGTGATTGTTGGGATCGGCAGGTAGAGAAAGAAAGAATGCAGTTTCGAACCACACCCCCCAGCATGAAAAGCTAAAGATTCAATGTCATGTTTCACTATAGCACCATGTTCCATGCAACGCTTTTACATGAATATCAAATGTGGGATGAGGTACCAAGTCATGAGTTAAACTAACGACATGTTCCATATGCAAACTGATCGATCCCCTGTCACAGCTCCCGATGGTTTGGAATGCTTGTTATCTGTTGTGGGTTCTCTTGGATGATCGCGGTTTGGCCAAGCGCTGGGTGACTGTCGCCATAGCGGTGTACTGCGCGGTGTTTAGCTACCTTTGTCATGTAGCACAAGGCAGTGTACAGTTTTACACCTTCCAAGCCAGGTACGTCACAAACATCCGGGGGGGGCGTTTAGCAGACGGCTTTAACCCACGTTTATGTTATATTAGCTTTGGATTGATGATGTGGGCGTGCTTCTACCTTGTTTGGAAGATGTACAATAGAACCACTGATGAAAGTGTCCGAGGACTGTACCAGCATGGTGCCTTCCTTCTAATAGCGGCCATCTCCGTTTGGCTATTCGACAGCAACTTTTGTTTCGTGTTTAAGCATATTCCCAACCCGCAGCTCCACGCCTTCTGGCATGTCCTGGTAAACCCTTTTTTTTTTAGAGGTTTTGCCCCAGCCTAAGCTAATACCCATGTTTTGCAGATGAGCACGAGTTTACACTATTTCTACGTAGCGTGCGGTTACAGTAGTAATCTTGCAGTTGGAGCTAAGCGCATACAATACCTTTTTAGCTTAGTACCTTATATCTCTGTTTCAGGGCCAGAGTTAAAAAAACAAGCCTAACAAAAATGGGGCCTGCTGAGTTTCTTTAGTCTAAGCTGGCTCTATTTTCGGGGCAAGACAGTTGATGGCAAGGCGTTTATTTTTTTACTTCTTCCCTGAGGAAAATTTTCTTTTCTTTTCCTTTCCTGAAATAAAATAGTCGATAAGGGCCATTGCATCTCAACCCCATACATCACAAAACGTAAAAAGGGAGAGCCGGTTGTTTTGGGGGGGGAGATAGAGAGGGTTAAGGTTTTAGCTATTAAAGTTTCTATGGGTCCAGACTCTATAGCATTTTGACTTTTGTGATCATCATGACATCAGTTGTGGGGGGGACACAGGAAATCTGCACACAAATATGCGGCAAATCTCAAAATCGTCGATTTTTTTTTGTCGATTTGAGAAAGTGCCATATTTTATTTACCGCGTTTGTGACTTTGGTGACCCAATCATGATGAAATGCGAGCTTAAAAATAATTGAATCTGCGATTATGAAATCAGCACAGCGTTTTAAATTGCGTTTTTTCTTATTTTCTCTTTTTCTTCAGTCTTTTTCTCATTTGCGAGTTTTAAATTTTTCTTTCGCTTTCTTTCTCCCTCTCTTTCTCTCTCTCACACTCTTCAATACCCTATAGTACCATGGAGACATACTTTGGTCATATCAAAACCCCTCATGATGCCTTAATCGTCTTCGAAGCTTGCCGTCGAGGCTTGTTCAACCGTATCCAACGTCGCCTGGCAGAGAAGGAACGTGGTCAAATCCGATCAGGCTCTGTCTTTGCTTGGGATGAACGAGAGGCTGGTATGCGTCGATGGACAGATGGTCGTACATGGTCTCCCTCCAGAGTCTCTGGTAGTTTCCTGACATACCGTGAGTTGGACACTCGTTGTCGGCGCCGAGCCACATCGAACGGTTCCAGTGATGATGAAAAGCCTACCAGTAGTAGTAGCAAAGCCAGTAGCTCTTGTTCATACAAACATGATGGCTTGATCAAGCAAAGCTTCTCTATCTGCACGGCCACTGGACAGAAGCTGCATCTTATTTCGTATTATACAAAGCCCGATATTTTGACTGGTCGTATCCGAACGCCGTCTTCAGACCCAGCACTTAAGAACATCGCTGTGCCCAAAGGCTTGTATCCTGAGGTCAACCCCTTGGATACTCATCCCTCTACTATGCCCATGTATCCCATGCGCCAGCAGTCCTCTGATATGATGATGATCGATTCATCGTCCACCAACCAACCACAGGCTTCATCCCCACCACCACCTTCACTCAGTTCGTCACCGTTCACATCCGAAGACGAAGATCCTACAGACGTTCATACACCAAATTCATCCATTTCATTTGGTCGAACTCCATCTTTCGAACGAAAGGCCTCCGACCCACATCGCTTTGCAAGCTTCAAAGCCCCTGATGTTCTTGAAGAACCTCATCATCCCTTTTCATTGCCCGTTGCTGATATTCCATGGGGTCGATTACCGTCATCTGAAGATGAAAGACAACTGAAAGTCCTTGAGCGGCAATTTCGCATATGAGTCAAAAATCTTTAATCTGAATGCAAGTAACCAAGAAGTAGGAAAACATAAAAAGTAGCCAAAAGGGAAAATCTCAAAGGCCCCCCCCCTTGGTCTTTTTTCTTTTCGCCAAAATCCCCTTGTATCATACTCAACCATGACTCTATGAATGTCTTTTGTAATCTCATTGTCGCCCTGGTTTTAGCCATATGGCAACCTTCTCATCCTATATCTCTGTGTACATTCCTCGTAGTCTTCCATTTAGTATCTATTTTCTTTGCTTTGCTTTTCAACTCAAATATTTTTTTTTTCACTTGTACAACAAAAATCCAACCTCTCGCTATCGATTCTCCCTTTTTAATAAATCCTACAAAGTACAAGGTCAAAACTGTCCATGAAAAAAAAAAAAAAATAAGAAATTGCTTTTTCCTATGTAGTGATCTGTTGAAAGATTTTTTCATTCAGGACACGATTGCCATAAACCATAAGGCTTAGTGGGATTCGTTTTCCATAAACGAATCGTTCCGTCTTCGGAGCCAGTTGCATACAGCTCACCGTCTGGGCTGTAACTAACCGTCCAAATTGGCCCATGATGGCCCTTATAAACCTCTAGCTCCTCTCCACTGGTGAAATCATAGATGCGCACCCAAAGATCCGTGTCGCTGCCTGCTATGAACTTGGTTTGATTAGGATGTAGAGATATAGAGGATGCGTTGTGTTCTAATGTGTGCTGCTTGGCAAGAGCATAACCTCTGAAATGAGAAAAATGATGGGAATGAATAAAACTTTAAAAAAAATAAAATTGATAGCCTCTCCCCCCATTTCATAAAAATAGGCTTTATACTAACGCTCGGGTATCCCAAAAAAACGCTTCAGCGCCGGCCGTAGAAGTTAGATAGTGACCGTCGGCACTTTGAACCATGCTGGTAACGCTTGCGCCGTGATCAAGTTGCTGCACCTGCTCCATACTTCGGACATCCCACACACGTATGGTTTTGTCGTCGCCGGCACTGAAGATCGTTTGGCGATCATCATCCCATGCCACGCTTTTGATGGCGCCTTCATGTCCAGTGGCTTCCAATGGCGCACTCTCGGGTTGGTTCAAATCAAATACTCTTAATTTCTTTTCTTGTCCTCCAGTTAAAACTCGACTGCCATCTTGACTGAAGTCACATGCTCGAACAATATGTTGATGGTCAAATTTAAACAATTCGTCTCCCGTAAATGTGTCCCAGATACGTGCTGAGAAATCCGCAGACCCCGTAACCGCTCTATCAGCTTTTTGATTCAATCGTGCCGACCACACCGCTCCTTTATGGCCAAGGAACGTGCCAATCCAATCGCCTGTCTTTCCGTCTCTGAGCATTGGATTTCCGTCTAGAAGGGCCGCCGTATGAGCGAGGTGTGCCTTTTACATCTTGAATCACTTGTAATCCGTACTTACCTTTGCATGCGGAGATGAGAAGGTAATTTCCTTCACTGTCCATAGATGAAAACTGAAGATCCACCACTGGCCGCGTGTGGCCAGAGCATGTCAGTGGGATCACTCGTGAATTGGTTATGGGCATGATGCAAAGTTGTATTTTTTTAAAAAAACTGGAAGCGACGGAAGGCTGGACACCGCAATGAAGAAGTAGTCACAGCAAATACTGCCCACCCTACCATTTTATTTTATTTTCCCAAAAGCATCCAGTTGGTAACCACCTATATCCAAGATGAAATGATTGAAAGACATTTGATGCAGTAGAAAAAACCGGATTTTAAGCAATTAAAAAGAGCATGGCCAGTACAGACAGTCAAAGACAACTGAAGCCCATGTGACGTTCAGGTTCAAATCACTGCTTTTCTCACGTCGTTGTCCCGCAACTCTTTATTCCCTACTTTTTCGTTTCCTGCTCAGCAGCTTACACGTATCGTTCATGTCGGTTAGAATTGAAAAACCGGATAAACATATCGTTGTCATCACCATTGACCGACCTGAAGTGCGGAACGCGGTCGACAAGGCAACCGCACGTCAACTTGCAGACGCTTTTCGAGATTTCGATCACGATCCTGAGGTAAAACAATGCTATAACTGCATAAAGGTCTCGTCCGGAAACTGATGGAGTCTGATTATGTAGTTAAGAGTGGCTATTTTAACAGGAGCAGGTAAAGGAACGGAGTCACTCTTTCATATGTTCAGACTTGGTTCTCACTCATCTTTTGCAACAGGTGGAAGGTTTTGTGCCGGCGCAGGTCAGCAACATTAGTGTGATAGAGTGATGAATGTTCTATTCGTGTTAACGCTCACCAATAAGACCTGAAGGCTATTCTTGCCAATACCGAAGTTACCCAGTCAGACGCCACATCCAACGCACTTGATCCAGACATGTCCAAGGATGGACCCATGGGGTAAAGTTATTCAATACGCAGACGGGTGGATAGATCCCAGCCTATACTTACATTCTCTCGTCTCAGACCCACCCGCATGTTTTTGAGCAAACCTGTCATTGCAGCTATCTCTGGTCATGCTGTAGCAGGTGGGATGGAGCTGGCGTTATGGGCAGACCTACGGGTGATTGACGATACTTCGGTGTTTGGGATTTTCTGTCGAACCAAAGGTGTACCGTTGATCGACGGAGGCACTTTCAGGCAAGTGCATACATTTGGCATCTATGGATGGGGGGAACCTGCTTTATTGACGGCAGCGTGGCTATCCATCCAGACTTCCAAAGCTGATTGGCTATTCGGCTGCCATGGACTTGACATTGACAGGTCGACCTGTGTATGCAGACGAAGCTATGAAGCTGAACCTCGCAAACTACCGAGCCCCAAAAAATGCCACAGCCCTTGAAGAGGCTATCAAACTGGCACACCTACTCGCATCCCACCCACAGCATTGCATGCGAAACGATCGTGCAGCCATGCTCGATCGTCAGGCCGAAATGGAGGCTCTCAAAAGAGAATTTGACCACGGTTTGAAGACTTTACAGTCAGGGGAATTTCGTTCAGCCGTCGGTCGATTCCTCGGTAAGCTGTGATGTCCTTCAAAAGTTCTATACGCTTCCATTACTATCCTGTAAACTATAAGCTGCAGATCATCCAGGAGGAACGCCTTGAGCTAAAATAAAAATATCGTACGATGTACAGCATTTATGAATGTTTTTGACCTGCACCCCTAACTTGCGCTCATCCAATATGCTCTATTGTATTCCGTTGTGTTCTATGATGATCTTGGGGATTTTTCAATTTCCATGATCCCATTTTTCCATTATCCCCCTTAAGGTTAACCTCCTGAAGGCGAATTTCAAGTTTTCCATCTTCAGATCCCCCAAGTACTGCGATCGTTTTTAACATTTAAAATAGACTGCTGCAGTTATTCCTGGGGGGGGGGGACTTGAGAAACTTTCTGCATCCATCTTATAATGGTTTGGCATCTCTTCACTAGATCATACACCAAGCTGACGACATCCATTTGATCGTCTTTTTGGGGGAGAATCGAATGAAAGGGGAAGTTCTTGACATCGATGAGCTAGGTTGTGCTTTTCATTGTATCCTGTTTTTTATCACCATGCTATCTTTGACATGTTAGTAAGAACAGGTGCGAAATGAGGCCCATAGGCTCTTCTCCAAACGGAGGGTAAACAACAACACTGCAGAACACACAAAGATATGTGTTTTGGTGCCAGTTGAATTCTTCTCGATTCAGCGAGTCACTCACCTGGTATTCCCTCTGACCCTTTCACCAAGCGTGTGGGACTCCACCTAATGTCGCCTTGTTTCATGCAAAAAAGGGATCCAAACCGCACCACATTTGTTGTTGTGGCGGTGGGACAGAGCTGACTCAGTATATGCCAGCAAGGTTTTCCAATTTCTAAAACGAAATGGATGAGTTCATGAAACAAAGACTAGTTAATTCCGAGCGTTCTAGAAACCATGTTCTTATAGTGATTGTTTTACATTAACGCAGCTCACCATCGCACAAGGCGCCCCGGCGAAAAAGCCTCACTCCGCCGTAAGTCATTTGGAATAACTCATACCGTTGCTTACTTTCTAATCCGCTTACTGCCGACTTGCACACATAGCCAATAAGCTGCGAGCTACAACATCAAGTGGATGAAGTAGCCCTATTTTTGTTGTTGTTTTTGGTAACATGCAAACGCATAGTAAGTACTCTACAGACCGATGCTCCTTTTAACCGAACCTCTTCTTTTTCTTTAAAAAAAAAAAAATTCCACGGGATGGTGAGGTCATGGTTCCATAACATCGAGTGCTGTATCTACACAGAAATTCCCAAAATTTGATATGCTACTGTCGAACTTAATAAAAGATAGAGCCTATTTACCGCACGATGCTATCACCGACCGATTAACTACCCAGACAGAACAGGACCAACGCAATGACTACAGACGGATGGTTTCTTTACACAGAACGAGACCACGGTCATGAATACCGTTGGGTGAATGCTTTACCAAGGACGAACGGTCAGTGTTTTTTTTGCACAGGGGAGTTGGCTCTTTGATTTTTCCAATTCGAGCCATTAAAAATCCACAGCCTGCCAAGACAATTCCCTTAAGTGGACATTTGGTAAACTCAACTCCTTCTACCACCGACGCATGACGTGGATTTCAACAGGCCATGTTACCTTAGAATAACCACGAAGAAGCGCACCGCTAGCCAGGCTTCGAAGCTTCCGTTGTGCCGCTTAGCTCATGGTAATTCTTTTTTCCATGACAGCCGGAATCCATCTAAGGGCCATGGCTACACTCAAAATATCCCGCAAAGCCACTTAATGCCAAATGTGGAAAAATTGGCAGAATTTGACCAGACGATAATTCCCTGGTACGGGAAATCGTTTTTTCTTTTCCCCTCTTCTTTTACGTCGGTCGCTTGTATTCTCTCTATCGCTCTCTTTTCCGTCCACCCCCTTTTGCCCTACAGCCGCCTAAAGCAAAGGGATAGAGGTAGCGAGATGACTTCACACGTTCCCTCCGAAGCAACCACTTGTACATACCGATTCCTCTCTTCTCTGGATGACCACGTCCCTCCAACGTACGTCTCATGCTAGTGAACCGTATCACCCCCATCGTCCTTTAATCCTGTTTTTTATTTCTGCAGTATTCCACATATTGTTATAAGGCAGCAGCCTCGACAAGCCAAACAAAGTATAGCCTATGATCGAGGTACGATAGCCCTGGTTAAGCAAGCCATGCCATAGGTTGTATTGACCACAAGTCTATTTTTACTTCATCAGAGCGACGGCCAGTGGAACCACCACCCATTGTACAAATAGAATTCAGCAATTTAACGGCACAAGAAACGATGTAAGTGGGTATTTTCCAAAAGATGGGCTATTTGACAAGTGTGTTGACCCATCTGCTGATTTAGGACATGCCTACAAAGTCCGTACTATTTCATGACCGCTAGGCTGGTTACACCAGATAGTAGCGTTAGGCAACCCAAGTTGTGTGATCATGAGGAAGATGTTCTGACAGGATCAGTGGTATCTTCCTTGCACCGTCTGAAAGATGTTGATAACCAAGGTAAGAGAGAAAGCAAGCAACCTTTGGTCCCATTGTGGCTAAAAGGGAAAGAAGATTTTTTTTTTCTCTTTTTTTGCACATCCTGATGGGAACACCAACCCTTATTTTTCTTTTCCTCCGCCGCCCAGACGCCGGATTTTTCGTCTTTGGAGACTTGGCCATCAAGATACCAGGTACCTTTAGGATCCATTTCAGCTTGTATGAAATAAGAGGGTAAGTCATACTGCGTTTTGGAGGACGTGGCCAGCTCTCTTTCTTACCTACTATCCTTATTTATGGCAGCGGTCAGGTGATTAATCGGGAATCCATTGCCACCGAACCATTTACGGTATACTCGCCAAAGCAATTTCCTGGGCCACTTGAATCCACATTTCTCTCGCGCACATTTGCAGATCAAGGTGTTCGCATGAGGATAAGAAAAGAACACAGAATGCATTCGTATGTATACATTCATCAAATTCTGATAGTGTTCTTTACCCTTTGCCTTTCCTTCTAAAATCCTCTCACACCTTTTTAGAAAAGTTGTGCCTAGCAAGAGAAAACCAACGACTGAGGAGTCTAGTGATAAAGCTGGTAGTCGTAAGGCATCGTCCTCACGGCTACGCAATCACTCTGTTCGATTCGTATCTCAAAACTCCATGTATGGAGGGAGCAATACCTCTAAAGCGACGACTCCACGACGAAATGCAGCTGCTGGCCCTGCTGCACCATCGACACCGGACCACCCCCCAGAGGAAGCCAAAGAGTATCATGTTGGCAAATTCCGCTTCGAAAGAGAAGAATCAAGGCAGCCTTCCAACTCGCCTCCCATAGAGCTTTTAGCCTTGTATGCTGAGCGAGCTGCCAAAGAATTAGCTCAGCCAAAATTAGCTGGCTACCCCTCACCACCACCGCATCACCACCCTCAGGTCAAAGTTGAACGCCATCGAAAATCAATTCCCTCCCCCCCTTTGAACACGCTGCCTGTGCCTGTACGCTCTTCTATCCCCAACCGAGATTTGCCACCTCCCACGCCATTATCTGTTCACCGGAGTGCTTCAGAAATCAGACTACCCTCTATTCGAGATCTCATGGGCTGGCCACCGTCTGAACCTCACCACCTCCCTCCACCTCAAGCATCTCACCATCGACCTCAAGAAGAAGAGATCGCTCGTGCCATGATGCAACTTGCAAGTGATGCTATATAGACCAATTTTCCCCATTTCTTTCTTAATGTATGCCCATTTTTTTTCTCTCAACGGAGGCAGAAAAAAAAGGAGCCTTTTCTGTAGATTTTTTTTTGGTTTTTCCAAATCAAGAACCTTTATTACCAAACTGAATGCCTTTTTTGGCAAGTGCGAAGAACATCTCTTGCCAGCTTTGAATTATTTTTATTATTTTTTATTATTTTCTAGTGGCTGCTGGAAAGGTATCCATTGTATAGGAGGATATAGAGTAGTGAGAGATAAAATAATAATGGGTGGTGGGGAATTACGTACATTGGGTTGTAGAACAAGAACATTACAAACAGTAAAAAAAAAAAAATACACACAAGGATGATCTAGTCCATAAGCGTTTAATCTATCAATTCGACCTGTCCTCTGCCAACCGTTCTTGGAGAGATTTCAAGAAGTCACGGTCTTCCTGGCTGAAGTGAGCAGGGAGGATAATTTCAGACGGAGACACCACGATACGCTGAGTGGGCGACATGGTGATGGAGGATTGTGGGGAGAGTTCATGGGAAGATACACCGGACGGTAAGGTTTGACCGATGGTTTCATCGTTATTGGTTATAATGATCTTCTTTGGCGTCCACCAGCACACGGGCCATCTGCGCTCGATATTATTAATCAACAACGCAATGGTGACTGTGATGGCTGCACTGAGGGCCACAATGCCAATGTAGAGCCAACCGATATCGTTTTGCGAGGCTGCGATGAGAGCCGTAGCGCCTAGCATGGGCATGATCATTAGAAAAGGGTCGTCAAAGATACAGCAAATAGACATTACGTACCGCCAGGTGGATGCACTGTGCCGGTATACTGCATGACGACAAGAGCGACGGCCATGGAGAGAGAACCAGCCAACCACCGAAGGCTGTCAAAATTGGGTGATAATTGAAATAATGCCGTGATGCACACACCTATGATGGCACATAGGACATGGCCGAAGAAGCAGTTGCGAGGCTGGCTAAGTGGGGATTCAATTGACCCATAAAGCAAAACGGCAGAAGCACCCTACACACCATCCATCCGTTAGCTCAAGACCCATAGTATAATGATTTTTTTAATAGATCCGGGTGAGTGACTTACAAAACTCCCAACAATCATGGGCACATTGGCATTCTCGAATGCGGGAGTTCTTGAAAATAAAAGCTCAAGTACAGTGATGCATGTGAAAGCTCCAATGAAGGACCATATTGAAATTCGCCATTGCGGGAGGCCAGTAGGACGAGAACCAGAGCCTAAGATAAATCGGCCTGCGACGGATTTGGCTATGTTCATCATGATTAGATTTAACAAACAAATCCACCATTTTTTTTTTTTTTTTTTGTAACGACCTTATATTAGAAAAAAAAAAAAAATTCCCCAAAACATTCATTTTTGTGCAAAAATAAAAAAAAAAGAGAATGTTGTATTTACAAAAACAGAGTTTCAGTCAATGGGCGGGTGGGCGGATATAACGTTCATCCCCTTACGAACCTATATGGAGGTGGATTTATAATCATCCAAAGCCTCCAGTAGTTTTTCCGCTGTAGCAACGGCATGTTTACGACGGTTACGAATGTCCGCTTGGCCCATAGAATCCACTGCATCGAGCTGTAACAGCAATTGCACCAGTTCTTCCTCTCGTCGCAAGAACTCTTTGTTGGGCTTAGTTGTGGCAGGCAGTGTTTTGCGTTTGGTGGTCGTGTCAAACGTGAGCGGTCCAATCGCTTCACTTGCATGAGTATGCTTGACTTCATCAAGCTTTCGTTCGATCGCCGCTAGTTTGTCAAGTTGTGCTTGCTTTGCCTTCTCATCCACTCCTTCTTCTTCGGTCGGGACAGCCGCTTGAGGTGGTACTACATCTGATGTATCTTGTGCCATAATATCACCTTCTTCAAATTCATTAGCAGGCGTAGGTTCAGCTTCAGTGATGATATCCTCTGGAATATAGCCTCCCAGGTGGGTAGTTTTGGCAGATGGCTCTAGTATGGTCGGAGGTTCCTGCTGTTGTTTCTGCTGCTGTTTCTGCTGCTGTTCTTTCTGTTTTTGCTGCTGTTCTTGCTGCCTTTGCTGCTGCTCTTGCTGCTGCCTTTCCTGTAGCTTCTGCTGTTCCTGTTGCTGCTTTTCAGGCTTTGCTTCATCATATGCAAATGCCCTTTCATCAGTGTCACCCTTACGTCGCTGCATAAGTTGGCGTAAAAACTCTTGTAAAGTCTGTTCTTGATTAGACTCCTCTTCTTCGACATATGGATCGTCTGGTTCATATGACTTTTCATCTGGGGCAGTTGGAGTACTTTCAAAATTATACACTTGATCAGCCCCTGCTTGTCTGTAGGTTGGAAGCTCATCAGGAGCCGTAGGCTCTTGCTCCGCTTCAACCTCCGGCTGCTTTTCCTCTTGAAATTCATATCTAGTAGCTGGTACTTGTGGCACGTTTTGCGATAGATCACGTAGGGTAAATGCACCACCCAGCTCGTCTTCATTTTCCATCTCATCCGGCTCTTCCGCCATGGTCAACCGATTCCACAAGGACTGCTGAAGAGCTTGTTCATCATCCTCGTCGTCTTCATCGACCCAGTCAGGGTTACCATCGTCCTCGACCGGCTCTTGTTCCCAGTCCTCGTTAGCAAAACAGTGGCGGAGTACATTGCACATGTGCTTGGCCTTGTAGTCGTCAAAAGATCGCTCTAGTTTGGGATAAGCAACTAGTCTGGGCGACTGGCTTTGTCTTTGAGCTAGCTGAGCGCGCGCATCTTGCAAGTATCGACTTTTGAGCATCTCATTTTGACGTTGTTCCAAAGCCTCGGCGATTTTACGCCGATAAACCTGTTCTTCCACTGCACGGATCAGTTGCTTCTGTCGGTAAGTTTGAATAGCACGCTGAATTTGCTCTTCACGACGTTGACGTGCAAGAGATTTCCAGTAAGCCAAGCGATAAAGTGCTAATTCCAACTGCTTCTGTTCTTGTACAGCATACTGCTGTTTCAGTTGCTCTCGCAATTGCTCTTCCTTATCTTGCTTCTCCTTCTGCAGCAGCTGCTGCAACATCGTATAGTCACGATGAGAGATAGCGCGCTCCACGGGACGGGAAAGTGGCTGAACTGTTACGTTGCTATCTGGGACGACGTACATGATCGTGGGTGATAAAGCAAACGAGGAGGATGGGTTTCGGGTGCTTGTGCGCAACAGTTTTCTGATTTCTTCCTCGGTCACGTGGGTGCCGTCATTGGCTTTGCTTGCCTTTTTGATTCTTCACCCACTTTAGATAAAATCGAACCTACCAGAGAAGCTGGACGTTCTTTAGGGTCCACTGAAGTATAATTGTGAAAGGTGGAACTTACGACTAGTATATGTGTCTGTCCATTGGACAGCGTTGACGATCCCGTGGTCTCAGACTGGGTTATTCTTGCATTATCTGCACCAGCCTGAGGTTTATTCCCCACATGAATGGGATGTGGTAAATAGCACATTGCTCAATAGTTTCAAGGTATCAAGGAGGTTGCGGTATCGAACTACATAGTTTTTCAGGTATTGAGGATGCCATGGTAGCTTGACGTCAAAATTCGCGATTATGCCAACCAATAATTTTTGCCGCTTTAATTTTTTGGATGCCTTGAACGAAATTGGGGAAACTATCCCGATCAAACGTAAAAGCACACCATGTCTTGGTACCAAACTCAATTCAAACTTAGTCCTCGGCCAAGAGGTAGTGTCCTCCATTCAGGATCGTCTTGATACGCATCACGACAGAAAAAAGCTCATTTATGTCTGTTTTCAGGATGCCACCTTGTACACGACGAGATTTGTTCACAAGTGCCCGAGATTAGAAAGTACAAAGTCGGCATGGCCAATGTCTTTTGTAGGTATCAATGTTCACTCAGCAGCGTACCATCGACTGTTACTGAAGAGCCTTTGCAGTGCAGCATACTAGTGCCTCGCTCATGTTGAACGAGAACTACGACCCCACAGTGAGAAAAGACTATGAAATGGCTCTCAACAAAATCGCTCCTGAAGACTTTCCCTACGTCCACACCGATGAGGGTCCGGACGATATGGTAAGAGTAGCAATAGGGCAACTATATACCTTGATGAAAGCACTCATCTGTTATACGTAGCCTGGACATCTCAAATCTGGCCTTGTCGGCGTCTCACTCAACATTCCTATAACGTTGGTATCTCCTTCCTCACCCTGTCATGCTAAAGATTTCATCCATTAGCTAAATACTCACTTTGCATTTTCCTCCCATAGTCAAGGAAGACTTAATACCGGCACATGGCAAGGGTAAGCACTTCAACGAACTCGTACATGGCGCTTCAGCTTGCTACAAAGTTTGTTTGCTAATCTTTCTTGCACTCCATAGTATCTGGCTCTGTGAACACAGAGATCATGGCGGTTCCCGTAAAGTTGTTGTAACTCTGCAGGGTGAACGAATGTAAACAATATGTAAAATCGAACCGATCGTATAAGGCCAAAAAATAAACCTATCTAGACCGACGAAGCAATATTCCGTAATGTACTGCTCATAATGAGTTCTAAATAGAGGCATTTCCATTGTTGTGTGAAAAAGCAAAAAAGTGCGAATATTATTGTTATGGTATTTTTTACAACTGGAATTGAGAAATGAACTTCTAGATAAAGCAAAAAGAGATGGTGGTGAATTCAATTCAAGCGAAGCTATTTACAGGAGGACAATTTTTCTTCATTCAGTCCAAATCTTCTTGGAGATGTTTTTGTTGCACTAGCGTAACAATGCAAGTAATATCGTCAACCTTGCCACCTCTATAATGGCCGCCATGGGCACGAGCACCTTTAGCCCAAGGGCTTAGTCGCTTAGGATCCAGAGAGAGACGTCGTGCAGCGTCAGTCAACAGCTTTGCCAAGACTCGGATATGTGCGAGGGAATCCTCACTTTTGCCAGTATCAGCAATGTGTCCCATATGTGCATTCACAATTTGTAAGGTTTCGTGGGAAAACACGTTGTCAAAGTAACCATCGGTGGCGAGTATGATCAAATCTCCATTGCGCAAGAAGAACGATTTGCGGTCTCCATCCTTTGGAAGGTCGGTAACATAGCTGGCTCGATTTGGGTAGTTGTCTGGGACCACCGTCAACTGATACCTGTCAAAAGTAATAATCACATGGTGTCAGTTGGGAAATTATGATGTGTCATATTCGTGCCATCATTGACTTACGGGCAATTAAAGAAATGCTGCTGGCTTGGGCTTTCGAAGACGATCTTTTGATCACGGATCAAAATGAACGCGCTATCGCCCAAGTTACAACTGGTCATATATCCAGTCTTTTTGCACATTTCCAAAATGCAAGCTGTGCTACTTCCGGCTTGGACCATTCTGCGATCAACCAATTCAGTGAAAGCGTTGTCAAGAATATCATGTGCGTTTACAGACTCCAAATCTTTGGCGATACTTGCACAATTGTTCATGAGAGTCCAAGAGAACAAGGCTATAAAGGGATTGATGAATGACATTGTTGATGGACGACGGTAAAGAGTTATAAGGACTTACCAGGGTCAACACCAACTTCAGCCCATCCACCTACTCCGTCAGCAACACCTACGGCTAAGCCTTTGCGAGTACTTGTGTGAAAAAAAGCATCTTCACCAGCATCAACTTTGCCTACTTGAGTACGTTTCCAGTAGGGAGTTTTTTCTGCTGTATCTTTGGATTTACGACCGCGATTCTTGGGGTGCCAAGCCGCGGCAACCACAAAGTTATAATCTGTATCAGTATCTTCTTGTGGCTCTTTAGGAGCAGATTTGGAAGTTTCTACATATGTAGCATCTTCAGTTGCATGTGTGGGGATGGACACCTGGGGCTGTTGTAAAGGTGCCTTTGCGCTGGAATGAAGCAGGAGCTCCTGGCGAGCGGTGATTGGGCGAAGAGCTACAAATGAGGGAGCAAGTGACCGCCGCCATAGTTGATAAAAGCTCGTGCGAGCTGTGAAGGCTAGACGGTTGGAAGTGGGTCTAAACATGGGCTACCGATTTTGCAGGCAATGTGCGACAAAGTGTGGGAGAGCAAAAAAAAATATTTTTATTCTGGTGTGGGCGAAAGGAAGGAAATTTTGAGTGACGCTGCCAAGTTGGGCTTCCTTTGGCAAATCATGTATCCGAGAACGAATTTTTTATTTTTGGCTTTCTCGGTACTTGATGTTGCTGCCGGTTATCGCCACCAACACCAATCGTAACTTTAGTGTTGCAGTTTGTTTTCTCTAGAAGGCAGAAGCATTTTCGTTTCAACTCGCACATCGGAGCATCGGCAAATCATGACATAGGTAACTTTCTTTGCTTGAGCGCCTGTACATTTCGGGCACAGTATAACGTCAAATTGGCCAAACATCTGTATAATGACTTCACTATTCAAATAATGGGGTACGCTCGGATCTTATTATTGCTTCTTGAAAATAAAGCTGCTGGTGTATATTTTTAACAATTGGTATCAAAGAAAAAAAAAAGACAATGCGGGACTTTTCTGCGCTTTCCATTGAAATTATGACTCTGATTGCCTTGGTGTCTTCGAATCACCACTCACCCCCAGTACATTAATCTAGATGGCAAGACAAATTATATTGGTAGACTAACTATCCTGGTTAGCAGGAGCATGATCGAAATGCTTGCCAATTGTGAAGAAACAGCGTAAATTTCTGTCCGAGAGCAGTGAAAATTCGCCGGAGTGTCGTCCGCGTACCCTTGCAAATTGACAATCAGTCATTTAATAAGTAGGTGGCAATCAAGGGCTGTTGATTACAGTTTCATGTAAACAGATAGCTCCCACTTGGCAAGCTCTTTTAAAACGTGTGTTTATTGTGCTAACGCTGCCAAAATTGGCGAATGGGGTCATAGTTCGGGTTAGGGGTGTTACAGACACAATTTTTTTGAGGGTAAATGAAAATTCCAGTTCGTTCGATTGTCAAGCTTCAACTCTTTCTTTTCCTTTTACCTTATTTTCTCGAAGAACCCTTCGCTCACTTTATAAGCTATGGGATTATTAGACGAATTTCGCTCCAAAAACTTCTCTCTATATGGACAAGTGTAAGTGTTCTCTCTTTTATTTCATTAGGAGGTATGGCGTGTAAGGGTGCGACGGATACGGCGGCTACGTGCCAAGCGGGAAGAACGGGTACGATCATACATGCCCTCGTCTTGGCAAAAGAAGCTGCGAAAAACAACAAAGTTAGCGCAGTCTTCTTTGGTATCCAACACTGCATCATGCCACTCCCAAGCCTTCTGCCAAAAAAGAAGAAACGAACGTCTCAGTCACTACTAGGATTTTTGGTGCGCCTATCGAGCGGGATTTGGAATACAACAGGGTAAACCGAGTTCACTTTATCTAACGCAACTTCCTACTTTTCTCTCTTTGAATGGCCTTAGATTCGGTATCATCTCAATTATACGTAAGTGATACCTTTTTTGACCTGGTTAGCATCAACGGGTGATTTATTGGGCTTGGCATAAAATATTTCCAGCACCCGGCTGGTCTTAAACCCGCTTTACATCCTTATGCTACCCGTAGTGCATGCTTTACTTACCTTATCGCATTTCATCTAGTCCTCATTGCCCTTGGTATTGTGACTTTCTTGAGCCATGTTGTCTTCAGTATCGTCGGATGGTAAGTCGGAAAAAATGCTGCGAACAAACCAGGAAGTAAAGGTGCCCCCAACTGACTTGAAACGCTTTGTGCACTTGTGATACAGGGTCATCGCCTTTATCTTGATTCTTGTGGAAGTACCTTTGTGTATGAGGGTAAGAAGACAACGATTTCATTGAAACACCTACTTTATTGCCTTACAAATGACTGACAGTTGAACTCTTTAGATGTGCCCCACCAACGACAAGTTGTAAGTTAAACTTACCCTTGGTCCCATTCCGGGGTTCAAAAGAAAAACCTTGCTGTCTGAGTTCAGTCTTCGTTTACTAACTTATGCGTTTCCAGCGATACATTTATACGCTACTTTGAAAACACATTGTTCCGTGCCATCATGTACCTGTGGTAAGTTTTTGCTATCAACCTCGTGAATATTGTTTGGTTTGTAACGCTAAGCTGACATTTACTATCTAGTTTCGCCGTTGTGATGTTCCTTTCCTCTCTCCTCAACACTGGACCGCTCATTGCCGCTGGTGTCAGTCTTCTCCTTGCTGCTCTTTGCTATGGTAAGTTGCACGAAAACCTTGTCAAGTCATTTTGGTGAATAATTCTGATGTTGACTGATTCATCCCTTCCTCTCCTTCAATTGCTACTGTAGGTTTCGCTACCGTCAAGGGCCAAGGATTTGCTAGCTCTTCCATGCTTGGTGGTACCGGTGTCGATAACGTTGTTTAAGTCGTTAAGAAAGGGAGTCTTGATTCCTATTGTGGAAAGGGAAACGTTTTATTCGCACTCCAGTCGATGTATTTTCCTCCTCGATTGTACTTAAAAAACTCTCACCGTGAAGGAGAGGTTTTTTTTATATAGTTTATATAGATATAATTGAAAAAATGGCAAACATACTCGAACCAAGTTTTTTATTTTTTTGAAAGTGGTGGTAATAAGTTGTCTGGGTCAGGGCATGAATTTGGTTGGCTTGGCCACAGTCATTTTTGTTCTCATTCGTGCCCCGCCGTCCAAAGTGTCTGTCTTGTTGTTATTGAATTACACCATTCATCATGGACAAATTGAGAGAAGTAAGATAAAAATCAACATATCTGTAGAGAGATGGTGCTTCCAGCATCCCAGATTAACTTTGTCCCTTGTTTGTCATCAGAAATTAGCCTCCCTTCGTGCTGAGGTCGACAGCGCAAACGCACGCGCTGAAAAGATGGAAGCCAAGATTGCTGAACTTGAGTCTGACCATAACAAGAAGGATGACGAGAGAACAAACTTGACTGAGAGAGCCAAGAACCTTGAGGAAAAGCTTGAAGAGGATGAGGCACAACTCAAGACTACCACTGCCAAGTAAGTAGCCGATTTGACGCTCGATAAGAGAAAAGAGCCAGTTGAAACTGATATGATATTTCTATTTGGCAGCTTCCAGGAGGCTGACTTGAAGGCTGAAAGACTTCAAAAGAGCAACCATCGCTTGGAAATCGAGATCGCTGAACTCGACAAGAAGATCAAGAATGTTGAAGAGAAAGTCCAGGCTTCACAGGCTGAGATGGAGGAACTTACCAGCGGTCTTGACAACGTCTAACCGTCTCGTTCTTCTTTGTCCAAGTGTAGCCTTGTTTTACTTTTTTTTTTTGCCTATGTGTGGGGAATTTAACAGGTGACATCTATGTATTTCTTGCAACAAGATCTTTCCTCCACCAAATCCGTGTTATACCTTTTTGAATATAAGGGAAGCTATGAGCCTTCTGTTACCCTTTAGCCCATTGTTGTTTGCGAGATGTTACTTTATGTGTTAAGGGAAAAAGCGTTGGTTCTATGGATGTTCGCTACGGTCATCCTATCTAACGAGCGAGCATCGGTGGCCTATGACGAATTTTCTTGTGGGGTTTAAACCTTTTTAGCACAGCCTTCTGAGTTCGTTAGGAATGAGCTGGTGGCAACAGTCCCTTCACATCAGCGCTACTTGAATCGAAGCTGCTCCAGAGTGACTTGTCATTATCTTTGGCTGCAGCATATTGTTCTTCAAAAGGCGAAATGTGTTGTGCAAATTAAAAACTCGGTCATACATGAACAGAAATTGAAATAATGTGTTGAAAAGGTAGAAGACGCGTACTTTTGATCAGATGACTACGTTTATTCTTTCAAGGAGACTTGTCAACCCGTGGCTATTATGATATGCCTGCGACTCAAATAGGATTACCAACCTGTGCACTACTTGTGGCTTGTGGTAAGTAGAGAAAAGTGGCAAACAAGTGGAGGCGGGAGTTATTTCGACCCAAAAAAAAAACCAATTTGTCGGCGCAACGTATACATTGGCAAGAGGTTGCAATGAACAGTCGAATATTGAAACACTCTTTTTTCACATACATACGTCGCAAAATACGATTTGCATAGGGGTCTGCCGAAGCCTTTCGTTTATCAATGCTTAAGAAGGCCAGACACTATTGTGGCAGACATGTGTTCGAAAGAGCCGAATCATGCAATAGATTTGTGCCTGAATATCGGTGTAACATCAGAAGAGCAGTTCAAATCAAAAATCTAATTACAGCGCAGCCGAATGGAATACGAGAAAGAGAGAAACCTCATCTTCTTCTCTCCCCTTCCTTTCCTTCATCGATGCCTGGCAGTTGGGCAGTGGTGCTACTGTCTTTTGTATTTAATGTTCATGCAGTTTATCGCCAACATCATATAGCCGTTCTCCAAAATCCCAGTACTGTGCTTTTGATTGGAGGAGCAGCCTTACCTAATAACTATTCACAACTTCTTGATCTTCGAAAACAACAAACCAAAAATGCCTATTCAACCTTGCCTGTAGCCTATCATACCGCTGTGCAGACATTGGGTAATGAAACACTTGTCCTGTTTGGCGCAACTGACTGGCAGTTATCCAACCTGTCAGCACCGTTTTGGATAGCAAATAATACCGCCACCATACAGAATGCAACTGATGCTGTTCAACCACCATTGCGCTATGGTCATACGTCCTTCTCGTATAACGAGAGCGATTTTGTACTTGGTGGAATTACAGATGACCAAAATGTACTGAGTGACCTCTGGCAGCTGAAGAATATGACCTGGTCGCAAGTGGCCATCAATTCCGCAAGTTTAGCGGGACATTCGACGATTGTGTACAATGACTGGATTGTCAGTTGCTTTGGTATCGACGACAACTGGAACCTTCAACACGAATGCTGGAGTTTAGATTTATCGACCAATGTGAGCCAAACTTTATCAGTTGAAAGCCAACATCATCCAGAACCCAGAGCTTGGGCGTCCTTGACTTTGCCAACCAATAGCACAGAAGCCATTCTTTATGGTGGCCAAGATGATTCTGGCGACTTTCTGGATGATTTGTGGACATTGGATATATCTGATCTTCCAAATTCAATATACTGGAGTCACGTTCCTGCTGGCAACACAACGCATCCTGTCGCGCGCGCTGGCCATGTAGCTCTCGAGATAGTACCGCCGCAAAATGTTTCATGCAACATCCTCCTCGTACACGGTGGAGAAGTGCCAAATACAGCTTATAACGATTCCACAGTTCAGTACCTCGACATCAGCACACTTACCTGGATATCGCCTTCAATTGTATCACAGCAGTTCAATAATGGAAGCATCATGCTAGCCGACAGTAATACAACCAATGCTTCTCTTTCATTTGATCAAGAAAGTGTTACATCCTCCAAGACCCTCGGTGGTGGAGCCATTGGCGGTATCGTCATTGGCAGTCTCTGTGCTGTTGCAGGCGCCGTTGGACTTTTCATTGTATATCGCCGCCGTCGATTCAATGGAAGACACGCCGCCCAGCATAATATACCAAAATCAACAGAGTTGCCTCCAAGTTCAGGAATTATGAACCTGCAACCACTGCAGCTATCCCTATCAGAGAAAGAGGATCTTCCTTACATCACCCAGCCCACACCTGTTAAGACGCACGATCGACGGTCCTATTTCGCTAACCAATTTCGTGACTCCATCTCCATCAAAAGCCACTCCTACGCTGAGCTCTTAGATGACGACGACGACAACGATAATAATATCTCAGTAGTGCAGACCATGAGTGACTCCAAGCCTGACTATTCAGCACCAAGACACCATGTTTCTGATAAAACCACGGATTCGGTCATTCCAACGTTTACCATGAATTCTATTGCAGAAAATGAAGCTGTTTCCAAAGAACAATTAAGTAATCCCGGAAAGAAACAGGCTCCCTCGCCCCTTGTACTGACCAACAGTCGTATAGCTTCAATGAAAGGCTCTCGTGTATCGCAGCTTTTGAATGTACCTTCCCCTGGTTCATCACCCGGTATTGACTCTCCGCAATCTGCGCGCATCTTCCTTAGCAGGCAACCATCGTCTAAATCCACTGGACGTGGTTCCGTGCGATCCATGCAATGGGTTGGATATGACCCTAGTACACGATACTCTGAAGGTGGATCCAGCAATGCCAATCTGGTAGTCAAGAATGTACGGGATAGTGTTTTGAGCTCTGGTAGTGAACAAAGTCTTCCTCCTCAACTTGCCATCCGTAATTCATTTGGCGATGATTTCAAGGTAACTTGGCCTCCTGAAGCGGAATAGGGTACCACGGACAGCATGGATGTATGTTTGGATCACGCACCACCATATCATCATAGACAGTATGGAGGCTGGCCTCCCTTAGGTCAAGGAACATGGGACAGACAGTATGTGCGCGAGGTTGCCAATTTATAATAATGTTGATAAATACAATTTATATCGTATGTACACTGTACAATCTTGAGAATTTTCTTCTTCTTTCATTCATGAAATTGATAATTTTTTTTTCTGTTCTGTTCTTTTCTTGCTAAATCTGTGGCATATGGATACATTATGGACTCTCCATGTCTATTGTGTAGGTGGGCTGCACCGGTAGTGATGCATGCAGGTCGGGGACATGTTGGATGATAGTTTTCCTGTGAATTGATATGGAGTCAAAAATAAAGGTTGTTGATCAGTTTTTGATTGTTTGCATAATGTCCTTACTTCATATGCGCCACCTTCTCCTGCGCAGGTGTGTTTGCAGCAAACGCACAATTTATTTGGATCGATTTTGGTTCGGCCGATACTGGAGATTGAAAGTTGATGGCAGATATCAGGTCGAGGTCAACGGATCGTGTGTCCTCATCTGACAAGTGAATATTGACTATAGCTGTGGCGACTTGTCCCATTCTCTTATCCACTTGTACGCCCTTCTTTTCTGCCAGATGGTGTAATTCTGTTTTCAACCTTTTCCATATATGCTCAGGGATCCGGACGTTGACGTACAAGGATATAAATTTGTATTGGACAGTATCACACTCTAATAATTGTCTGCAAGTGGTAAGGTTTACAAAATGTTTGGCCGGCAAGCATGATTGAGTTTTCAAACTCTGATAGTGTCGTCACTTACTTTCGGAATGCATCGCAAAGGGCAGCCATTAACTCTTGACGATGTATAGACACCGGTTCAGGGGTGATGGATACGGGTGTCTGATTAAACGAAGGCTGTAATTGGGGGGTATCTGGAGACGATGGTATAGAATATGTCTTTTTTCGAGCATCCTATAATGTCATTTTACGTCAATACAATATAAATTGAAGTAGGGGTAATGCTATTAGATGAAATGTGGCCAGACACACTTACCGTATCGTTCAATTGACCCGGGTGTTCCGTGGAGAGGCGCTTTGTTTCCTCTTGCTATGAAAAACGCCAGGCAAAACAAAACGTAATTTTAGTACCGACATAACCAAAAATACAAATGAGACAAGACTGATTATTCCCGGGAAGCACTTACAATGAAAAGTTCGCGTAGTTGCATCATGTATTTGAATAGACAGGTTCGATCTCTGATATCCCAATCATCTGATGCCACTTGATACACAGTAAACGCCGTTTCCAGCGGTGGTGGAAGAATAATGTCGGGAGGGAATTGCCAATCCACTGGATCAAATATGATCTGACCTAGAGAGACGCTCATATTGTTTAGCTATTGTTTGACAGTATACCGACGCTTTGCTAGCTGGTTTCTTACAGTCAATATTTTGTCCACAGTACTCTATACGGACGTTGAAGCGATCACAACCATGTTCAGGATCAAAAGAGGAATGACTTGTTTTAGAGGACGTTATGTTGATCCCATTCACGTTTTGTTGTTGAAGGTAGTCTGTTGATTCTCGTAGTAATGCGTATAACGGTGATGTTCGCATGGTAGTTTGAGCTTGTCTGGTGAAGAGAAGAGCTGAGTTAACTCCGATGGACTTCCTTTTTCCTGGCACACTTTGCATTTTTTCCCAATCATTTCGATATCTTGTTTTGTTTGAGGATGTTTTCCACTCCAAGTCCGTTTACAGCTTTTTACAATCCATGCTTTTCAATGAATAGTATACGTAAGTTGCTCTCATGGCTTTATTGGGTAGATTTTGACCACATTCTGGGTATTTAGGAGCTATTTGTTGAGATGTGGCCTAAATTGGCAGCCGGCGCTTTCCAGCAGTAAATATACGACATTGACGTTTCCTTACCGGATTCCTCCATTTTATGTTTCTGTTTTTCATGTTATTGTGTAAGTTTTTTGTTGTTTGTGAGTCTTTATTAAAGTTACGAGTGGCAACCGTCGCCTGAATTGGCGCGCAAAATAACTTGAGAATGACAACCTTGATTGTCGTTACCATGAGTAGGTTTCAAATTACTTTCAGAACCTGTTCATTGCTTAAAAAGTCATTCAGCAAATACACAATCTTGATTTGATCGATAAACATAATGGGAATTGCTCGACTTGATTGAGCTGATACCAAAACATCGTGGAGAACGGTAAAATCGGGGACCTTCGGGTCCGCACAGCCGATAGCAAATATTTATATTTTTCGCGGGCGAAAGTTTAGATCATAACATGTACGTGAGAATAGCGCTCGGCGAGAACCATCACTACACTTGGTCTGGATGATGTGTTATTGCGTCTAGTTCCAATAAGCCACCAGTCGACCAATGAATCAAGGGGTTAAACTGCATAATAAAGAACATAGTTTCAAAAATAACTTGCTTTGAATTTGAAAAGGAAACAGACAATTCCGATGTATTATGGTATACGGGGTTGTAGATCAGTGTCAAAGCGTAAGCAAAAAGGTAACTTTTCTGCCCCGAAGATGCAGTTAGGACGATCCTTTCGTATCGGTCATCGTTGTCTCGTGGATTATGATCCCCGAAAAGCAATTTATCTCATGTACAAAAAGTGGGGGCCTTGTCATGGTCAATATGTGAGTAACACCCATCGGTTCCATCAAAACAAGACGAGAAGGGTAAATCGATAACAAGGGCTACCGTAAGGATGCATTTCCTTTCCATATGATACTTATCGATATCCACAATTTACTGCCTAGAATAGTCCTTCCTACAAACTCCTACATTGAGGACCGTAAAAACAAATGTATGATGTTGCTCACCCCGATTTTCTTTGCCGTATTTATCATACTGGGCTAGTTCCACTAACTTAAAATCAACAAACTAAATGAAAAGATGGAATTTTTCATTTGAAATATCTGGCTTTATGGAGTGCTTTTGCGGGATAACGATGAGTTATTTAAAAATGATAATGAGACAGTATTGCCAGCTGGATTGGCTGATAAATAGCATGAATACCCAGCATAAGGAGAGAGAACGTTCTACTTGGGATACAATGGATGAGAGGAATGCAGGATTTTTGGGATTTTTGCTTTAGTTTCCTAGAGATGGAATGACTTTGTTTTCACTTGAATGGATTTGCGAAGGGATAGGATGAGTTGGATGAAAGGGTATTGGGCTTTTTAAAGGTTTTGAATTACGCAGAAAAAAACGAAGATAGGGTATGTACAATAACCGTGAACACCAGAGCCTAGGGCTTTGGCCCAAAAGCTGAGCTGATGGCGGCTATTACTTTAGTAAAGGGCAGTGACCTCTGAGGTGACCATATTTGCCACACCAGGAACTACGTAAGACTACGATTAGTTTTTCTTGTGATCGATCGTCATCAAACCATATCACAAACTTACCATTGTCCGCCGGAGAGATTAATATCCTTCACAGAGTCCTTTGGTCCTGAAGAAGTGGATGTCTTGCAGCACGATTTGGTCTTATTCAGAAAATTGGTAATGGCCATGTTTGAAAAATTTACGTAAAGAAAACTGAGGGTTTTCAAGTGTTGGACAAGGAGATGGTTTTCCTGGGTAGATGATATACGGAAGTGGTTCTCTCAAAGTTCGGGTTTATATATCTAATTTTTTTTTTTAAAGTTGGTAATTTGCAAAGACACAAAAAGGTAGGGCGATCTTTGCCACAAGGGAATGGCATTTCTCCAGTGAGCCACGGTTGCATCATCATCACCCCCAACATTTATTTTCTATATACCATTTTTTCTTCCTTCTCCAGAAATCGATAGTGCGAAAAGAAACTTTCAAACCTGCATCTAGACTTATCAACAAAAGCGCCTAAATTATTTTACGTTTTTCACTTCGTAGAGGTCATCTCAACAACAGTATCGATTGATCTGTCAAAAACGCAAATAATGATGTCGTGTAATGTTTCAGATCCAAAGATCAACTTTTGTGAGAAAAGCATCTATGTACATTAGTGTAAAAATGAAGAGGAGAGAGTTTCCGAGCAGATGTTGATATTTGGTGAGAGACACACATACATCACGCCGTGTAAATAATAATAATAAATAAAATCTATGGGCTTTTTACCTAGAGTACAAACCGCTTAAGGAAAATCCGATGGTAGGGCACAGACTGGACATATAATACCACGACAGTAGAAACAGCGCAAAGAGAAAGGGGTGAGGTTATAAAGACGTTAGAAACATCTGGGCGCACACGAAGCAGATATGTAGAGGCAGGAGCTGAGTTAGAGGCATTTTTTTTATTTTGGAGTGGGACTGGAAGTTAATACGGGAAGCAGGGCGGTTGCACGGTTCCGAGCACGACCTAAAAAAAAAAAAAGAGAAAGGAGAGGACGATCGCCCAAATCATCGCGAAACAACACCGACCATGGCTCAGATTAACTTGACGCTCCACAAAGCCATCACATACTCCATTGGAAGAAGCACCCCATCATATGAATGTTGACGGGCAGGGCCGACCAACATTCGAGCAAAAATGAAAAACATCCAAACTAAGGACTGCTAACGAAACCTTACAAAAATATGATACTTCATTTTAACAGTGACACTTACCTGTCCAGGGTTGCTAACTTGCCGTAGCTGTCATGACTATTTGAAAAGATATCTCTAGTCGGCCATATTGGTCATGACTTGGCTTGGCTTGTCCAGACCTTGCCCTGTCCTTGCCTCGCCTCGCCTCACCCTATCTTGTTCTGCCCAGCCGGAATCTCGGAACTACCATTGCTGTTTAGCGACATCTGTGCGAGATCGAGGACATGGGTTGCACATAGTGTGTGACATGCCAAAAGCGACTCTTTCTCTCCACTCCCTTTTTGTTCTATCACAAATTACTTGGACTCTAGTTTTTTTTTTTGGACAAGCCTAATGACTTTCTTAGCCATAAACCTCCTAAATAAACCCCAAGACATTTATGATAATGGTAGCAAAAATGATATTCCTTTGTATGCATGTGTTCACAAGATATGCCTGTCAGTGAAATGCGATTACAAATTTGGGTGGCTTTATTAGAACGTCTGTCATATCGAAGATATCGAATGGGGATGAAAAAGATCGGTCATACCAGTAGGCGACCGTGTGCAATCGATACATTCTTGTCTAATTTCAGCTTGCGTGGGATACAGTCAAATACCATATGGTTCTACACAAGGTAAACAGTCATTTTCTCATTCTTTTCAATTGGTGGTGGCGTGATGATATCGCATAGTCTATTTACCTTTGGGCCAGCGATGTTTATTGTCCCATCTCACCGAAAGAACCGTTACCAAATTGGATCCATTGCGCCGAAAGTCTTTTCGCAAGATGTCTCTAACTAGGAAAAAGGGCAGCCTATGTCACTTTTAATGACCATGTGTTAATCGGACGGGGCGGGTTGCTTTATTTTTTATTAAGTTGTGAGTGTGGGTGTACACGCGTTGCCTTTATAGTGCGCCATTGCATTTCATAATCGCATACATCTCGTTTAAATGGAACTTTCTGGGCTGCAGAGCGTATGATTGCTGAGCCATTTTACTAAGCTGAGCATTATCAAATGCCCTAATACGGCCATTTAATGCCATTATCACTTCATGCGTTATAGTGGATGGAAAGGTCATTAGGTGGATATCAGTCACGGTAAGGAATATCAAAGTGTACAATGAGATACATAGATGGGGATGAAGCGAATTGGGAAGTAAGGTTTTAGGAAGCTAGAATGATAGCAAACATAGCAACAAGAGCAGCAAGCAGTAGCGATGATCCTAGAATGACAGCTCCTCTACTGGCAGGAAATTGTCCCTTAATCATCGCATGTTGTGAATGAAAATATCGAGCGTTGGCAAAGTATAAAAAGGTTATACTAAATAAGACGAACGTTGCTCCAAAAGCTCTTCCAATTTGGCGAGCATTCGGTTGCGTTGAATTAAGTTGAAACAACTGTGTGATAGCTATTGGCACGGCAGGTTAGGAGTGTGAGAAGCTTGTACTACAAGTAACCATAATATTTGGGAACACACTGCTTACCAACGCCGACTGTGATCAGTGAAAGGGAAGTACGTACCCAAGCTAAGAATGTCCTTTCGTTCGCTGGGAACCACCGATTAGCCATGATTGCAAAAAAGACCGACAATCGATATCAGTCCGGCCCTCTGTGGGAATATGAGACTCACCTAAATGATCTCGAGCTACACTGGACTTATTCTCCAGAATTTTCGATGTTGAAACTTTAGCGTAACTATCGTACAAGCCATGCCAAATGGTACGGGTAGGTTTAGACTGTTGCTCTATGAACTTTTTGTGAGCATCATCTCGCTGCTGTTGAGTCAATGTGCGGAACAGTGATGGTGGCTCCCAAGCATTCGCTCGATGGGCATTCTCCTCTGAATTAAGGGTAGTATCTACTTCCAAGGGTTCCGGAGCCGATTCATTATGATTTCTATTCTTTATTGAATTTGACGGTTGTGATTCGCTATCGGTAGCTGCTTCTTCTGATCCACGCTGAATGTTTGACATTGGTAGGCAAGGGAAGGGGGCCCAAAACTCCGAATTTCGTTGATTCTTGGTACTGACGTGATACTCTTACCAAGCTCTGACTGAGCAGAAATTGAGCTACAATTTTTTCCACAGTATGTTTTTGTACCGCTTCCGTTTGAAACCCTTGCCTTTACCTTTACCTTTTCACAAACCACTTTTCGTACAAATTACCAAAATGTCTACCACCTCCACTGCTCAGGCAAATATTAGACAATGGGCCTCTAAGGATGGAGAGTTCCGTCGTCAAGTATCCTCGTTCCGTGATAGCGTTAGTAGAGACCCGAACGCGCAGTTTGCAGCAGAGCCGTATGTGTTTACAGCCGAAATTCTTACGGCATGGAATGTTTTGATGACTGAAAAACTGCTTATTATAGAAACCGTTATCACCTATACATCTCTTGGGCTTGTCCTTGGGTAAGTGGGATGCTAAGTCAGCGCTTTGTAAGGGCTGACCGAGCAATTTGGTTGTCCGCCGTAAGCTGCGAATATTGACTCTGTTTGCATAACAGGCTCACCGAACCGCCATCGTTCGACAGCTGAAGGGCTTAGATAAGATTATCGGCCTCTCTGTCGTGGACTTCTTGATGCTTGATAAGGGATGGTGAGTGTTGCTTAAGTTACTGCTCATGGATTTGACATTCAAAGGGGTTATTCCCACTGACCTTTTGTTTTCATGCAACGTGTACAGGAAATTTTCAACCAGTGAAGAGACCCCTGGCGCCATTCCTGATACTGTCAACAATGCCCAGTATATCCGCGAAGTTTACTTCAAGGCTAACCCGAACTATGATGCACGCTTTACTGTTCCTGTTCTGTGGGATAAGAAACTCAACACCATAGGTACGTCGTTGCTTTTGTATAATGAAGTGGCTAGTGTATACTTATAAAGTTTCATCGGTAGTCAACAATGAAAGCTCGGAAATCATCAGGATGTTCAACGAAGAATTCAATGATCTGATCGATAACGAAGAGCAGAAAAAACTGAACTACTATCCTGAGAATTTGAGAGGCGAAATCGATGAAATCAACGAATGGATTTATGACACCGTTAACAACGGTGTGTACAAATCTGGATTTGCAACCACTCAAGCTGCATGTAAGCATGGGATAAGGTGTGGTAAGACAACCCGCATGTCAAAGACTGACTTAGGTTTGTTCGTTTAGATGAGAGAAATGTTTATCCCCTTTTCGAGTCCTTGGACAGAATCGAGAAGATCCTATCTACGAATGAATGGTTGGTCGGTGGAGTTTTAACCGAAGCAGACATCAGACTGTGGACAACCATCGTGAGGTAATCGGGATTGCAGACGCATGCATCAGACTGTCAAAACGTCGCAGTTTATTAACGCACTTTCTGTCGTTAGATTTGATCCTGTGTACGTTGGTCACTTCAAGTGTAACCTCAAAACCATCGAAAAGGACTACCCGAACATCCTTCGCTGGGCTCGCCAACTTTACCAAATCCCTGGTGGTACGTAGCATATGTTTAGTATGTCAAAAGGGAGCACTGTCAAATAACACTCTTCACTTCTAGCTGCTAGCACTGTGCACATGGACCATATCAAAGGACATTATTACAGAAGTCACACTCAGATCAACCCCACCGGTGTCGTTCCCGTTAGCAATGGACCAGATTTATCAAAACCTATCATCAAATCCTAGATTTGGGCCATGCCGATCAACGACACACTTTTATCTTGTTATCGCGTACAATAAATAGTTATTGTGTTTTTATTTTGTCTTCCATATTTGAACCATGTCTATCGAGACAGGAAAATACACAAACACCACATTTTGCCTTGTAAGCATGTGCTTGTCAGATGAAGGTGGGTGGGTTGAGATTTGGATTATTTACAAATTTAGTATCCCTTTCGCTGTTGATTTTTCATTCGTCTTTCCTTTTGCTCAAATAGTTAGGAGGAGGTCGGAAACCGTGGGGACGGGGGTAGTTAAATCCTGGAGGCGGAGGTGGAGGAGGCCAAAGCATCGCCATAGGTCCATTCGCGGGGTTGCCCATTGGCAAAGGTCTCATTTGCGGTGGCATTCCTGCTGGTGGCCATGGTCCATTGTTATCATTTTCACGTTGACGTTTGGGTCCTCGAACCGGAGGATTACCAGAATCCAGCTCACGTTTAAGGCCTTGGGCCATGGGAGGGCGTCCAAACTTTGGACCTTTCGGTGCAGCAATGGCAGCTTGCTCCCCTACTGGCTCAAGCGCTTGAGGTGGTCGATATTCTACATCAGGTTCTTCTATAGTCACCCTATCTCGGAATGGTGAGCCTTGGAACCCTCCGTAATACCCCGTCTTCAGATAACCTTTTTCAATATCAGTGTACGCCGAGAGCGGTACAATTGCTTCCCCAAGTTCATAGTTGAAATACATCTTGGGTCCAAACCCAGATGCCCAATTGACTTTGACTGTGAGTTTGTCCAATTGAAATGTATTCATTGTGCTTTTTATATGATCTAAAGCCTGCCTTCGATCGAACTTTAAAAACGCATTGACCAAATTATTTCTTGTTTTATGTACCTGAAAATTGCATTGACATGTTAATAGACATTCTTATATTGATGTATATCGATCCAGGCACTTACTACTACGCTGGAGACGTTTCCGTATTCCGCGAATCGTTCGCGAATTTGCTGTTTGGTCATGGCGTCCGGTAGTGGGCCAACAAACAATGTCCTAGTAAGAACTGAGAGATGGGATGAGTTAGCATACACCGACGTATAGAAGAGAAACATGATGTATATAGATGATACTGTACCTCTGATGGAACCTTCTGGCAGTGAAGGATCATCAAATACAAGACTATTTCCAAATGAACGGGTTTCTGGCTCTGGTTCTGGGTTTGTCTGGGCTACTTTGAGCTTGGCGGGGTGATCGAGCAACGATATGGGTGGGTTTGGCGGGCCGGGCTTGGTGCTTGGATGTGGGGGGCGAATGGAGCCGTGGTAATTATTTGGAGGACCATAGGCGTTGGGTATGGCCATCGGGGGTGGTACTACTTGGTTCTGATATTGAAGGGGAGCAGCTACCTGAGTACGTTCATTCCAAGCGCCATCCTCATTTTGATATGGAGAGTGTGGGAAATGAGGATTGCCTGGTGACATGTAACTCTGAACGTTGTCCGTAGGCACAGGCTTATCATGAGATGGGGTAACAAAAGAAAGCGATGTATTGTCAGGAACATTGTTATGAGACACAGAAGGACTATTTTGTTTCAATGTATCAAGCAAATTTGCTAGAGCAGCAGGCAACTCCGGGCCTGTATTTGCAGTAATCTTCTTTGAGCCGGAATCATCATCTTCATCACCATAATCGAAATCATCAAAATTTCGGGGAGCATCTTTTTCGTTCAATGAAGGTTGTTGCATGATGGGAGCGGTAGTATTAGGGTATTGGCCTTTGGCTATGTTTGCAAGAGTAGCTAATAGGGCGGTTGTATCATTCGTTGGAGCTGCATGTGAACATGAATGTTTTAGTTTGGTGCCAGCGTCAAGGCAAGAGAAAGAAAAAAAGTATGCACCTGTTGGCTGTAAGTCAGGCTGTGGAATATTGCGACCATCTCTCTTAGGTGATGATACAGCAGACAATCCTTTTGACAAGAAGTTCACAACCTTTTGCGAAAATATTCCGCTTCTACCCCAAATGTCGACCGTCTTTATCAGCTTCCCCTGTTATCAAATAATATCGCAAAGCAAAAGGATGCTAAAATCAGTATGTTTGAAGGAAAGAGAGAGAAATATTTGGCAACATGATTTTATATGAACGTTTTTTTGAAGTAATCCGCCTGTGTGCTGTCGAGCAAAACAACACGTTCGTTGTGTACCATCTGCCACCATGTCTACACTATCGCTTAAACAACACTTTGCATTGATAATGCCTACCTTATCCTTGTCGGAACAATTGTGAAAGATCCCGGTTGGATCAATACTATTAAACATGGCTTCGAATCTCTCTAGTATTTGTTTCGACGTCATTCCTTCTTCAGATTCACCTTTTTTCCTCCAAGTTGCGTGTGCACTTCTAGCAATGGCGTCAATAACATACATTCCCGCTAACTTGTAATCAAAAGACGAATTTCGTAGGAATCGTTCAATAGACTTGACAAAATCGTCGTATTGCTGTTACCGTGCAACGTAAATCAGCCACTGAGCTCATTAAAGGAGTCGTTCAATGTTGAAGGGGCCGTAATGCCTTACCTTTGGATGGGTCATAGCCTTATTCTTGAGTCCCTTGATCTTAGATTCTGATATAGGAAGCTTTGCCTCCATGAGTGCTTGCATGTCCTGCTCAAACTTGGCGGGTTCCCACGTCTCTGCCATGATGATGGAAAAGAATGAAATGGTAAATCTTTCGAAAGAGTCGTGACGGTTTCTTTTTTGTATGAAAATTAACCTGTAAAAAAATTAAACACCATAGCTTTAAACTTGACAATTTAACATTCAGCTGAAGTCATTCTAATGTCTGCTATCAAGACAGAGCCGGATATGGACATCCGCATGTCAAATGGTCTTGCCTCATCCTCTAACATAGTCGTGCCTGCGGGATTGAGTGAGACCGAGAAACAAGTGTACATAACCGCAGCCGAATATCCAGCTGTAAGTACCCTCCGGTCGATTCCTCAATGTAAACACGAAAAGAACTGACCATAGTTGCAATAGGGTGTCTCTGTTGGCGATGTTACCATCAAAATTGGCTCTATCCCAGCGAAAGATGTCATGGATGGTATTAACTCGTTATCCAAAAAGGTGGGTCTTTATTGATTTACTCTTCGAGCTCAACATTGGAACCCATATGCTAAACCGAAATTTAGAGCCTTTTAGAGTTTCAAATGATGGGAGATACACCATACGTCCGGGTTGTCCAGATGAAAGATTATGCTAAGTAAGTGTAGTAGATGAGATCTATGAAGACATGCGACCGATCATGGCCTAAACAACTCTCCATTTTGCTGTGTACAGAACCAGCGGGTTAGACAGTGAATCCAAGTTGATATACAGTCACATCAAAGAGGCCGGGAATGAGGGCATATGGACCAAGGATTTGAAGAAGCACACCAATTTACATCTTAACGTGGTCAATCGTTGCCTGAAAGTACTAGAGCAAAAGCAGCTTGTAAAAGCAGTCAAGCACGTCAAGGTAAATACAGCTTGGGATTTGTAACAATATGCCATGGATATGGGCCATTTTACTCACAAAGGTAACAGTGGCCGACGCGTAGATTTTATATGTTGTATGAACTTACTCCATCCAGCGAAGTCACTGGTGGAGCTTGGTACACTGATCAAGAGCTGGATACGGATTTCATCGATACTCTGGCCTCTGCATGCTACAAATATATATATTCCAGGGTACGTACCAACATGATTGCTGTATGAGACTTAGAAAAACCAGTACATCCACTTACTTTGCAATTGCAGAGTTTCCCAAGAGGTGATAGGAATGTCATATTTAAGGCAGATTACGGTCACTACCCATCAGCAGCCGAGGTCAAGCGATTCATACATGAAAAGAGAATTTCATCTGTCGAATTATCAACTACAGATATAATCTGTCTTTTGGACTTATTGATACACGACGATATGATTGAAAAGAAAATGCCATTTGCAGGCTTCATGGATGATGAGGGCGATTCCGACATGGAGAATGATAGTGGTGGTGTTGAATGGGTATACAAGGCTATTAACAGGAACGTTACTTCTACCACAGCCAGTGATGGTGGAATTGATGCTCTATCTGAAGTCCCTTGTGGAAAATGTCCAGTAAGTCTTCTGAATTCTATGGCTAATATTGCTTGATGCCGTCCATGTCTGATCAACCAAATTGTGCTTTATAGGTTTTCAAATTCTGCACTGCAGACGGTCCCATCTCTCCATCCAATTGCGAGTACTTCAACAAATGGCTCAACTTTTAGTTGTTTCTACAAGTCCCTCCCCATAATGTATATAATAGGTGCTATGATGAAATAAATGCTTTGAAAAATTTGCATACACTATTTACCCATCAACATAATAATACGAGAATGGATGGAATAGCAGCCAGGTTCGTAAGCATATTCGAGTCTTTTCAAACATCGAGCATGTGCAGTGTATGGACAAATATCTGAATTTAATATATGGAGGAAAAGCAATAAATTACAATGGATCTAGTTGGCTGTCTACAATATTTAGTGTTCAAATTCGTAGTGTGGGGAGTGGTCAGTTTCAATAAATTGCATTCTTGACTCTTTGGCCCCATACGCTGTAGGCGTGACCTCAATCAAGGTGTTTCTAGGAATGGGAATTCGAGGGATTTCATCTTCGGTCCTGTCAAAGAGATAAGCATATAGACATCTCAATACTGAATCGTGAGCGATGATCAAAACATCATTCTTTTCTCGTTCTAATTCCATAATGACTGATTCCAGGCGAACAGCTAAATCATGGTAAGACTGTATGGTTGTTGTCAGAATCACCAATATCATCGTCCATTGATTGTTCTTATATAATTGCCTACCTCAGCTCGAGGAAATCTGTGAGTGTATGGCTCCTTCTGAGCTTTGACAATCTCGTCAGGGAATTTCTCCTGCATCAAAATGTCAGATCGAAGGTAAAACACCAGCTTTTCAAAGCATTCACTTATTTACCTTGATTTCTTCAGGTGTCAATCCATCACATTCTCCAGGGTTTATCTGAGTTAAAGTAGTCTGTTGCCGGATAATGATTCCTTCTTCTGCAAAATGTAGCGCTGTTTGCTTTGAGCGTTTCCTTGCAGACGTCCATACCTTGAAAGCAATATTCTGTCAGCATCATCTGACATATGGTCTCCTTTAACAACCTCGTCTGACATTACATTCAATGGCCGTTTGTCTTCTTCTTTAGCATTAATTTGCCGCTGTCGAGCACGGTATGAAAGTAGGAAATCTTTGAGCGCTTCAGCGTATTCATGACCTTCTGGAGCCAAATCGGGATCTTCCTTATATCGCATGTCATTCATTGAAGGTCCAGGCTACGGGTATCGATTGACTTAGTCATATGTAGCACCACAGCTTGCAAAGATGCATACTTACCCTTGCAAAATAAATAGTCCTTGGTTGGATGTGCAAGTTCATCAGATAGAATACTAATCTAGACTATATGGAATTTTAGCAAATGTGTTGTTACTCACATTGATCGATGAGTCGTTTGATGCTAACCTGTAAATATCCATGAACATTGTTGACGATGATTTGCTCTCCAACATTCATCAGCTTGACAAACGGTTGGCTAAGGTCAGTCATTGTTTCGTACGTGGCCATATGTTGTTCGATTCGTTGCTATAATCAATTATGAATAAGAAAAATAATATCACACGTTTGCCTTTCCAGCCCACACGTACCTCAAAATCTTTAACAGCCTGTTCTGGATCCCAGCCAATATACTGCAAGGGTAGAATATATGTAAATAAACATGTTTCTGAATTTGTGTGTTATTAGGTACATTTGAGAGGCATACGTACATCTGGTGACGATATTTTCACACTTCTTATGTTGGCTTGGATAACTTCTGGCTTGTTACAGATAGATTCTAGAAATGAAAGAAGGTCAGTGTTGTAATACGCTTAAACAACGGCTGTCCGACGAATACGTAATGTAATGTCCATTACCGATAAATACAGGATGAATCTGCTCTTCATTGAGGCGATCAAAAATGTATTGTCTCCTTTCTGCGCTCTCACTATTTGCGTCATACACCGCTACCTGACCGCCATCCACTGTAATCCACTTGATGAGGTCTTCAAGGCAGTCGTTGGCAATCTTAATTCTGTCCGCTTTGGCAGACTTGTTATTTGGATCGAACCAGGAGTTGGGCATGCTTCCAAGTCGGTCTCTGCGGTAGTTACCAACGCTGAACACCTTGGTAGTTACACCTAGCCAACGCATGTACCGACATAGCGATCGAGCGACGTGAGTTTTCCCTCTTGCTGGCAATCTACACAATTTCAAAGAGGAAATATTTAGTATTAGGCTTCATAAGAGCAACTCATATATTTCATCCCTACCCAACCGTCACTATGGCTATGGCGCCAGCGTGGAAGAGTCTTCCTGAGTCTGTTTTGTATAACTGAGCGGCCATGGAGGATGTTACTAGTGCGTTTGTCCGCGCATGCATGTGGTAATGCCGACGAATGTGACGAGCTTATGTGACTGCCTTTCGGTTCTTGACCAGGTGCGTGCGTTTGGCCAAAACCCATCGTGGTTATAGGGAACTCTTGAAGACATTGACGTTTACCAACCATGACATGGTAATACGTTACTTGTTAATTTGATAATAATATATTCTCTGCCATCTCGTTTGCGACCAATAAACGCGTAATTCACGAGAGGTAACATACTGCATATCCGAAAAATCTCATGATAAATCATTGGAGCATGGCTAATCTCTATTTAGATTACAAAATCTAAAAACCTTTACTTCTTTACGCGTTACTCTTCTGCAACTAGAAGGCATTAGCTATCTCCTGTGACCCTAAGATCTGATATCAAAGTGCGGAAATTCAAATTTCAAATCTGATAAAAAATTTGGGACAAAACAGCTTTCTCCCCAGGTTACTTTTGCTGACAGCTTCGGGGTCCTTCATCTTCAGCAATGTCAACCATAGCCTCTAATGCGAGGGATTTTTTGACATTGCAGTACAATGATGATTATGCTCAAGCGATAATAGAACATATTCTCACTGGTATGTCAAAAATAGCTTAGTCACCAACTATATGGGCCTTTGTTAACTCGGTCACATATTATACTTGGTAGACTGGAACGACGAAACTATCAGCAGTATCGTCGATGAACTCAATAAAGTAGACAGCTCAGATTCGACAATAGGAAGAAAAGGTCAGCTATTAACACATTTGCATATAAATTGTCCATAAATGCTTCGTATTGATGAACAAGCATCAGTTGTGTATCTCGTAAACGAAATGATATCTCGGTATGAAGAGTTGAATATCCCTAATACTAGAACAGGTTCGTGCAACTTTTTTTATGCTATTATGAAACGCGTACTCATGATCATAATTGTAGTGTTTATGCTGAGCGCCACATGTTGCCGTCTTTTACAACACCAACGACTATTGTCAGATTCTTTGCAAGCGCTTCACACATTATGTACTTGCGGGTCAATGAACGACGAGACAGCTTTACTGATTATCAAAAGGCATGCATTAGTAAACTTTGAGATCTTGATATGGATTGTCAACGCTAACTTGCAGTTCTAGTGTATTGTTTGAGCTTCCTGTACAGAAGGAGACTCAGCCTCAGCGTCAGTCAATATTCGGGATTACACTGACACTGTTACAAAACAACACAGAAGGTAAGTATCCTTTCTTGCCGGTTTTTGGAGAGATGTTACAGCGACCTGACACTCAGAAATTTGACTTTGAAGCTCTTGTGTCTCAAAGTGATGAATTAATACCACAGTTTATACAAGCCATGGATGGCGAAAAAGACCCACGTAATTTATTAATCGCATTCAAAATATTCAAATTGATGACAAGAGTATTGGATATCTCAAAATACATCGAAGACTTATTCGAGCTGCTATGGTGCTACTTCCCAATCACATTCAAACCTCCACCAGGCGACCCGTATGCCATCACCTCGGAAGAGCTCAAACAACACCTACGAGAATGTATTGCCGCCACACCTTATTTTGCGAAATTCGCTATGCCATCTCTACAAGAGAAGCTTGAAAATCCATCAGATGTTGTCAAGGTAATGTGACACTCTTTTTACAGGCGCCTATATATTACTCCAGTTAAAATGAAAAATATGATGAGCTAAAGAAACAACTACTGTAACAGAAAGAAGCAATTGCAACGATCACAGTGTGCGCACCTGTATATGGTGCGCATGCCCTACTTCCAGGAATAACGGAAATATTGAGCGTTCTTTCTACTCAAATATTCTATGCAAAGGATAATGCCATGCAGTCACTGGCTCTCAGCGGCATACATGTTATTACAGCTACACTAGCCACTGGAATTAGTATAGCTGCCATATCGGATCCGATTCAACGATCACTTGACCCTTTAATTGACGAATGCATAATGGCCATGAAGCAGCCTGAGCATAAAAATGCTAGATCTGCCATCGCTCTTTTGCGCTCAGCAGCATCTGCTTCTGGTAAATACCTTGACCAAAACACTGTGTATAATCTTGTTTTCTGATTTTCGCTCAATCTCTTTAAATCACTGTCAGATCCTGCGTGTACATCCATCGTTGAGAGAGCAGTCCCATCCTTACTGTCATCATACCGGAACGCTTACAACGATAGCGAGCGAATTGCTGTGTTGGAATTGATTATCGAAATTATGGAAGCCAGTAGAACTCTTTATGGTTCAATGGATGGCCAAAAAGGTCAGAGATGACTTGTACTGTGATGAAACCTTGATTACGCATTGCTAAACTTTCTTGTGCAGTTGACCGTGACTTCATGACACCTCTTCTATCTTTCAAAGAACCACTTCTAGACCTTTATTCAAATGCTGCTGAATCAACAACCGATTTGTTGCAATATAAAGGCTGCCATGGCTTGTACGTTATGGTCGCTTCCAGACACTTTCTCAACGAAGGACAGGTAAGTTGTTTCTCAGTTACCTGTCGCCGGATTGGCATAGTATTAACACTTTGGAAATGACAGACATCAGGCGTGGTCAAAATTCTTACCAAAATATCTTGCGATAGCCATTTGAGCTTATTGCGGTATGTCACTGGAAATGAACATTGAACGATAAGTCAATTACTGACATTCATCATATATTATCAGAGAGAATGCTTTAGCTTCCTTGAGGAAAATAGGCTTATTTTGCCCAAGTTCCGTGATTAATATTGCCATCCCTTTACTTCTTTCAAGACTGCAATTCAAAGATCAAAAGCAAGACATCTTGGGATTGTTAAGTCAATTGGGGGGTGTTCCCGCCATCTACGATGTGATCATACCAACACTATCAGAAGAGTTTATGCAAGCATGCGTTCAAGATCAAAAATATGCAGATTTTGTTATGAAAAAAATCGTTCAGGCTACTGAGGCAGGATTACAGAACAAAAAGGAACTAGGAGAAGAGCACCAATGGGCTGAAATGATCAGGAAAATTCTTTTATCTACTGTTCATTGTTGTCAAAATGAAGCTCCTTTATCCGCCAATACCTTGGACCTTCTTGCTTACTGGGTGGCTAATGTTGTTCGAAAGCTAAGTTCGAGGTTAGTGCTGTTGTTATAGGATGCTTGGTGTTCCCACAATACGACTGAGCCTTCATGATTTAGCACGCAAGTCATTCTGGCCCAATTAGCATTTGATATCTACATTGGAAACCTTTCTGCGCAAGAAGGTTCAGTCACCTCACAGCAGCATGTGAATGTTCTAGCATCTAACACAAGCGATGATGTTTCTTCACTATCCGTCGTTTTCGTTGCTATTGTATGCAATTGTCGCAAAGAGGTCATGAGCCAACATATCACGTCGATGAAAATACCACTGAGTTGGATTCGTGCTGGCATAGAGTCAACTCATGCTGTGCGACTAACGTCATGCGCACAACTTGCAGCAGTATATGCAAACCAATGGACGAAGGGTAATGCGCCTTAATATAACACAATGATGGAATATTAAAAAACGATACCGTTATACTGACAATTTTTAGATGCGAGTACCTTGAACCAATTTTTGAATGAAGCACTCATAACGTATATTCAGCCAGCATTGAATGATGTAGCGTCAAGAGATCAACGGAAAAACGCAGTTGTAGTCTTAGCCTGGGTAAGTATGTTTACAGAAGGTCGAGTATCTCCAATGGAATCTTTCACTAAACTTTAATCAGCTTACCAAGGCTATGGTCATAACCGGGAAGCCTGCACTATCGTTCGATCATATCATCAATGCCCTGCAAAATGAAGATATTGGACACGAAGCAGCTATCGCCTTCAAAGTGATTGCTGGAGAAAGTGATATTCTACTAAACAAGCAATCTTTTGCTAAATATTCTGTAAGAATGCCTTCCTTCATGAAGTTGTATCAGCTTAGAGGCAACGTAGCGCTGATACTTTATCTGCAGATATTGTATAAACAACGTCTATACAACACTGTCATTCATGGACTCATCAAAGGCATCAATGAACAATCTTCTGACAGTAAGTCTGGGCCGAAAAATTATTATAATCTGTCTCTCTAAGATAATTAACCCGAACGTTATATAATGGCAGTAATACAACAAAATCATCTCATCGCACTGTGCCATATTCTTGGAAATGTACCAAAACAAGTATACATAGCTAATCTTACAACTGTAATTACCACTCTCTCATCGTTGACGGTGAAATATTGAGCTTACATGTTACTAACCTTTCTTTGATCTAGTTATTCCCATTCTTGGTGCAGTCCTTGCGAATACCGCAAACCTTTGTGAAATTGACCGCCATACACCTTGTCGTACTGACGCTGGACCAATTACCACTGGTGGTAAAACAGCACATTCAGTCTATCATACCTTCTCTACTAGAGCTATGCCGCACCTATCCAGGCAATACCATCGCTGTCCGAGTAGATGCACTTGACTGTTTAGGAAGGTTAACGGATGGATTGCAGGCTCCAGTTTTAATGCCTTTTACAAGTACTGTCATCAAATCACTGTCCTATGTCGTAGATGATCGAAAGAGAGTGGTACGCCAAGCGGCAGTAGATTGCAGAGCATTATGGTAAGTTGAGCTAACAGTTGGTTTTAAAAATAGAGCAATGTGGGAGCCATTAACACCGTCATGTATTGCTAGGTACGCCATTGGTCAAAAATAGGCGTCACCTTGCGCAAAGGGCGATCCGTACTTTTGAGATGTTTTCATAGTTATCCACTCCAGCTTTCTTATTTCTTTTACGTTGTATAAAGTATTCACCGACCGGTTCCCACATCGTAATCATTCATGATACGCAAATTGCTTATGTGTACAATTCTCGCCACCCTACGCGCGCTCATCACTATGTTTTGCTATAATCATTCGGTGATGACATTGAAAATTTGGTATTTACAGAAAAACATAGGCAGTAAAGCTAAAGAAAGAAAGAAAGGGCAAGTTGCATGCACTGTTGGCATAAATACGACATGAAAAATATCAAAGAAAGACAATAAGACAGTTAGCCTAGAAACGTAAATACTCAAATTATGACAAATTCTAAGCTGGCTGTAGAGAGGGATGACTTGTGCATCAAACATGAAACGTTAGGGTAGCATGTCAACAGCCCAGCTATAAGCACACAATGGCTGACGATTCTTTCGCGGCATCAAGTGAAGTGTTGAAAAATATGGAAATGCAAAAATGTATAGACCAGTTTAGGGAGAGAGAGAGGGTGAACAGGTTGGGCGAGCGATTTAACGGTTATTGAGCTTATAGTCAATCACTTTTTGCAGGTCATCTTCTGTGATAGATTCACTGCAAGTTGCCTTTTTCTTCATCTCAGAGCAAAGGTCGTCGATTTCCAACTCTTCAAATTGAGGATGTTGCTGTATCATCTCCCAGGCTTGTACCGGTGTGAGGAGGGGTCCCTTGTTCTTCAAAACTGGCTCTTGATGAAGATTCTGAAGATCCCCAATATCAAAGAATTCTGTTCCTCGGAATTCTTCTTCCTTTGGAGTCATAATAGGGGCGAAAGAGCTATAATCTTCAAATTCATTTTCAAACAATGGTGGCATAAGTGTTTCTGAAAAGGTTGTGTTTTCAATGACGTTGGATGGGGTTCGATATTGGTTAAACAAACTTGAGTTTGAAATATCGTCACTGCTCATATGAGGGGCATGATTAGCCATGAAGCGATCTGCTGCTGTAGTATCGAAAGCGGCAGTGTTATCAAAGAAACTGTCGAGGTTCCCAGCCGACAAATCACCGAAGCTTGTTAAACCATTATTGCTCGAATATCCAGTGGCATCGGTCAGTACATCAGAGGCTGGAGTGGTTTCAGCCGATTTGTTAGTGTGAGGAGAGTTGGTCAATCCAGAAGGAGAGGATGGTTCGCTGCCACTATCATCATGTGCAGATGACGGAGGAGTCCAGGCTTCTGTAGACGGAACAATGCCATCTTGTCGAAGCAGGGTCGAAGGTTGAACACCAGCATCTGGCACAAGGGCAGACGCGTTCTTGTTGAGGTTTGCTTTGGAAATGGGAAAATCGAACGTGAAGGCAGTGCCTTTAAGCAAGTAATTTTCTGCCTCCAATTTTTGGACTAATTCTTTCAGTTGCTGGTTTTCTTTTTCCAGAGTTACAGAAGTATCGGCTTGCGGATTCTGTTGCGAAGCCTCGAGCTCAGCAATACGGTCTTCCAGTTCTTTGACGTACTTTTCCTTCCTTTCGCGAAAAGCTCGTTGAGCAGCTCGATTTTGCGCCTTGCGCTTTTGCTTGGGGTCGACCGAGGAAGGCTAGGCGTCAGAACAAAGGCCGATATCGGTATTTGAAATTAGAAATAGAAAAAAAAAGCGGTATTATTACGCACTCCAAAATTTCAAAAGCTTACAGTGGGAGTGTTAGCCATCGGCTTTCTTCCAGGCTTTCGAGGGCGCTCATTATCATCGTCCTCTGTAGTCGTGAGTAGAAAAAATAGTCAGAATGGTTGGTTGATGCGGCTAAGAGCGTTCATTCAAAGCCTCATATAACATCATATGACCTACCATCGTAGCTGTCTTGGTAAGCGGCGGTATCTACATTGAGTAGACAAACGGGTTTAGTACTTTGTCAAGGACTTCTTGACATTTGAATCAAACGCCTTACGGGTGTGCTTACTGGCAGGTGACCTTCCGTTTGAATCAACTTGGTCGAATTTACGCTTGTCGTGGTCGTCATAACCTGGGCTGATAGGTTGCTCTTCCGGGCTGGCACTAGAGCTAAAGCCATCACTCAAATCCCCATCGTGAATGGTAAAGGGAGCATTTTTCAGTAAAGGGGCTGCCATTGGGACGATGAATGAAAAAGGATGCCGCAAATGTTTTAAATGAAAACTTCAAGAAGTAGAAAAAAAGAAAAGAAAGCAGGTGGAAAGAAAAAGAATGGAGCGGTCCGAAATTGTAAAACCCGTCAGCCAGGAGCAGCTATTGGACGAGACAAATTTCAGAGTCCTTCCTCTACTTACACCTTGAAACCAAACGTCTAAATCCCAAACATCTGTCTACCTGCCATGGACAGCGTGCTCAATTGGGATGAGGCCAGGGTTTGCAAATGGCTCTCTTCTGTCGGGTACACCGGTTATGAGAAGAAATTTCAAGGTGAATTGGATCATCCATCTCGCTCACCACCCCCCACCTTTACTTATATCTTTTAATAGAAAATGGCATAACAGGCGACGTGCTCGTGAATTTGGATAGCGAGGCCCTGAGAGATCTTTCAATACAATCTGCAGGCACCAGAACTGCCCTCCTCAAGAATATTTATCATCTTAAAGTACAGCACCGAGTGCCAATCAATGATTGGGACTACATCCCGCCAAGTACGTAACACTCGTTTTCCCACAATTGCTTGTATAGGTTTTCATAACTAACTGGCGTATGTATAATCTTCAACCCATCAATTAGCCATTACTTATGATAATGTATGATTATTTCTATCGATTCCGGCAGCGGATGGATTCGTGACTTAAACTTTTATATTTTTCAGGAATGGCTAGGTCATAACGGTATGTTGGATTATCGAAAGATAGAGGCTGCATTTCAGGAAAGAGGTAAGAGATCATATTGAAATATTGATCTTCTGAAGATCGTTTGGCTGATCGATTTGCTTTTTTTATTAGATGCAACAGTGAAACATCTGTCGGACGAATTATCCAAAATGAACAATGATATGGCTCGGTTAAGAGATGAGATGATGAGTATGTGGAAGGTTATTAAAGATAAGAAGGTATATCAATGCGGCATTAAGTATGTGCAATTAGCGTACCGGTTTTACCTGATAAGCTAACGTTGCGCATCCCACGATCAGCCTTTGCCTGTGCCAGAATTTGAAAAGGCAAGGTCACCACAGTCAAAATACCCAAATCAGTGGTCACCGCATAATACGCGAGGAGGCCAATATGAATTGAGCCAAGAGCAAGTGAATTCACCGAATTCTCCTTTGGAGGCATCAAACTCGGCCAGAAAGATGTATCAACACGATGGGTATAATCTAGACGATGTAAGAACCAATGCGAAACACTGTTATATCGTCATGACTGACTGCGAACTAACACATTACTATGACCTGACTTTTTTTTTCTTCTTCCCAAATTTATCTAGTTCAATAGAGGTCAACAACCAGTAACAGTCAACGATGGTGGGGCTATCAAGGTCTACGGTGGCCGAATTGCTAACAACTCCAAAATAGAACTGGAAGCATCTAAAAATGTTCGATTGCTGCTAGACGACCCATGCTCGAAAGTAATTCCGGTGGCGCTACGAAAGTACAACGTAACAGATGATTGGTACAATTATGCGTTGTGTATACAATGGGGAACAGAAGATAATCTCCAAGGTTTGTGACATTTAAAACTGGTTGAGTACTATCAATTCTGTCCTTATTAACAGTTTCTCGATACTTTAGAGCGTGTACTTAGTTACGACGAGAAACCGCTTAGAGTTCTTCAAAAATTGAAGGATCAAAAGCAGAATCCAATGTTTACACTGAAGCACATCAAAGATTCCAAGCCATTGACGCCTCCTGGTGATAGTAATTCGTCTTTGCTTACCAGCCCCAATTTATCACCACCACCGGGGGTTTTGGGAAGGTCGCAATCATACAAGGCAGCAACAAGCATGTCTAATCCCAACTCGTTCTCTCCTTCTCGAGCAGTACCAAAGCCCACTACATCTCTGTCATCTAGTCTACATCAACACAAAGATCTTCCAACTTCACCGCAAGAATCCTCTATGAATACTGCAGCTGGCTCTGCAATGAGCCAGTCGTCTTCAGCGGCATCAACTTTACGTTCTCTGATGAATCCATTGGCTAAATCCAACAATAAGATGGCACCGCAGATACATACGACTAATGCCGATAATAACTCGCGATCAGGAGGATCTGGAACCCTTCTTGCAGGCAAAGCGGGTTTTGATACGCCGGTGTTGGCACCATCCATTTCTGCACCTACTGCTTCTTCATCCACCAATAGTAAAACTCAATCTCCAAGCAAACCAGAACATTTTCTAGGTGACCTCGGGCTAGAATCTGGCATGGCAGATGTTATATATTCCTATATGATGAACCGTTCGGATAGTAGCAGCAAGGACAGCAGCAAAGGAAATGAAGATGACATGTAATTTTTAGCCACCCCCACTCACTTCATTCATACCTCTCTATTAAAAAAAAATTCAGACAAAAATTTTCCCATTGTTCGCCGGCTTTGATAGTTATTTTTTCCTAATGGCAGACGACGATGCATTCGGTGCTGCTTTTGACGACGACATCTTTCTCTCAGAGAAAGTGAGGAACCCTATTGAATCCTTACAAGAGCAGAAAGCAAAATACACTGCCAAACACGATGATCATGGCGTAAGTCCTGTTGCTAGCGTTTACCCGGACTCATGTAAATGCATTCAGCTAATAAGTTGAACGTAGTGGTTCCATTCTGGAGATTCAGTGGCACATTTGATGCAAACAAAATTAGGACCAAATCAAATTAAAATGTCCATCGAGCACGATTATCTGCACAAAAACTACCAGCGAGCTTTGCAGTCGGCTCTAGCCTACATAGCTGCTGTTGAAGATGATTCGATCGATTGCAAGATCACTAATCCCAAGGAGATCGTGGAAGCTGCTGCACTGAGTGCTTGGAAACTTGGAGATATGAAAACTGCCGTGGAGTGTGCGGATAAACTGGTAGGTGTTGGATTATCCCTCGCTTAACAACTGTCGATCCTGTCTAATGTCGCTTTAGAACTCAAGGGAACTAGGTTCGCTGCAAACCAGAGGCATCGTCTACATGCATGGTGAGCGGTACACCGATGCTATATCATGCTTTGTCGAATACAACAAAAATCGACACCTTGACTATAAACCGTGGAGGTAATGTACCAGGTACAGCTCCACATCAATATAACAGGGAAATTGGTTCTGATGTGATCTCAACTTACAGGTATATGGCTTCAACATTTTTGAAATGTTTTAATGAGGAGCCAAAGGCGAGTGATGAACTTGTGTTGCATGTTGCTCATGCTAGTGTTCAACGAGCATTGCGTATTTTGAGCTCAAGTCGATGGCCAACGGCAGATTTCGCGCAAAAGCGGTGTCAGGCTGAGTACGACGACATACAAGCTTTGCAGCAAACCATTGTAAACCTTGGAGGAGCAGCTCAAGACTACTTTGCTTACATGTCGACTCATGGCGACGTGGCTCCGGCATCACTTCAAAGTTTCAATTGGGAAGATATTATATGGATCAACGAAGAATGCAAGAGAATCGCAGGCAACAAGGACGTGCAAGAGGAAGAACCCAAAAGTGTACGAGAGCTTTAGCTACGGAATTGTTGAATCGGATTGCTGTTTTCTTTTACTGTCACGCTGTAACATCCATCAAATTTCATTACATCGAGACCGCCCCACTGCTCGAATTTTTGTACAATTTTATTGTAAGCATACTAAAATATACCATTAGAAAGACGTCTGCGCATTTAGTGAGTTGTCTAGCCGCCGATTGTCATCCTTTCGTTGCATCGTTCAACTCAATAGAATAAATACACTTTGTCATAGAGTTACATATCCTGTGACAAGCACAAATGGTAAAGGCTCAGGAAGGTCATTGTTTACACTTTCAGATCTCGTCGCTGACGCAAACTCCATACAGCAAGATCATATAATACTAGGTTTTCAGTATTTTAATAATCATTAATACGGCGTTACGGACCGTTTACTATCAGAATCAGCATTTACAACAAAGAGCTCTTTACGTGGCATAAAGTAACTATTGCCTACATCGACTCCACGGAAATCTTCAGGGGCTTCGAAGATGTTACTTATGTTGTTGACGCTATATCTTTGATTGTTGTACATTGTACCTGGATGGGACAGCAAGGACGCTCGATTGTGTCGGGCATAGCTGCTGACCATGGTTGGTGGGCGTGTATATTGGTTTGGATGCCAGCTGTAGCGTTGCGTATTCGTTGAATCTCGTCCTGAAAATATCATGGAGAAGCGGTTTTGTGGTGGGGTGGTATCGTTGTCTGAAATGTCAGATGGCGCAGGTGAGGGATTGTGTCGGTTGAAATGGCTGGGAGGATTACTACTATTTCGTCTATCTTTGCGTCGTCTGTAGAATACGACTATCAATGCTCCAACAGCAGCTACTCCAGCGATACTTCCGATGGTGACGCCAGCTGTTGTACCTGGTGAAGGCGATGATGGAGGTGGTGATGATATATCAGAGACAGTTGTTGCGCTTGCTGTAGAAGAGGTACTGGAAGTTGTCGTGTCTACGGGGCTCGGACTAGTAGGACCCGGTGCCACCGACGTGACAGGTTGATAACTCTTAACCCAAGCAAACTTTTTGAGATCGTAAATATAAATATTCGAATCGCCGGTTTCTTTGGCGGTAAAACCTGTGGTTGCAAGGATAATTAGCCCATTTTTCATTGTCAAATACGATGATTGATTCCTATGTGACTTTACCAAAGGCAATGATTATAAAATTATCTGTCATGGGGGCAGGTCCGATGAGTGAATGCAAGAGCGATACGAAAAATGTGAGTGAATTATACCTATGAGTGTAGCCGTATGAGCATAGCGACCAGCGGGTGGACTAGGGTTGGGAGGCGTTTGCCATATACACGAATCAAAGGTCGTACAATTCAAGATGGCAATATCAGACATGAAGGACGTGTACTGCTTGTTGGTGCCTCCGTGTATGAGGAGGCTGTTACCGTCAGGTAAAGCTGTCGCAGCATGATCTCGACGTGACGCTGGTATACTACCGGTCGCTTTGGTATATGACCATTGTAATGAGTTGGTGTCAAATGTATAGATATCCGTCATATTAACGGTATTATTGCCGTCAAATCCACCTACTACGACCATGCGACCGTCCGCCAGTAGTGTGGTAGTGTGGTGGTAGCGAGGAGAAGGAGTGAATGTTTGGTTAGGAAGTTGTTGCCATTGCATAGCTATGGTGTCTAAAGACCAAAGGTCATTTGTGAGGGGATATCCTCCAAACAGATATGCAGATCCGCTGTCTGTGTTGGTTGTCATAGTGTGCTCTATTCTACGTGAAGGGCTATCAACTTTAGGCTGGAACCAAGAGTCTGTGAGCGTGTTGTAATAGTATAATGTAGAATTTGACGTGTTGTTAAGCGCGCCATTCGCGGGCTGTCCACCATATACAATCAAGTATACGTTGTCTTGCCCTCCAGGAACCGCACTTTGATAAGACGTGGTCGGTCCGTCAAGCGACCCTAAAGCCCATGGAGCTGACTGTGTAGATATACTGTGAATTGAGTTCAAAAGCAGTAAATCGTTGGTGTTTTTAGCAGTTGTTTCATTTACGCCAATAGCCCCAGTTTTGCCACCGTGAAAGCAAAATCTGCAAATAAAGATGGGGAGATCAACACGTGTTGCACTGCTTGTTATGTATGGTGTAGTCGGTATACCTGTTATTCTACACAACTTCATTAGCAAGGAGAGAGATGCTATTGCACTATGCAGGTGCTTCCCACTTACCACTATAGCGGCGGCTTGACCCCATCGCGGGCTCGGCGCCTTTGCATAACAACAAATTTTTTTTAGGGTTACGGAGAGGAGCGGTAATAGGCAAAAAGTAAAAAGTCGGTTACCAATGAAGTTTCGGCAAGGCGAACAATGACCGACAGTGCCAAAAACAGTACCGGCCTGTATGTTTGGCATAGCATGTCGTCAACAGTCTATGTGCGGATAAGGGGAAAGGATGGGAAGGTGTTGAAAGAAAGGAATGGGTCACGGTTGAAAGCTAAACCAAAAGTTTCAGAATTTGCAAGGTTCGTCAAATAAAACATTTCGCCAGCTTTGGTGTAACGGCCATTAATTACCTATTACATATCGGGCATGGCCAGTACAACAGAGCCAAGGGATTTCGCACCTACCATGATGAAGCGGTTCATGTTTAAGGAGATCCCCGTTATGTCATGCCATTAGTCTATATCAATGGCTGAAACGCCAGCATTAGTCTCGCTTTTCTTACATGTGAACATCGTGTCATGTATGTGCCGTTCACAACGGCGCCTCATAGCTTTCGCGGCTGCCATGTCACAAAGACAATATTCCAACACCTGAAGTCACGGATGGCGTATGAGCAGACAGATTTTACCGTACATGGAGTCTTGTAACAAATTTCCCATTTTGATGGCCGTCGGTATTTGCGTTTTAAGGTTAGCTGCTTTACCCACAAATTTTTCGTCGCTGTTCAGCCAGCAATGTCGGGGGACCGCAATGCATTTAGGGGTGAAATATTTAGTAGGCGTTGTGCGTGTGACATCGTTAGGTCAAGAATCATATCTGAACCCAAGCATGTAAAGAACTTTGGCTTGCATCAGTGACTGCTACATCACTGAAGCAACGGTTCGCTCGGGACATAATCCTCATGTACCTTTTTGCACATAGTACATGTTATCCATCTTCTTAGCAGGTAACCTACGGCTGGTGCGGGTCAACCAGCACCAACGCCGATCATTTTATGGTTCTCAATGTATGCTAATAACTCTTAAAACAAAGAACGAGCCAATACTTCTACAGCTTTTCGAGGAAACTAGTAAACGCAGATCTCTACTTTTCCAGCATGGTTATGAGGTTCATAAGGCTTAGGCCAAATACCCCGGGGAGGGCTCGTTGAAATCATCCAACTTTTCTTGCGGGTGGCAGTCACCGAATTTGGTAATGGAAATCGGAAGGGTGGTTCTGAAACCAGGTTTCGCTTTTCTCCCTTGCAATAAATAGAGCATCGTGCGCTCGATATTTCTATAACATATTCCTTTAAACTGAACTTTCTACTATGCAAAGTGACCGAATGGAAATAAACAGCCACCCTCTGTTATACAGACAAGCCGTTAACGAAGGACGGCAGCCAAGCCAAGACTGTGCCAAAGAAAACAAGGATTTATCAAGTTCACCCTCTGCTCCTCAACCATCGTCAGAGCCTACGGTACAGTCAAATGAAAATCACTGGGATTGCTATCCAAACTTGATACGAGAAATTGAAAACCATGGAACGGATACTGAGGTTAACAAACTGCACGCTTTGGAGAAAACCAACAGTGAATGAAAGCGTAGGGTGGGGCACCTTTTAATTTGTATATGTCTCTTAGGAAGACGTCGCCTTCGCTATAACCATGTTTCTAAATGTAAATATATTTTTTTAAACGAACCAGCTCTTAGAACCGAGTGTACAAATGATAAAGCACGACAACATAAGCTTCAGAAGCAAGGTACCAAATTCGTGCTCACCTGTTACAGCCTCACCAATGGTTGTAGGAAAAAAAAAATTGTCAATAAATGTAGGGCTGTAATATTGGACATCAGGCGTTCTGACGTAGTGGACACAGGCTTTCTGGTGCCCCGTCTCACGATATAGACTAGTGGCATGAGCAATTTATTTGCCGCAAATAACCAAAAGAATGGGATGATGCGATGTCTAAACGAAGATAATAAGGATATAGTTCTTACACCGAGTTGCCTGGGTTTGACATTTGTACAAATGACAAGCTTGTAAACAAGTACCATCCAAGACTGTTTGAACGGAATATTCTCCCGCAATTGGCAGGTGATTCATACCCCGGGCTCACATGGTGTGTAGTTGACCACTCACAGTCCAAAAACATGAAGGATCTCAGGCACCAACATACACAACGTCAATCCATGACAGAAAGCATCCCCTGACTATACCTTCGAGTTATGTGCATCTGCTGACAGAATAATCAAGCAGCTTCATGACTCTAACATCCACCAATCTGACCACTTGCCATATGCGGGGTTATGTTGAGATTTGGTTCCAACTACAAATTTTTAGCTTTTTAGAAGTCCCCTCTTTGTTCTCTTTCCCTTCCACTTTTTGTAGTATAGAGCTTCTTTTATACCCTTCTCCCTATATCCCATATGAAAACGGACGGTTGCAACATGAAAGATTCTTCATCAATATTGGGAGAATCCAGTCCGCTCCTTGGATCGTCGTCTCCATCTGTGTCTCCCAGGCTTAACTCAATATTCGGTGAGTCATCATTTTCGCCCGAGCCTTCTGGTCCTACAGCTACAAACTCACACGGTGCACTCAATTCCTTCAGAGAAATGCAAAACAAACAAAATAGTACAATTACTTCCTTCTGTGGTCGTAGGTTCTCTGATTTGGTTTTGCGTACCAGATCAGACTGGCCTAACCCCCACGGCCATTCATATACTAGCGGTATTTGTAAGGTGGGAATTGCCCGAGGATTTCATCAAACCGCTGTAGAAATGCTCATTCATTCATATTACAGTACTATCATTGCGCTGCTATCCACACAACTCGAAATTTCGATCATTGTCCTATTGGGACTCGTCATCCTGTCAGTTACAAAATCATTTCAATGCATCGACACCTTGACGGGAGAGAGTGTAGAATGCCGATTGTGCCAAACCATGAATACAGCTACACAGGAGGTCTATCATTGCGATGGACAGGCGCAATCCTTTCAACATAGTTTGAACGGGTTTTCCACACCAGTTGTTTGGTTAATTTTTGCGGCTTTCCATTTGGGCCGTGCAGTGGAGGTCACCAAACTGGGTAAAAGAGCTGCCGTGATGCTGATTCAAAAATTTGGCAACAGCAGTCTAGGCTTAGCATATGCTGTTGAACTATCAGAGGTGCTTTTGGCACCCTTTGTCCCAAGTAATACTGCGCGCGGTGGTGGCATCGTCTTGCCAATTGTATCGGCCTTAACGTCGTCACTCGGATCGACCATCGACACCGACCCGCAGCTCGGAGCTCTTCTTAGTTTGGTTGGTGCTCACTCCAACTTGGTTTCAGCATCGCTTTTCATGACGGGAATGGCAGCCAATCCTCTAGTGGTTACCAAGGCTAAGACAGTGTTCCCCGGCATAGAGTTTAATTTTGTTCAATGGACTCTTGGTGCCTCGGTTCCCGCTCTGATGACGATGCTAATAATGCCTATACTCTTCATGTGGTGGTGCAGTACTGATCGTCAAGTTGGTTCTCGAGAGCAAGTCAAACTACTTGTTCAGGACCAATTTGCGGAATTGGGAACCATGAAAAATTGTGAGAAGGTACGTACACATCGATTGTTTTATACAACTCCTGGTCGAAATATTCTGTTTCTGATAATTTTGCTGTTTCTGGCGGCTGAAACATTGAATTAGCGGCTTTGCGGCATTCTGTTACTTTGCTTAATGCTCTGGGTAGGATCGGATTTAGACTCCGGGCTGGTTGCCCTGCTAGGCATAACGTTTTTGCTGTTCACTGATACCCTGACTTGGAAAGACATAGTGACAAATACCAATGCTGTAAGTATGGTTTTCATTGGATGCAAGCACAATAATTTAGTTCTACCCAAACTAACAACGGCATTGTTTACCCTACATTTGTGGATCATTTTTATGATAATCATTAAAGTGGGATACACTTTTTTGGCTTGGAGGGTTTGTTACCATTGCACAACAGCTGAGTGACGCCGGAGCGTCCGAATACCTTGGCAAAAATATATCATCTGGCATCGTCTCGCTCAATTTGCCTGCGGTTCCTACACTCCCGATATTGTACTTTGTCACCAGTTTCATGTTCTCGTCATTAAGCACTCACATTGTTGCTTTAAATGTGACATTTATGGAAGCTGGCAAGCATCTCAATGTCAACCCTATGTTGCTTGTACCTTGCATTGCTTACTTTTCTTCCCTAGGTGGATGCATGGTAAGTCTAATGCCCTTGTATTTCTCATTGGAAAAGTGAGCTGCCATCTAATACTTTTGCCTAGACGAACTTTTCAACGGGAACCGTGGCGATGTACTTTTCTAAAGGGTTTATTAGTAGGGGCCGCTGGTTCTCTATTGGCGCTCGCATAGCTGTTTTGCATTTGTTGATGTATTTCACGGTTGGCGTTTTATGGTGGAGATGCCTTGGATGGCTTTGATAGCCAAGAAGGCAAAATAGAACATATAGAAAATGTTTTTGAAATGATTAAAATGTATATTACTTATTATTTTCTTCTCGTGCCATCAATACTCAAACCGAAGGTGCACTGAAAAAAGCCAAAAGCTGTGTGCTTAATTTGCGTTGCCATGGAGACGAATACCGCGGTCACAAACCTCGATCCAATTCAAAAACCCTTTGATTTCGCGACAACTTCTGCACCACCATTTCTACTGCAATCCCTACAGTACATTGCATGCCTTCAGACATTTCGACAAGCGGAATGCAGCAATTTGGATCTGGCTGCTTTACACCCGAAGAGCATGCATTTCTACAGGAGATTTTAGCGAAGCAACTCGGCCCTGAATGGGTGAGTCAACGACCTGGACCAGCTGGCGGTACGTACCTGCGTGACTTGTAATAAGTTGAACAAGAAACTCATGTATTTGCGCTATAGTCGGAAAGATGGTTTATGTGGAAGGCCATACTATTATCAATCTTGCAAATAAGCTATTTGGCTTCAATGGCTGGTCTTCGGAAATCAAGAGCATGACAACGGATTATGTAGGTGGCATGATGTCAATTTTGTCCAATCAAGTATCTTTGTTGATAGATTTTATTGTGAAGATTGACGTCTTGGAAAACGGGAAGATGAATATTTGTATATCTGTAGTCATGAGAGTTACTCTGAAGGACGGTACCTTTCATGAGGTGAGTCAAGTGAATTGTACATCCACTACCCTTATGCGGTATCGGATGCAAGCCTTATATTTGTCCAGGATATTGGAGTAGGTTTTATGGAGAATTGTAGAAGCAAAGCAATTGGTATCCAAAAAGTAAGTATGGCATAGATAGACTAAACATTGGGTCCTACCATTCACTAACGAACTTCATATTTGAAAGGCTAAAAAAGAAGCTGTCACCGATGCTACCAAGCGTGCCATTCGATATTTTGGAAGTGTCATGGGTAATTGCATTCATGACAAGATATACATGAGAGACATCGTGCGAATTTCCCCTCCAACTGTATGTACTTTCAATAAGATGAGAATGATGATTACTGTCAAACTTAATTTGTCTCGTCATTTCAGAGAAAATTAGACCCAGCACAACTTTATCGTGAATCCACCCCCACTACTCCCAAACCTGTTCCAAACCACACTGCACCTACAATGGCTTCCACTTCCTCAAATAATGTCACCACACGGCCAAATACAACCATCAATGCGAATTCTAACCACAACAACCAAAATAAACCTCAAATAATTCCCTCTACGAATCCAGCAGAAACCAATGTAACCAACGGTCAATCAAGTTCCCTCTATGGTCATAAAGAAGCGCAGACAGCATTTAAGACCCACTCCGAGCCTGTTCAAGAAGTGAACGACACCAAGCCTCGATGGCAAGAAGATAGTTTTACGGGATGTGAGTGTGCATGATGCTGAATCAATATCAAATTCTTGTACTAATTCTATCTTTGATAGACGAAGACGACAATTCATTTCTGGAACAGCTTGCGGAGGCTGACTTCGATTATGCTGATGGCGAGATGATTCTTGAAGGCACCGATGGGTAACAGTATAGCATTGGTCTTATCGTTAACATGACCTACCATCTCATCCTGTCTAAATATTTTATAGGACGACGTCAGGTTTACCTCAAAAGCGCATCAAGCTCGCTGATTAGTACTTTTTCCTTTGAAAACGTTCACCCTATAGTCTCGATCTGGTCATAATAGAGCACATCGTTGGAGTGGTGCGACCCTTATTCGTATTACTACCAAGCACGGCTCAATTTTCTAAGTACTCAACTTTTACGTAGACTACTTGACATGTACATACCCCTTTTCTGTAATTTGGAGATACCAGGTGTTCCATCAGCATTACACAAACTTATTCATCCTCAAACTTCGGTTTAAAAGATTGTCCAACTTTTCAATATAACATGAATATGCACAGTCTAGCACAGAGATTGTCGTACTACTTCCATTTGCGGAGTGCCTTGATTTGGGAGGAAATACCGTTTTGGAGACCATGAAGGCGATAAGTAGATGAATGTCTTGGTATAGAACATTGTTATCATCAACTTCCTCAGGATAAACAAAAAAGATGCAGTGCTTCGCATATCTGGCAAGCAAGCCTGTGTTGACAAATACATCGAGTTTAATAGCTAGTTTATACAATAATACATGTATATTATAAAAGATAATGTATTCAGAGGTATACGCAAACTGCATCATCATGGATTCTGAGCAAGGGATGCGTAACCCCGTTTTTGCAAAAATGTTTGTTGTATACCCGTCTCGAGCTCTCCACTACAGAAGCCGATGCTCGCCACACTAAATTTGCTTATTTCCATCATTCAAAGTACCAAAACGTGAAAAAGCAGATTGCTACCGGAAAGTGACCCTGCATATTCTCCACAGCATGGTGCCTGTCATTGTCTTTCTCTTTTACATTTGCCCATCGCTGCAGCTGAAAAACCTCTTTACAACCTGTTCATCTTCCGCTCTCGGTCGATGTCGGTCTCGGACTTGCAGTCGACGTTTTAAACACTGTCTGGTAATCAGATCTTTTTCAAGTCAACTACTCCGACGACGGAGCCCTGGGAACGGGGGCGTCATTTGTGCGTTATCAGATGTTCCACTTGGTATTCAACATGGGCATTCTTAATATGCTAATCATGGTATAATTGAAATAAGAGAGTAGATTAGAAGCGTTATCATTGGCCAAAGGATAGGTTTATTAGCTTTATGACAAATTCCGGGTTGCTAATAGCGCTTGCCGGCTAATCGTTGGGATAAATTTTTCCGACCACCAGATTCTCAGCCCAAAGTTGTTATTTTTTTTCGTTATTATTAACTCTTAACTTGGTTCAAACGGCTTTGTCTCGTGGCTTCTTTTCACTACTGCATGAATCTCTCGTAATGCCAAATCAAATTGCCGAGGTTCTCCTACCAGTAGTGGGCATGACGTGCCAATCTTGCGTCAATTCTATTCAAAGTGCCTTGAAACAGAATCCTCATATCCACGCGATTCAAGTCAACTTACAAAATGCAACTGCTCACATCGAATTCGACCTTTCCAAGGTAACAGTAGACGAGCTCGCCGAAGCTATCGAAGATTGTGGCTTCGATGTTCCTGAGAAACCCTCCAACATCACATTACGAACGGCCGTACATGGAATGACTTGCCAATCTTGTGTCAAGTCCATAAAATCAGCCCTTGGGCCAAAGGAAGGCATCCATAGCGTCGATGTCAGCCTCGAGAAAGAAGAAGCTACAATCGCTTATAATCCCAAGGTCGTCAGTCAGGATGCTATTATTGAATATATAGAGGATTGTGGCTTCGATGTTCCCAAGAATGCTTCTGCAGGTCTCACTACCACCACCTTACCTGTAGAAGGCATGACATGCCACTCCTGTGTTCGTTCAATCGAAAATGCTCTCTCCAACAAGAACGGTATCAGCACTGTTAATGTCAGTCTAGAGGAGAACAATGCCACCATCGCTTATGACCAGTCATTAGTCAGCCAAAGCGATATCATTGAAGCCATTGAGGACTGTGGCTTTGACGTTCCTTTGCAGCCATCGAAGCAAAGCCCTTTCCAGCCACAAAAAGTTGAAGAAGAGATAACTGGAAATGACATAGCCATGAATGTTATCACGGCTTCAAGAAAATTCTCAAAGGACAATTCAGTAACAGGAAGCGTTGCCACCTTTGAGGTCAGGGGCATGACTTGTGCTTCATGTGTCAACAGCATTGAAAAAGCAGTGAGTACCAATGCGGGAGTTCAGTCTATCAAAGTATCGTTGCTTGCAGAACGTGCAACCGTGGAATACGACCCATTCGTCATCGACCCAGAAAAAATCGCCGATGCTATACGGGATTCAGGATTTGAAGCGGATGTCATTGAGCAAAAGCAAGATGATACAGTCGACCTCAAAGTTTTTGGAATGACCTGTGCTAGCTGTGTGAACAGCATCGAAAGAGGCCTGCGCAATACACCAGGAGTCATTTCAGCATCGGTCAACCTTATGACTGAAACCGCCAAAGTTCAATTTGATCAACATGTCACTGGTGTGCGAGCTATTGTTGAGGCCATTGAAGATCTCGGTTTCAATGCTTTAGTATCGGATAAGACCGCCAACGCACAGATTGAAAGTCTGGGAAAGATTCGAGAAATCAAGGAATGGCGCCGTGCATTTTTTTACTCTGTGATCTTTGCCGTCCCGGTATTTATTATCGCTATGATTCTTCCTGAATTCCAATTTGGTCGCTCGCTGTTGGATATCCGGTTACTTCCTGGATTATATCTTTTCGATGTCATTCAGTTGATTCTTACTATACCTGTCCAATTTGGTATTGGTAAACGCTTCTTTGTGTCTGCTTACAAATCTCTTCGACATGGTACTCCCACCATGGATGTCCTGGTCTCCTTGTCAACCGCTTCCGCTTTCTTTTTTTCAACCGTTTCTTTGCTACGTGCATTGTTTTCGGGCTCTGAAAACCATCCTTCGGTTTTCTATGACACCTCCACCATGCTGATTACTTTCATTGTTCTTGGCCGATATCTGGAGAACATGGCGAAAGGTCAAAGTTCAGCAGCGTTATCGAAACTCATGTCACTCACCCCCTCCACTGCCTTGTTGTTGATTACGGATGAAGCTGGGCAAGTCACTGGTGAAAAACGCATTCCCACTGAACTTATTCAATTGGGAGACTTGGTCAAGATTGTACCCGGTGACAAAATTCCTTCGGATGGTTTGGTCTTCTCAGGACATTCTAGCGTGGACGAAAGCATGGTCACTGGTGAAGTCGATGCCGTTATGAAGAAGACGGGTGATATGGTCATTGGCGGTACTGTCAATGGTTTAGGAACGTTTACACTCAAGGCTACACGCGTTGGCTCTGACACTGCACTCTCGCAAATTGTTAAACTGGTCGAAGATGCTCAAATTACAAAGGCTCCCATTCAAGGCTTCGCCGACGTTGTTGCTGGCTATTTTGTGCCTACTGTCATTGCGCTTGGAGCAACCACTCTCATTGTGTGGGCGGTCATTGTCAATATTTTTGGTGTTGATCATGTCCCTACCATGCTGCGTGAAGAGATCCAAAAAGAGGGCAACGGAAACTGGTTCTTTGTCTGCATCAAGCTGTGTATCAGCGTCATTGTTGTGGCTTGCCCCTGTGCCCTTGGACTGGCTACTCCTACTGCTGTCATGGTTGGTACTGGTGTTGGAGCCGAACATGGTGTCTTAATCAAGGGTGGTGCTGTCTTGGAAAACGGCCAAAGAGTACAAAAGATTGTGTTTGACAAGACTGGTACTTTGACGGTTGGTAAACTGGATGTATCTTCATATGTTACCTGCAAAGACTCTCCTGTGAACGCTACGAGTATGCTGGTCTACACTGCTGTGGCTGAAAGTCAAAGCGAGCACCCTCTTGCTAGGGCTATTGCCAACAAGGGTAAAGAAATTCTTGGTATTCAAGTCTTTGACACTATTTCTCAAGTCGACGGCTTTACATCAAGTACTGGGCAAGGAATCATATGTAACGTTAAATTGGATCCATCTTCTTTGAATCGACTCAACTATCTCGGAGAAACCTTGTCCACCACGTCGGCTAATGTTATTGTTGGTAAACGGTCGTGGCTTCAAGAGAACGCTGTTCAAGTCGCTGATGATCATCTCGCGGACATGCAAGTGTTGGAGTCCAAGGGTGAAACTTGCATCCTTGTCGCCATCGATTATCGACTTGCTGGGTACATTTCTCTATCTGACCGTGTTAAACCCGAAGCAAGTAGCGTAGTGGCCACCTTGGCTGCCATGGGTATTCAAGCTGCAATGGTTACTGGCGATAATGAACTGACCGCACGCTCCATCGCCAAACAAGTTGGTATAAGAGAAGTCCATGCTGGAGTATCTCCCAATGGTAAAACGCTCATTGTGCAAAGGATGCAAGGTGTGGCTATCACAAAGAACATATCATTCCTTCGACGTACTCGGAATACATTGACTGGCAAGAAAGATACACAGCAAAAGAAAACTATTGTTGCCATGGTTGGAGACGGTATCAATGACTCACCGGCGCTGGTTGCAGCAGATTTTGGTATCGCTTTGTGTAGTGGCACGGATATTGCAATGGAAGCAGCAGATGTTGTTTTGATGCGCAACGATCTTACTGACGTTGTTGGCGCACTACATCTCTCAAGAACCATCTTCCGTCGCATCCGTATCAATCTCTTATGGGCTTGCATCTACAATATAGTTGGTATTCCCTTGGCTATGGGCATTTTCCTTCCCTGGGGCTTCCATCTTCACCCAATGATGGCTGGTTTCGCTATGGCAGCCAGCTCTGTAAGTGTTGTGATGAGCAGTCTTATGCTGAAGTGGTGGAAGAAACCTGCAATGCTTCAAGTGGATCAATCGGGCGTGGTACTCGACATGCCAAACGATGTGGATGGAACGAAGCCGGTGCGAACGCCTGATCATCTTCTTGATCGTATCAAATCATTCTTCAAGCGAACTCAAGGCTACGAAGCACTTCCGTCTCATACGACAGAGAATTCTTTGGCTGAAATTGCCTTTGAGATCGGTTCAGATGATGAGGACAGTGATACCGTCCAGTTAATCGCTCCTCCCAGTCGCTAACCACTCCATCACCTTTGCCTAATCGTAATCTCATGTTGCCTCCATATTTTAGACTTACTGAAAAATTTCACCCACCCGTTTTTTTCCTTGTTTTCTTTTCACCACTATATCCTTTCCCTACTCATGTGCATATCTATACAATCTATAACACAGCTTTTACCCCCACTCCATGACCACTTAATTAACCATTGTAACGAAAAAAATAAAGCATGGTCACTCAATATGGTAAAAATACAGAACAATCAAATGTGCCAAATGGTGTTCAATAGTAGTACCGATGACAGGCAATGAATGCATCATAAATAAAAAGACAATCAACATGGTATTTTTACAATAACAAAAAAGCAACGTCTTTTTTAATAATTGGGAATGACTTTTTTTAAAAAGTTTATAATAAGTGTGTAGGCGATGTGTTGAGACTATATGATACACGGAGAAGAAGAAGATCTAGGACAAGGGGAGATACATTGGTATGTTGAAACCAATCTTGCGTAATAACAAGAACTATCGATCAAAGAAGGGTAGAAAAAAGTTTGGTTCAAGGGTGTGAGTACATTTAGAACTCGGGGATATTGGTACGCTCGGCCACGGGAGGGTAGGTAGGACCGACGCGGCGAATGACGAGACCAGCGATGTAATGTCCAGCATTGACACACTTGTGGAGGTCCTCAACACCTTGAGTGTAAAGACCAAGGAAACCACCGCAGAAGCCATCGCCAGCACCGTTGGTATCGACGATCTCGCTGCTGGAAACCTTCTCAACAGGGTGAACGGTAACCTTGTCACCGACAGCAACAACGGTCTCATCAGCACCTTGGGTGAAGACAACGATACGGGGACGCTTAGTGTTGGCCTTGGGAAGTTGAGCAAACTTGGCAGCAATTTCCTTGACATCATCAGTTTCCCAGCCAGCAACCTTGGAGTAGCTGCGGGCTTCATCCTCGTTACCGAAGACGATGTCAGCATAGTTGAGGACAGCATCAAGACGGTCTCTGAAGGCAAGGGCGACCCAGGGAGCAGAAAGGTTCATAGTGAAAGCCTTGTTGGTTTCAGCAGCGTGCTTACCAACAGCCAAGCTGGAAGCATAACCACCATCGTGGGAGATGAAGAAAGCACCAATGTAGTAGTTCTTGGCGCTCTCGACAACTTTCCAGTTCTCGGGCTTTTGAAGGGTATCAACAGAGAACTTCTCAGAAGCAGAAAGGTTGGCACAGAGGAATCTATAAACAATGGTGTCGGTTAGTAAACGGAGGTGGAAAAAAATGAGAAATTTTCTTAGGGCAAAAGCAGTCGCATGAAAAAGATGTATATCAGAGAGGGCAAGTACATATAATTTCATTATTAGAAGTCCCTTGGTTGCGTATTGGGAGCATCCTCGTACAAAAACTTCATCATCACTTACACATCTCTAGTCTGCCTGCTTGCCAAAGAAAAAAAATAAAAATAAAAATCTTACCTGTCTTGTCCAGTGATCAAGACAGCGCAAGTACCAGTGGGAACGTCGTCAACGACTTGGTACTTGGTCTCAAGACCGTCCTCAGCAGCAGCCTTCTTCATTTGCTCAGCATAGTGGTCGTTGGAGACACAACCCATGTAGACAGTAGAGTTGGCAGGAAGAAGGTATTGGGCACCACGGGCAGTGTTTTGAGCAGCACCTCCGGCAACATAGACGACGGGATAGTCGCGAACGATCTCCTCGTACAAACCTTGTTCCTTCTCAGAAGCAAGCATAGCACCGTTGCTAACGAAGCCATACTTGTCCATAAGCTCTTGCTTGACGTTAGCTTGGATATCGAGCAATGGGTTCTCGAGGGCAAGGAGTGCGTAAGCCATAATAGTGTGATTGGGAAACGAGCAAATGGTGGTACGCGGATGTTAGCTCGGTATTTATTATGTTGAAAAAATGTATTGTGACTGCTGAATACTATATTTTGATTGGGGTTCGTTTTCATCAAGGGTGGCACGTGTGTCTGATTGTCAGTGGCCATAGCCTCAAAGAAAGCTTCCATAGCCTCAGCAAACATGACACGTCACTCGTCAAAAACTCTGTCAAAGAGCTCTTAACTCCCTGAGCTATAGGATCAAAAGAATGAAAGGAAGTTTCAGTAAAGGAATCGAATTTATTTCGAGTTTGGCGCCAATGTGATCGTCAAACCCACTCATGGACGCGTACGATCTTGTCGGTGGATTATTGCAGCTCGCTTTTAAGGTGGCAGTGCAAGAAGCTTTTACTTGTAATGGAAAGAAGTATGGTTACCTCGATCAACCGGTATATAAAATTCTGTTGGGGAGAGTTGAGCAAAACGTTTCAAGTGCAGATGAGAGCGGATGTTATAACAGCGTTGCAAACGTTCGGGAACTTGAACGGCGATACCCGATTTTGACATCGATAAGCCCTTTACTTCTTGAAAGTATAATAGAATAATGGGGATTTTTTATGCAATACAATTTTCAAGTAATGCGATACAATACGTGAATGACTCGTAGTTTCAGTCCAGTCAATTCAGCGCTTAATCGAACAATTTAAAACTCAGTCAGACTCGAGCAACTCTGAAGCATTGAAAAATTTCATTAAGAAAGGTGACCGTGCCGTGCCTTTGATCAGATGCAGCCAGCTACTCCATTTGTATATTACCACTGTGCATGCCCTGACTTTTTTCAGACTTCTGGTAGATCTGTCGATGCCAGTGGCTCGAGAGATGCTGCAAATGACTCATCATCAGCCAGCGACCGACAGCCTTATGTACCGTTCGGTACCTCTATCGCGACTGATACCGATTTCTCTCTTTTCCCGCTTTCGCGCTTGTATTTCTGTGAAGATTGTCATCAGATAAGATGCCCTTCGTGCGTTCAAGACGAAGTCATTTCATATTACTGCCCTAATTGCCTGTTCGAGGTAGGACACTGTTCCTGAAAAAGCTCGCCACATCCTATCTGGAAACTGATCATATTCTACGCTATAGGTACCTACAGCCAGTGTCAAAAGCGAAAAGAATAGGTAAGATGGTGATGAAGTGATTTTTTTGGTTGAAGATCTCAAATTGCGATGTTATTTACCTGCCTACCGTATCGTAGATGTGCTCGCAATTGTTTTCAATGTCCAATTTGCCAAAATACTTTAAGCGTCGTTGCCAACCCAGATATCCCTCCGAAAGAACCTGGATCACCAGAAGATGAAACGAAACCTTCTGTTAATCCTTATCATCTTTTTTGTGGAGTATGCCGATGGGATTCTCAAGAAGTGGGGATAACATTTGAAAAGCCTACCAGCTTAGCAAGTATGTCTTTACCTTAGTTCTGCATCCAATAAGCGTGCAATGGTTGATCGCGTATCTTTCTCTTATATAGTGCAGTTGCAAAAATCAGAGGACGCGTCGCCTGATATCAAAGAATTCGACCATTTGAAAGAACACTTTGAAAAGTTCTTGAGATACAACACCCCTCAGTCGCTTCCTACCAGTTTCCTATCACTGTCGAGTTCAGGGTCTTTCAGCAAGATGGGATATAATACATCGATGCAAAACAGGAAAGGAAATGTTGCGAGAATGGATGATGTTGGAGAATATAAAGCATCTGAACATATTCCGCATGGCGATATGGACGTTATGGATAATCTTATTAACATTCAAGAAGACACTACAGGTAATGCCAAAGGTTTTGAGATTTTATCAATTATGGTGCTCGCTCGAAAGCTAACTTCGTTATACACTAGTTTCGAACTTGGAGCAGAGATTTAATCAGGTGTACGACCAACCGTATGATACCAATCAGCTTAAGCCACAGCGAATTCATTTACGAATCAAACGATCCAAGCGGTGCCGAACCTGCAGACATATCTTAATTAAGCCTGAGCAAAAGGCTCAGGCGACCAGGTTCAAGATTAAACTTGTAGCTATGAACTATATACCCAACATTACCATGCAGATGCTCCCTCGAAAAACTCTACCTTTGCGACAAAATGTACCTACGCAATTAATTCTCAAATTTACCAATCCATTGTATGAAGAGATAAGTGTCACACTTGCTACACCACAACAACACCAGACAAAAGGCGATCAAGTAGATGCACCTGAAGATCTTCGCAAGCCGTGGGGAAGAGTTACATTGTTATCTCCTCATTTCACTGTGGGAGCATACAATGAAACAATCGAATACGATGACGAGCTTCTGTACGGCAAACCCAGTGCGCTATCTACGCCTGCGGCTGCAACATGGGAGAATGGTGTGTATGAAAAGAGGAACAACTATACCAGTATCTTGATTGAAGTTGTTCCAGATTACGAAGGAGATTTCAAGGTATTTTGTTTAAAATTATGTAAGAAGGTTTTTGTTACTGAGATACTGACATCCTTGTGAATGTTAGTTCCCTCTGTTGGTCAACTATAGCTACAAGTCGGACGAAGATCAATTGGATACAGGTGGTTACGAGGATGAGGATGGAGACGACGACGACGATGAGGGTGGACAAAAGCGCTCACAAACTCTTGAACGTCAGCCTGAAGAGAGAACAAAGACATATTCATTTTGGTGTGTGGTTGGACTTGGCGAAGTGGTACAATAAATGACACAGCTTACCATAATCTGTCTGATGGTTGTGAGTTGTGACTGATGAATTTTTTTTTTTTTTTT